AAAGTATCGATCATCGCGAGGATGAAAATTGATCGTGGAAACAAAATCTTTATGACAAAAGGTACACAGACACTCGACTCTTGTGATATGCCAAAGTTTCACCGTTTTGTCCATGGACGAAGAGAGAAGGAAATTATTCTTTGACCATGAAATGTCCAAAACATCAGCGGTATGACCTCGATAAACGCTAAATAAAAGTAACGGATCTTCTTCGGCTAAACTGTTGTTGTCTTCTTGTTGTAAATTATTTCTCGATCTGGAATCACTTAGACTATGAACATTTTCTGAACTGGAGATACTATTGTTCCGTGAATTGTTTACAGATTTTTCTTTGGTTGAATTGGGTGAAATTTGTTGACTTGAGGCTTTACTACGAGCTTGAGTAAAATGTTTCCATGATTTATGGCTACAGTAAACTCGTAATAGTTGATCTTGACCAGCAACCGCTAATAGTTGACCACATGAGCTCCATTTCATACACCAAACTGCTCCACGACAATCGTTCAACTCTTGGATTAACCTTAAACCTTCAAAATCGGCAGCATCTTTTTTACGATTAGTTTTTAATTTAAACGATGGGAACAATAGATCATGTGGATCAAGATTCAATATTCTTGGATCAATGGTGACAGAATCTCTATAAAATTTAGTATCACTACTTGTTGTCCCACTGGCCACTGCTAGAGTACCTTCACTAGCTCCCAATGCTCCTCCTCTCACATTTTTAACACCCTTAATGAATCCATGGCCAAATTTGCCTAATTTTTTGACACCTATTTTAAATGCACTTGTTTTTAAAGTTGTTCCAGGTTCATCACCTTCCTCTAATGTTGTCGGTTCTTCACTTGCCTGAGGCTGTGATTCATCTTCATCGCTCTGATAATCATTAGCAAGTTTAGATAGATGAGGATTCAAGGGGTTGATGCACTTTGGTAAAATATCATCAGCCTGACTTAATGATCGGCACTCACCGGTGTCCTTATTAAGTAATGTTACCTGATCAAGTATTTTAGTCTCGTCACCTAAATCATCTTGATTTGATTGTTGCTTTTGACTAATCTGTAAAAGTAAATCAAACATTGACAATCAGAAACAATAGTTAAACAATAATAATAACAATATATCCAATTGAGAGGAATGAAAATCGATTAAAATTCAAGCAAAAATCTAATAAACTACTGACCCCATCAAGGAATCCTCTTGTTTCCAGTTTAAAGGCGAAGTGCGGGAAGTAGTACCGTCGGCATTCACATCAACGGGAGGAAATTCATGCTATTTTCATTTAAAGTGAACAATCAAACGCAGGCAATTACATAATTTCATGATATAACAGGAATCGAGATGAAACGAGAAAAATAAATTACGATAAATAAAAAAAAGATACCAAAAGTTGATGCAAGATTGAATTTCATAACAGGGAAGAGGAAGATGGGAGAGAGAGACAATTAAAACAATAGTGTATTTGGAAAACATGGAAAAGGTTGGGTAAATGAAGATGAGTAAATTTCAGAACAATGAAAGATTAATTGTTGAAGCAATTTGACACTTACTTTTAATTGATTAAGCATTTGAATCTCTTCTTCAAGAGCTTCTTTAAGCTCATCGGTGGGAAGTTCAGCATTTGAAGGAGCTGAAATAGTGCTACTATTGGTACTGATTCCGTCCGAAGAGGGTTGAGCATCTTTACTGTTTAAATCCAACACATGAAGAGAGAAAAACAATTAATTGTATAATTAGATGAAAATAAATTAAGTGATTTCAAACTTAATGATATAAAAAAAAAGTCTAAATGATTTCCTGATTACTTATGAGGGGAAAGAGATTCTGTTCATCCGTAGAGATCAATACAGGTAAGGAGGATAAACACCAATTACCTCAGGATGCTGATGGTTAACGATTGATTGTAAACTATTTCAATTGTTCAATTTTAAGGTTGGAAAGATGATATAATGAGAGAGAAAAAATCGAGATGATCAACTGATTGTTTACCTTTTGCCTTTTTCAATATCTTCAATCGCTTGTAAATGTTGTTCAAGTGTTTCCAATAGAGATGAAGGTGTTTTACTTAAATTTGGAATTTCTGATTTATCGATACCAATACATTCAGCGACTCTCATGAATTGTGCAGATCGATCCATGCAGATGAGAAATTTGGTGTAAATTTCAAGAACATCTCGAAATCGTTTTTGATTCATGTCGAAAAATTTTTCCAATAGAATAATAATACCATCATTGTAACAAGCGAAAAGTCTGATCAGGTCTTTAAATAGAAGCATAAACGTCGAATGTAAAACTTCATTGGTTAGTTGATCGGCTGGACAATCGAATTCAAGTAGACCATCAATTTGACTTTGAAGGACAGTTAATGTGTTCAACAATTTAATCGGTGGCATAGTGTGTAAAATGTCCTCTTTCTTTCCTTGTTTGATTTTGGCGAAATCGAAAGAAACAGTTCGATAAGATGAGACTTTCTCATCGATATATTTGGAATATCTTTTTATATAAGTTAACATATCGTGGCCCTTTAGGCTACATCTATCGAGTAAATTGTCGAATTGGAAGTTACAGCTATTCGATGCTAAGTACTGGGTAAAATTCTAGATTCAAAATCAATATTGAAAAAGAGAGAAAGAGAAAAAAATAAAACGATAATCAGATTAGTGACACATTTAACAAGGTAAAATGCAAGTGGAATCAAATATATTATTGATAAATTGTATTCAACAATTTAAATGAAAAGAAGGTATAAAAACCTTCAAATCAATTTGGTCTTCCTCTATGCCTTATAATTAATGATATTATTTACCCAGATATTTACTACTAACATGATTAAAAGGGTGTTTCATTATCAATAATAATCTGAATTTGATCCATCTCTTAATTGAAGGATTATCATTACCTCATTCCCGTAACACATAAGATAGTGTACAGTAATTAATGATTTGAAAACGACGACCCAAGAGCTATGGTTTGTCCGCTCGATCAGGAGATTTGCTAATTGTGGTATAGATACATTAGGTTCGTGGGTACATTGAAGTAAATCTGGAACAAGAGAAAATAAACACGAATAGTAATTAGAAAAAGAATAACATATGATCATTGGAAAAAGCGTATCAGTGGCATTTCTAAATACAAGGAGAATTGAAGTAAATGATGTGAGAAGAATTGAGTGACAGTTTGTTGTGAGAAAATATCAGAAGGAAGGAAAAAGAATATAACAAAAACAAAAGGAAAGACAGGAAAGATGGATAATTGGATATAAACACCTTATTCAGGTTGACATAAACATAGAGAAAGAGAGAAGGATGGTGAAGAAGAAGGAGAAAAGATGAAAAAATCTCATAGAATAACAATTATTGATGAAGTTCATCACTAGAGTTATAACCCTTTGACCTTTAACTGTTTCTTTTTCAACAAATATTCAATCTAAAGGTAAAGGTATTTTTCTTTTGCTTTCACTTTCTTCTTTTTCCTTTTTTTTTCATTCTCTTTGTCTTGTTGTTGTTATTTGAGTTTTTTCTGTAATTGTGGTGTTCATGATAGATGAAAATTGTCAGTTACTTACAATCTAAATGTTTCTTTTTAGGTCCAATAATTTCTTCCGTTGTTGCCTTACAAACAACTCGAGCCAATCCTTGTCCAGCAAGAGCATATCGGGCTGCGTTTAACCTATCATTTAATGTTTGTCCTTGTCCCGCTTTGGCCATTTCTTTGTAAATATTTTGATTATTTTAAATTAATTTAATTTAGTAAACTGTTTTTGTTGTAGTAGTAATAGTAAGGTGAATAGAAGATTAAATTATTTAAAAGGTCCAGACAGACAGAGAAGAAGAGAAGAAGAAGAGAAAATGAGAGACTGTAGTAAGTTGAATCACTGGAATAAGGATAGTGTAGTAGTAGAAGTTTAAACCAAAACAACAATATACATAGAAATAAACGAGAAGAAAATACTAAGATGAATTCCAAGTGAATTAGTTGATAGACACAAAAAATTGTATAGAGAATCACCTGAATAATCAGAAAAACAAAAAAGAGATACAAAAATAAATGGTTACATGATCTCTACTATTCTCACTACCACCAGAGGTGGCTAAGGTTTATTACATACCCACTGTCGATTAAAATTCCCATTAGAGTCAATAAACGTTTAATAAATCAAAAGTGGCGAAAGTTTCACAATTTGGATTCACAAATTATCTCAATTTCCTAAATTGTAACTCAATATAATCTTTTAAATTGTTCAACAATTTCTATGAAATGATAAAAAGGGTTAACCAGTCAGCTGATTTTCTCTCTGTGGCGACTTCTACATTCGGCTGGAAAAAGAAGGAATTTAGTGGTGACATCTATCGGTTGATATTCTCGGTTGTTAATTACTGCGAATTTTTTTTTATTAAATTAAATGAGTGCTCGATATTTTGAACCATGTGGATAGAATTCAATATAATTAACACATCATAATATGGCTATTGATCAATGGAAAAGTTGTTCCAAAAGATTTGATTGTCTATAAGAAGAATCAAAATTTTATAATCAAGTGGTTGTTTCCACTAATCTAAACGATACAATTAATTTCGTAAAGGCCAAAGGTCGGTAGTTTGAAAGTGTTTCGTGATAGATTGATGGCCAACTTAAATCGGGAATTCTCATGGTCATTTTGCTCGATTCTCCCTCTTCAGCGACAATCTCCTCATAATAGTTAATGGACTTCGACACATTCGTACTTCTTATTTATATCCTTCCCTCAGTGGGAATTACACTTGATTGTAATAAAAGTAAATTAAACTTGGAACATAATCAAACAAATTTTGATTTCATTTCTCACATCTACTTGACCTGACAATTAACTGGAATGATCAAATCTTCTCATCTTAAAATCAGCCAATTGATTTACTTGATCAACTAAACCATCAACTGTTTTACTATTTATCAAATTGATTAATATTTTTGTTTGTTAATTACACCGAATCTTTTATTAAATTTATTAAATTAAACGAGTGTTTTGATATTTTGTACCATGTAAATGGTGTTTAATTTGACACCATTTACAATTTAGATAACATTAAATTATTTAATTGACTTTTTTTGCGCTTCTTCAATATTAATATTATTCATCATACATATTTACTTTAATATAGATTTTTGTTTTAATTTTTCTTTCGTTTTCTTTTGTTTTGTGTTTAACTTTCTTTTTTGTTTAATTTACCCGAAAATATAATTAGATCAATTTAGAATACGGCCTTTTCCTTTATGCTGAGGTCTCCATCCTTTAACTACTCCTGCTGATTTGGGTAGATTGATATCTAAATTCTGTATCAAACTAGCTAAACTTGAGTCTAAATCTCCTTTAATCAAACATCCAGTGTTTTGTGTTGACATTGGTGCAACTGAAGCCATTGCATTTGTATTAATTGTGCTATTATTTAATCCAGTAACAGAAGTGTTACTTTTCTGTGGTTGAAGTATATCACCAAAGGCATCAAATCCTGAAAAGTTAATTATAAAAGAAAAATTTGAAACAATTCCATTGAAACTATACGTTGATCATCAATAAGAACATGACCAATTTACCTGATGATGTATTTGAATTTGATGTTTGACCAAAAACAGCAGCAAAATTGGCATCAAAAACCATCGCATCTTTTACCGGTGCTGAAGAAACACCATTGGAAGACGAGGGTAAGGTTGAGGTAAGAGTTGAGTTCAAGGATGTGCCAGTATCCGCTAACCTGTAAACGAATGAACGTTGAGGGTAAGAAAAAAGAAGAAAATTAGTTTTTGTTAATCATAAATCAAATTAAATTGTTCTTACATAAGAAGATTCTCACTGGGTTTACTTGGAGCCACAACGGGCACGGTAGAGGTAAAATTGTTTGCGAATGTATCACTGTTATCAAACAGATCTAAAAGTATATCACTGGCTTTCTGTGCTACTACTGGAGTTAATTCAGGTTCCGGATCAGTTGGTGAACTGAGAAATGGATTAAATGGATTTGTAGATGATGTTGATTGATCTTGAATAGGTTTCTCCTGAAATTGAATTGAAGTCTGCTGTGAGTTGACCAATGACCAAAAATTAACGGTTATAAACAGCAACAGAGAAACAATAAATACAAAACGAAACACGCAAATAAATGTAAGAGCACGAATCAGTTTAAATGTAAGCCGGTAATTGTTTGTTTTCGTCACGCAAGAAAGAAAAAAAAATAATTAGTACATTGTAATTGGATAATTGAGAGAAAGAGAAGATGAAAGAAACGGTGTTAATTTGTATTCAAAAATCTTAAATTTTTCAATGAACTTTCATACTAACTTTTAATTGATTGATAAATTGAGCTTCTTCTTCGAGAGCTTTTTTAACCAAATCATCAATACCTCCTTCACTTGGTGGTTCAAAATTGGATAATGGCGTTGAAGTGGTTGAAACTCCTTGAGAAGAGTAGAAAGCTTCTTTTGTGCTGATGTTTTCATTATAACGAGATGATAATTTGACAGTGTGACCAGAAAACAATTTACATGAAAGAGAAAGAGAATAAAAAGATAAATTAATCGCTGATTTAAAGAGATTCATAATGATTAAATGACTTAAGTGCTTATAGCTTAAAGCATAAGAAAATAGGAAACTTTATCAACCATCATGATAGTTAAACTGAGTGAGTAAGAGAGATAGAGAGAGAGAAAGAGAAAATCATTCATGTTCAGTAGACCAGGTCAACAGGAAGGGATATTGGTTAATAAGGTAAGAAGATGATCAGGTTAGTGAGTAAGATGATGATGCAGAATAAGAGTGAAAGTGAACGTTGCAAATAAAAAGCCGAACGTTTCACTTTTCTTAATGGAAGCAAATAAACAATCAATAGAATTAATTCTCATTTGGTTTCAATGGTTAATTGATTGTCAAGATTAATCAATAAAACATATGAATAAGTTATGTAAATGCAAGCAAATTAGACGACAATTATAACTAAATGAATTAATTATAATTGTTATTTTGGTTATGTTGATATTTCATCGAGGTGAAGATGATCGTTAACTGTGTTCATTTGTGAAAAGTAATTAACTGAATAAACTGATTTTGGAAATGCTCAATCACAATTAGACATTCTAACCATATACAGAGTTAATTGTGGTTTTTATTTTTTTCTTCCCCACTTTGGTTCATCATCTGCTTCAAATCAAACTGAGCTGTGTCATCAACACAATCAATTACTGGTTCAACATTAATTAATTGATTTTCTGGTTGAAAATAACAGAAAAACTTAACATTAAATCATTCAGTCGAAGACTAAATAATAACAACGCTTAGAGAACAGTTAAATGCACACAACATCGCGATTTTCTGAACAAACCAACAATTAACTTCCTAATCTTCGCAGAGTGAAAATAATCAAATTTGATTACCTTTTGCCCTTCTTACCACCTTCTATAGCTTGAAGGTGTTGCTCAAGTGCCTCTAGAAGAGAGGAAGGTGCCTTGGTTAAATCTGGAATTTCACCTTTATCGATACCAACATTTTCAGCAACTTTTAAAAATTCAGCTACTCGGTCCATTCGAATGAGGAACTTTTTATATATCTCCAAAGCATCTCGACATTGTTTCTTGTTCATGTCGAAAAATTTTTCCAACAAATTGATTATTCCATCATTGTAACAAGCAAAAAGCCGAATCAGGTCTCTGAATAAGAGCATGAATGCTGCATTAATTACACCATTATTCAAATTATTTGCTGGACAATCAAATTCAAGTAGTCCATCGATTTGACTTTGTAATACAGCTAAAGTTTTAAGAAGCTTTTCCGAAGGCATAGTTCGTAAGAATCCATCTTCTTTTCCTCTCTTGATTTTAGCGAAATCGAATGCCACAGTTCGGTATGATAAAGCTTTCTCATTAATATACTTGGAATATCTTTTGATATAAGTTGACATGTCATAGCCTTTTAGGTTAGTCCTGTCAAGGAAATTATTCAACTGGAAGGTACAGTTATTAGACGCTAAGTACTGGGTGAAACGCTGAATCCAATTGGCCAAAAATAGGAAGAGAGAGAAAAAAATAAATATAATTAATAAGCAAATTGTACAAGGAGAAAACATTTCACAGGTAAGAGTCTGAATCAAAACGAGAGCTTAACGACAAACTTAACAACCTATTTTTTTATAACTAATGTTATTGAAACCGGCTTTTGATAAAAAAATAAAACCAGTAATCAAGATCTCAATATTAATTGGAAATAATAAATATATTTGATAGTGGGACGAAAGAGCAATTGTTTAGATCTAGATTGTTTGGTTGATAGAAAGTGAAGAAATTTTAACAACTAAAAAATATATGATCAACCTTACAATCAATTGATTTGTGTACAACATTTGTTTCAATAATCAAAAATCAAGGGGTGTTTTGTCCTATCTAATCAATTAGATTTAATCTAGCCCTTAATTTATTATCTGTTAAAATGAATCAAGATAAATCATCGTTATTACCTCATTCCCATAACACATAAGATAGTGTACAGTTATTAGTGCTTTGAAAACGACGACCCAAGAGCTATGGTTTGTCCGCTCGATCAGGAGATTTGCTAATTGTGGTATAGATACATTAGGTTCGTGGGTACATTGAAGTAAATCTGGAACAAGAGAAAAATAAACAAGAATATTAATTAGAGAATAAAAAAACAGTTCAGGAATAAGACAATCAGTTTTCATTGTTAAGGATTTTTTCCACTGGGTTGAACATGATTATCGAAGCAAATTGGAGCTGAATCTTGAGGATTGACCAAAGACTCTTTTAGCAACATGAGAACCGGTAAATGAAAGTAGAGGATAAATAATTGATTTCGTTCAGAGTAAAAGGCTATTAGATTACAAAAGCTTTTAGAATTGAGAAGGAGAGAGGGAGAGAGAACAGGCTCATGTTGTCAAAGTTATTGAGTTCAAAATGTCACAATTAGGGTAAAGTTAAACACTCACAGACTAATTATCTTCAAGAAACTTGGAGGTCACAACAATTTAATATTTTCTCATCATTGTTGAAAAGGGCTAACATTAAATAATAGGTAGGCTAAAATTCAATGACAGTTCAAAGTAACCATGAGCGGATGATGAAGATTCAGCAACCTCATTCTGACAAGAATATTAATAAACAGATAAAAAACAGCAGAATCAGAAGGAAGGAAAAAGAATATAACAAAAACAAAAGGAAAGACAGGAAAGATGGATAATTGGATATAAACACCTTATTCAGGTTGACATAAACATAGAGAAAGAGAGAAGGATGGTGAAGAAGAAGGAGAAAAGATGAAAAAATCTCATAGAATAACAATTATTGATGCAGTTCATCACTAGAGTTATAACCCTTTGACCTTTAACTGTTTCTTTTTCAACAAATATTCAATCTAAAGGTAAAGGTATTTTTCTTTTGCTTTCACTTTCTTCTTTTTCTTTTTTTTCATTCTCTTTGTCTTGTTGTTGTTATTGTTGTTGTTATTTGATTTTTTTCTGTAATTGTGGTGTTCATGATAGATGAAAATTTTCAGTTACTTACAATCTAAATGTTTCTTTTTAGGTCCAATAATTTCTTCCGTTGTTGCCTTACAAACAACTCGAGCCAATCCTTGTCCAGCAAGAGCATATCGGGCTGCGTTTAACCTATCATTTAATGTTTGTCCTTGTCCCGCTTTGGCCATTTCTTTGTAAATATTTTGATTATTTTAAATTAATTTAATTTAGTAAACTGTTTTTGTTGTAGTAGTAATAGTAAGGTGAATAGAAGATTAAATTATTTAAAAGGTCCAGACAGACAGAGAAGAAGAGAAGAAGAGAAAAGGAGAGACTGTAGTAAGTTGAATCACTGGAATAAGGATAGTGTAGTAGTAGAAGTTTAAACCAAACCAACAATATACATAGAAATAAACGAGAAGAAAATACTAAGATGAGTTTGTAGAATAATTAAAACGAGAAAATCGCCTGAAAGAGATAAACCAAATAAAAAACAAAAAGAGATACAAAAAATAGATTAATATAAAAAATGAACAGAAATCCAATGTACAACAGAAGCAAATATTGAATAGAATGAAATGAGAAAAAAAAGAGAGAGGAAGAGAGTGAGTCAGGTAGAGAGACACAAAGAGAGAGAGATAGAGAGAGAGAGAGAGAGAGAGAGAGAGAGAGAGAAGAAAAAGAAGAGGAAGAAGAAGAAGAGAAAGAGAATAAGAGAATGAGAGGAGGATAAAAAAGACTGAAGGTTCAAGATAAACCAAGAGAAGAAGATGATGATGACGATGATGATGAAGTAAAAAGAGAAAAACGAATGATATTAAAAAAAATAAAGAAAGAAAAAAATAAATAAAATCAATCATATAGAGAGAGAGAGAAAGTAATAGTTACCTAAATAGTAAAATCCAACGACGATACCAAAGACAAAACACACAAACACAGAGAAGAAAAAAAAAGAAAACCAATGAATCTTCCTAATCAAAGATGAATTAATTTCGTTTTGAATGACACAAAGAGAGAAAAAGAAACAATTTAAATTAATATAATCATAATTGGGAGAGAAATTTGATTACGAAGTGAGAGAGGAGAAAAAGAAAATAATAAAAAGAGACTCAGAGGAAGATGAAAGAAAGAGAATGAAACAAGATTAGTTTCGAACTTAACCGCTGTGTCGCTACCATCAAATTCTTTTTTTCATAGAATAGAATTTGTTTTTTATTCTTTTCCATCAGATGTTGATTGTAATTCTATGGAAACTTGACCAAGTGACCAGACTCAATTCGTTGTTAAATGGACATTAAATTTAATATTCTTTTTATCATTAAGTTTCTTCTTCATCTCTGCTGATTTACCTTTTCTCTTCTTCTTCGTCTTCTTTTTGTGTATCAACTTTAATGTTAACTGATTTTAAGTAGAAAGGTAAGTAGACAGAGAAAGTTGGAGATTTTTTTTTTCCTTCTTTTTTTGTATTGATCGCTTCAAGCTGGTAATCATTTGGAATTAATTAATTATGATTTATATCTTAACCTTAACCTCGTTTAATTGTGCTTAATATTGATGGTTAATAACAACTACTCAATGAATATCAACATTTTCACTTGAGCCTTTTAACTGTGTGTTGATTATGATGACTGTTTAACATTTTTGATTATTGGGATACCAAATTTTCATTGTTTTTCTCAGTGTGTTTTAAATTTAGTTAAACAACAATTGGATCAATAGACTGAAGAATTAACGACTTGATTGTTTATATTATGTGTACTTTATATCGATCAATCTACTTGATTCTTTCAGTTTACTCTCTTGTCGTGATGTTCAATCAACTTTGATTATTTTAACATGATAATTATGATATAAGATTAACCTTTTTAAAATGTTATCTTATTTACTGAATTAATTGTCTATTGTAACAAAATTCAAAGTCTTAGACAATTAATTATTTAAACAGTCGTAAAGAAAAACGTAAGACTAATTGTTCAATGATCAACATTTATTATTCAAATCAGAGGTAAAGTTATAAAGAGTAAATTTAACAAAAATACAAATTGATAAGTAATTAAATTAAGATTGACAAAAGTTTCATTGTAAACGATTTAGACAGTAAATTGTGAGAACGTTTTACTTTCTCTTTTTACTGTTAATTGTTAAGATTAAACGGGTTACTGATTAATCAAAGTTTCTCGGCCAAGGTTGATTACAATTGAGTGAACAAAGTCTAACAATTGATCAATTTTCATCATTTTTTTTTCTCAACTATTACTTTCAATCAACAGTTTCCATTTTCACCATATTCATTGGAGCTGAAAGCGTTGGATCTGTGGAAACCATTGGTCAAGATTATTTTGCTGGACAATTAAATCAAAAGGATTCGATGAGAAAAACATATATTGGATATATGAGAATTGTTGATAATTATAAAAAATAGTAGATTAATTTTTAAGTTGATCATTGGTGATATTCAATTTACTTTAAGGATTACAAATTCCCTCGTTGTTTTTGTAACCTTTCAACGGCTTCGTAAAGAGCTTGGACATTTCCAGCACCGAAACCAGAATGATTGTTTCGTTGAATAATTTCGAGGTAACTTGTTGGTCGATCAAAAAGTGGTTTACCAAATAACTGGAGGATATAACCATTTTCATTGAAATCGCAAAGGATTTGCAGTTTTTCCAGTGTATCGATTGATTCTTTTATTGAGATTTTAGATGAATCTAAACGTTGTCGTAATTTATCATAATAACTTGATGGAATTTCAAGAAATTGGACTCCCCGAGCCCTAAGGCCAGTTACCGTTGCAACAATATTATCTGTTCGAAGGGCAAGATGTTGAATTCCCGATCCATTGTTATACTTTAAGAATTCATGTAATTGGGATAATTTATCTTCAGCCGATGGTGCGACTAAATTGATTATTACATCTTTGGACTTATTAGCGACAATGACCATGTTCAAGCGACTTTTATCCGTTTTAACTTTAAAGTCATCTACAGAGTAAAAAGTTTCCAGGCCTAATTTACTGTAATAATCGAAAGCTTTTTCTAATTGTCCAGCATTAAGAACCGGAACAAAATGGTCAATAACTTTGAATGATACTCGATATTCTGGTGAAATGTCCAGTGGCTCATCGAAATTTTTTGATTCAAGAGGAGGATGAAAAGAAGGTAGAAATGTACCCGAGTAACGAGTTCGTTCAATTAGTGTGTGTGTAATATCACCGAAAGGTGAAATAACGGCCATTCTAACGGAACCATGTTGATCACTTTCTGTCCAAGGTTGACGGATAATTTCAACTCCATTTGTGACCAATTTGTTTAAATAATTATCCAAACAATCAACCGTAAAGGCGACATCTTTAACCATATCACCTCTAGAGGAAACAATTGACCAAAGGTCACCCGAACCATATTGATAAGTTGAACATAAAACCAACACAACGTCACCTTGGGAAACAACATATGAGCACATTGATCGGCTTCCAGTTTCCAAACCCTTATAACCAATTAACTTGAATCCAAAGAAACGAGTAAAATAAGCGGCCGCATATTTGGCGTTTGAAACATAGAAAGTTACATGATCGATACTAATTATTCCCGATTGTTTACTTAATTCAGTTATTTTATTTACTTGAGTGACGACCATTTTTGAACCTTTGGTTTATTTTTCGTTGATTGATAAAAGTTTCACGAAAGTTACGCACCAATAACGGCCACCAGAAAGATGCAGAACACAAAGGGAATCACAAAATTCAATTAATAATTTAAAGGTAAGAAATTAAATCAAATTAAATATTCAAAGGACACACAGAGAGGTTGTAACAATTTAAGTTGAAACCCTTTCTTTTGAGATTTATCGATTTCAAATCAAATGAAATGTTGAATTTTCAGATGATTAAGAACGAAAATTTTTTCGTTTCTTGTCAACAATCAATTTGATTATAACAAAGTTAATCAGTCTTTTAAGGCCAACTAGTTTGTCAATTGTTTGACACGTTGGGTTAAATCAATTTAAAGCAATTTTTATCTTAAAAATTGAATGATTATCACCAGTCTGGCTACACCCATGCCGATTAACCCTCTCTTGATTTCACAATTAAGTGTCTTGCATAATATACTTAATTAAATCATGACTAAGGAAATGTTGATCACGAAGACAACATAAGATTTTAAGAATCAACATTGAAAAAGAAAAGTGAATTTCTGATCATTTTATTGAATTATCTTTCTTTTTCATTTGATTTCGTAAATGATCAACAACTCATCCTTATTGTCGAGTTGATTATGGATGGTAACAAAATTAAATTAGTTACATATTCTTGGGCAATAAATCAGTTAAGCGACACTCAGAACGTGCAAAGATAACCAAATATAAATATAACTCTTCATTATAGAGATTATCTTATATTTGAGACGAAAACAATTTAATCATAAATGTTGAAATCGTTCTAACGGTTGATTGTTGTGATTAACCAAAGTTTCTTGGTCAAGGTCCATTAAAACTGAGCAAGAAAAACTTTGACAATCGATTTAATTTCAATACATTTGGTTTTCTGTCACTTTTTTTACCTTTAGTTGATCTTTGAACATCTGATTACTGTTGATTATCAAGTTGATTAAGTAGTTAATCAATTGATTACTATAAATATTTGTACTTTGATAACTTTGTTAATCAAAACATTCTAAGATTTGATTTAACTGAAATTTTCTTGTTCGTAATTATTTAACTTGCATTGGTATTCATCTTACAGTAATTAGTATATTAATTAAAGAATCAAATACATGTATTACATGTGTTCAATTATTCACAGAATAGATTATTTTATATTAATTTCTCATGATATTTGCTGTTTTCAATTGATTTTCAAGTTAAAATCACAATCAGAAACGCACAAGTTAATTTTTTCAAACTACAATAAAACAACAAAAGGAAATGAATTAAATTAAATGTCCAGTAATTAAGTAACACGGTCAAAGTATTTACATGTTCAATTAGTATTGAATTAGCATAGCTGAGGTTATAGCAATTAAAAGTAATGATTATTGTTGATTGACTGAATGATAAGGATTAGATAATTGTTGATCTATTTGCGTTTTTTGTTTCGATTTTCATCTCATTGGTACGGTTAATTTTAGGAATATCTCTTAGTAAGAGCAGGAATGTAGTTAATTGTTGTTAAGATTTGAACACTTTGATCAACTTTGCAAACAAAACTTTTTTTTTCTCTTTAATTGTAATTGCATTTTCCTGGATTCATTGGGATTACGTTGATTCCATCCAAGGTATTGCGATTGAAATTAAATTGAATTATTTCCATATTGGTAAAATTAAAATCTTGGTTAGCTTTTGATAATCGTCTATTTATTGATTGGATGACTAATTTTTATGCTTAATTGCAAGGTTGCATTGAAGGTGATTGTATTACTGTTGAGTCTAAGGAAGTGCCAGTGTCAGCTAACCTGTTGTTTCAATTGAAGGATAAAAAAAGAAACACAATTGATTAGTTAATTGATATAAATTGTATCATATAATTGAGATCTTACATCAAGAGATCATCACTTGGTTTACTTGTGGCCACAACGGGAGCATTAGTGGTCGCGGGTGTTTCGATACTGTCAAACAAATCTAAAAGGATACCACTGGTTGGTGCTGCTGGTGTTGGTTCAGGCTCAGGTTCCGTTGGTGAACTGAGAAAAGGATTAAAAGGATTCGTAGAGGATTTCGGTTGATCTTGAACAGTTTTCGGCTGAGATTGAATTGATGTTTGCTGTCAATTTGACAATTTAAAGAAGAAATTTAAACAAAATTAGAAGAGTTAATTTTTTGACAATAAACTATCAATTTCTTTCAAATTGTTACTTACTTTCAATTTATTTATTAACTGAGTTTCGTCTTCAACCGGTTTTTTAACCGCTTCGTTTTTGGCTCCTTCGGTTTGTGGTTGTTGTGGTGGTGGCTCAGGATTTGATGAGGTTACAGGAGCAGTGGTACTACTATTGGTGTTTGTTGTTCCTTGGGAAGAAGGTGTAGTATCTTTGGTGCTGATATCATCAAGATAATGATTTGATAATCAAGAGAAAAAGCAGAAATATTAATTAATAATACAAAAAAGAAATTGAAAAAAAGTTCAATTTAGCTCTGAGCGAGAGAAACTTCCTGTTGACAAGGGAGGGAAAACAGGAAGTTAAGATGAAACATCAAACATTGAAAAATGAGATTATTTTTTTCAAATGATTACTGAATTTGTTATTAACGATAATTGAATATAAATGATTACCTTTTGCCTTTTTTATTACCCTCCAAAGTTGCTAAATGTGCCTCGAGTGCCTCCAATAAAGAGGAAGGTGCCTTGGTTAAATCTGGAATTTCACCTTTATCGATGCCAATGTTTTCGGCAACTTTTAAAAATTCACCAACTTTATCCATTCGAATGAGAAACTTTTTATAAATTTCCAAAGCATCTCGACATTGTTTCTTGTTCATGGAGAAAAATTTTTCCAACAAATTGATTATTCCATCATTGTAACATGCGAAAAGTCTGATAAGATCTTTAAAAAGAAGCATAAATGCTCCCTTTATGACACCATTGGTCAGGTTATTTACTGGACAATCAAATTCGAGGAGAGCGTCAACTTGATTCTGCAGAACAGATAATGTTTTAAGAAGCTTTTCTGAAGGCATAGTCCTCAGGACACCATCTTCTTTTCCTCTCTTGATTTTAGCGAAATCGAATGCCACAGTTCGGTATGATAAAGCTTTATCATTGATATACTTGGAATATCTTTTGATATAAGTTGACATGTCAAAGCCTTTTTGATTACTTCTATCAAGAAAGTCACCTAACTGAAATTGACAATTATTAGAGGCCAAATACTGAGTGAAACGCTGAATGCAATTAAATAAAGAGAAGATAAATTTCATATTAGCAATCATTTTTGTTGGATAAAATTTTTTACAAAGTATCTAATTATTACCTCATTTCCATAACACATCAAATGATGTACAGTTATGAGAGCTTTAAAAACGACAACCCAAGAAGTATGGTTTGTCCTCTCGATCAGGAGATTTGCTAATTGTGGTATAGATACATTAGGTTCGTGGGTACACTGAAGTAAATCTGAAAAATAAAATAAGATAATAACAATATTGAGTTAATTGAATCTGAATTTGAGACAATCAATTAGATTTCATTAAGATGCATATGGAAATAGAGGGATTTTCCATGGAGTTTTTCAAGTAAAATACAAAACCGTTATGATGAGAAGGTTGATATGCATGATTACTTTTTCAAGAAGAGGAATATCAATAATTTACAATAGAATTACTCTTGAAAAGAGAAAGGATTCAACAGAAAAAAGGGTAGGGCAAAAGAGAGAGAGAGAGAGATTGTGATGGAAAAGACCGAGTGAGTATTATTATGGGGAATTATGATGTAATACTTACAATCTAAATGTTTCTTTTTAGGTCCAATAATTTCTTCCGTTGTTGCCTTACAAACAACTCGAGCCAATCCTTGTCCAGCAAGAGCATATCGGGCTGCGTTTAACCTATCATTTAATGTTTGTCCTTGTCCTGCTTTGGCCATTTCTGGGAAAATGTCGATTTAGTAATCGATTTAAGGAGAAAGGATTACAATCGCCAGAAAGATATTGATGAATAAAGATGGAGGAGTATAATGAAGAGAAAAGTAACACCAATTGTTATTTCAGCGCGAACACTGGTCACCTGAAAAAGAAGAAGACAATAAATGGTTGAGAGAATTGATGAGATAATGTTGACATAAAAATAGATTTGAACTTGGGATTGTTAATAAAGAAAATGAAGTGAGAGTGAGTGAGAAAGTGAAAGAGGATAAAGAGACAAAGATATGGAACAGAAGCTTTTGCATAACAAGGGATAAAGAGAAAGAAAAAAAAATTAGTATTTAGAGAGAAAGAAAGAGAGGGAAAGAGAAAAGAATTAAATTATTGGAGAAAAATATGAAACCAGAATAATTTTTCTATAGAAAATGATAGTTACCCTAACGAGTTAAGAAAACAAAGAGAGAACAGTCAAATCTCTTATAGTATTATGGGAACGGAGATTGAAATTTAAGATAATCAACATTGAAAGAAAATTAATTTGATTCTAATCTAAATCACAAAATGAATCATCAAAAAAGAAAAGGGATTAACTGAAAAGAGAAAGAAAAATCCAAGACAAGTGAAGTAATTGAACCTTTGATTGGGCGCCATTAAAGTCTATTTTGTTACCATTTCTATTGTCTCATCTTTATGGATTCACTTATGAGTTAATTTTTCTCCTTCTAATTAATTAATCTAATTAATCTGTGTACGTGTTCACCCAATAATCACTGGTCTTGACCTTTTCTCTCTTCAACAATGTAACATTAAGAGTTTTTTTTCTCTGTATTTGGTTAATTAACAAAAGAAATTGGTTATTGTTTTCTTACCTTTTTTGTTCTCTTTGTGGTCACTTTAATCTCCTTTGATTAATTATTGTTTCCGATTATCCATTTGTTGATTAATTACTTTAATCTATCAGTTAAATTGAAAGGAAATTTAAATACACAAATTAAAGAGAAAATGTCAAGTGACAAGAGAAAGAGTAAAATGAAGACTGGTTAATGTTGTCAAGATGGAAAAGAGAATAATTTTGTTCTATTCTCTTTCTTTTCTTCTCTTTCTATTTGATGTTCTTTCTGCTGCTTCTCAGATTCTGAATTGAGAATATCATGAAAATATTGGAATTCGTGGTGAAAAAAGACTGAGAAGAAAAGAGAAGACACAAAATGTAGACAGAGAAACGAAAAAGTGAAAAATATGAAAAAAAATTTTCAGAGTAAATGGATGAAAAGATTTTTAATTGTTCCAACAATTAAAACTTACTCTTCTTCGTTAATTGTGTTGAAAGAATTGAATGAAAAACATTTAATTGTAATTGGGATGATAATCTATTACCAAAAAGGAAAACAATTGTAATTAAATAACATCCGATTAAGATTAACTTTGATTCGGTGAAATTGATTAAAAACAAAAGTTAAACAATTCTTATTCTTGGTAAACAAGTTTATTAACTAATTGCCATTAGTTATTTTCCAACAGTTAACAGATTATCATGTTAACAATTAACCCCCATCAAGAATTAAATCAACACGAAATTCAATTAATTTGTAAATTATTCAAATCCCATTTGATTGTTGAAAGTAAATCATAACAAACAAGAGTAAATTATGATAATATCAATTCAATAGCAATTAAATCAAATAATCAATCAAATGTCACTAGTCAACTAGTTGCAAATTAATTAAGGAATCAAGTTAATTATCTGAGCCATTTGTTGATTTATCAGGGTAACAATTAAGGATTATTAGTCTTTGGAAAATTTGATTTAATAACATTGATTATTTTTCCAATAATTAAACTAATTGAGAATGAGAATCAGTTAATTGGATTGTGACACTTTAACCTTGATTAACGATTCGACAGTTTCAATCATCGAACTCAATTAATTGTTCTCGAGTTAATTAGTAAATTAATTTTCTGATTAATCTAAATGATTGTTGTCAAAATTTTCCATAGAAAGTAAGCCATTGATTCAATAGTTTCCATCGGCCTCAAGTTCAATAATCGATAAAATTTGGACCAAATTTCGATTTCAAAATCTTCTCATTACAAAGGCAGTGATTAGGTTGGTTCCAACTAAATTTCCGTCGTAATTAAGTCCAATTGGTAGATAAAAAAGAGATCAAATTAATCGGAGGTTCCGTTGAGTTGTTCCGTGATCGCTTCGTCGTCGGTGATCACTTTCTTCGTGGCATCAAGCAATTCCTCGCGAACTGAATCAGGTACTAATTTACGAGCTTCTGGTACTACGGCGTTGACCAAATCGTCGATTGTAATTGTCTCCACGTCTTTGCCTTTGATGAATTGTTTACACATCTCAACGATTTTCTCGCTAAATTGTGTTTCGATTAACCGATTATGAAGAAGCTTCCGAAGTTCATCACGAGCTCCTTTTCTTTCCAACAATTGATTAGCTTTGGCACGAACTTCCTCAGTAATCGAGTCCATAATTACGATTAACAATTAACTGTAACTGTGAAACACTTCAATCAACAAAGAAAATCAACAATTAAAACGCTGAAAATCAAACTAATCACGAGTAACCTTCTAGGGTTCGTCTATGAGCTACAATCTGTTTCTTTAGGTTTTAATTGTTGTTTTGTGAAAAGTTAATTGTTACCAAGAGATTCTAATAGTTGATTAGCTTTTTAATTAATTGGCTAGAGTTTAACTGTAATTGTTTACAGAATAAATTATATTCGTTTATTTGATGTTTTCCTTTTTCAATTTAGTTTTTTCGAGTTACAATTAGATTATAATTTAATTGTGATTATAATCACATTTTTTTCGGGAAAATTGTTTCAATTACGATTATTATTAAGGGCAGATTATTGGATTTAATAAGTAGTAATTAAATAGATTTAGATGAATGGAATTGATTATTGCTACTTTGAGATTAGCAATTAAATATTTTGATTTTTCTTAAATTGTTGATTGACTAGAATGTAATTGAGAAAAAGAGAGAAAGTATTTAAATTAGTAAATTGTTGATTAATTAAATAGCATATTTGGGAATATAAATTATTATAGTTGATTAATTTTTCCTTGAGATCTAATTGTTTAATCCAATTGCGTTTCCATTTATATGGCTTGATTATTGATTCTTTTTTATTTTTGTTAATTGTTGATACAATTTTCCTTTGATTGGCTCATCATCAAATTTAGTTTCTTAATTGCATTTTTCCCGATTATCTGCCATTTAATTGCTTTAAGATTTTCAATTAGATTTCATGTCCATTGGTTGATTTGCACTTGATTTATTTTGGTGAACGCTTCTTAATTGGTTGTAAACTCGTGGTTAATTAAATTACTTGTTAAGTCAATTATGATTAAGTTAATTGCATTTTGTTTTTGACAAAATTGAAAAGCATCAATTTCTCAATAGGTATAAACTAAATACCTAATTGTTAATTGTAACTGAGATTCTTGGTTTCATGTGAATGTTGATTAATTTGTAGCAATTTAAGGTTTTTGTTCAAAGTTGTTTGTCTTAATTGTTGAACATTTAAAATATTATTTAAATGGTGGTCTCGAGGCCAGAGATCGTGATACTGATGAAGTTCGTGGTCGAGATGAGGATGGACGATGATTAGATTGACGAGATGGTGTTGATTGTGGACTTTTAGTGTGACGATTAACGTTTGATTGTTTGTTAATCATTTTCCGAGGATTTTCTGTTTCTAAATAACGTTCATCGTTTATTGATGAATTTAATGAATCAACTAAATCATTATTGTTATCATTTGAAGTTGATGAGCTCAAACCATCTCGTGAATGTCGACCAGATGATGAGCGATTACGGTGATTATCATGACGGGAACGATGGTCATTCTTAATTGTTGTGACTGGTAGGGAAGCAGCTCCATCGATAAGATCACCCGATTCGAGTGTAACTTCATCGTAAATGTGATCACTTGATGAGCGTTTTAATGAAGCTTGACTGCGCGATTCACCACCACTTCGTAATCGTGATCTATGAGTACCACCAGTCTTATAATTAGCGGAGGATGTTGATGATTTGGTCACCGATGAAGTCGATGATTGTTCAGTGATCATTGATGAACGTTTTTTGGCTCGCAACGATTGAAGCTGAGAACTGGAAAGTTGTGGTCGTGGTGCAAGTGGCTTATCAAATTCGAAGACAATTATTGCCGAGTCTTTGATTTTCTGTTGCACTTCGAGTGGTAAAAGTGACCAATTGGGAGCGATAACTGCCTGGTTAACATTCTGTACCAATGAACGTTCACAGTGCCGATACATTTTACGAACAAGGGAAACATAGGGCTCAGCGTACGGACCATAACCAAAGGCTTTCTCGTTCTCTGCGATTGAGATGATGTTATTTAACTTGACCAGCGTTTTACAGGCCGTGTCCGGTGTAAGGTTGTTCATGGCGGCGAGAAAAGTTTCCTCAAGAGCGGAAATATTCCAGGAGTTACCTCGTCCCAAGGAGATGAAAGAATCACTGGCCACGATTAGATCGTAACTTCCGGCCACAAAGTTAACACATTGTTCAATTAAACGGCCGATAAGTGAGAAAATTGGTTCAGCCCATTTGACCTTTGGTGTTGTTTTCGCTAATCGGTCAACATTTAAAATTACATCGATGATCGATTTAGGTGTCATTGAGTGTATCGTACTTTGGAAGCACGAGTTTAATATGGAACTGGGTAGACAAGCAAAGGAACGAGTTGGCCAGAGGCGACCAAAATGTTTACCTGACCAGGTGAGACACTTTTGATGGAGGGTTGAGAATCCACACTCGGAGGAAACGATTAGACAATCGACTATGCCTACGATACAATCGTTACATGGTTTATGGAAAAAGTGGCAATAAGTTTTTTCCAATTCATAGATGACAACATCTCGAAGTGTATCAAGAGCCAATAGGTTGGAAAGTAAGGCCAACTCTGCGAGGTTTAGATTATCATCGTCGGGAATGTTTAAGGCACCACTGTAAATGTGACATAAAGCAAAGTGAACGGAGGTATAACTAAATCCTTGAAGGGTAATAGTTGATGTCTTTGAGTCGCGCCATTCACCGGAAAACATGGCCGCAAAGTATGGACTTCGAGCGATCAGGATACATTTATGAGCCTTAATACTGCTTGAATTGTCCACTTTAATGGTAATGTCAGAGTTAATATTGTTCATGTACATTTGAAGCAAATCTTCACCCAATTTGGAGCACGCGTTAATTGTACGCTTATACATTTCGTTATTATCGTTGTTGTCAACACTTGAATTCTCATTGTTGTTGTTATCACTAAACGTTGAACTATTTGCCGATGTTATTAGTTGATGTTTTTGTTTAGATCCTATGGAATTCAGTTTATTGCAACTTGTATCATCATATTGTTCACTTTCCGGTTGACCTTCACCGGTCGATATCCAAAGAGAACTTGATGGTTTATTGGTTCGAGTTCGATTCGTTTTAATACTTAATAACCAATCTTCTTCATCTCCATGGGGATTTTCTGAATTGAGGGAAGATAACATTCCACTGTCCATTGAGCTCATCGGTGATGATGATTGTCGATTAAAATTTTTGTTTCGATTTTTGATTTGTAAAAAGTTACGATCAGTCGTCGATGGTCCACCTCTTAAACCAGATGAGCAACTCGCTTGTCGATGGTAATTCATTGATTTTCCTGAGATCAGGTGACTACCAATTTGTTGATTACTCTTTTCGAGCGATTGTTGATTATTATTATTATCATCGCTTTGACTTGACCTACATCGAGTTGACCTGGAGGTTGATAATTTCATCGAGAGTATGGAATCATTTTTACTACTCCTTTCACCTTCATCTTTTTTTGAATTAACTTTAGTTTTGTTTTTGTCCCGTTCAATTGTTCGAGATTTTTGTTCTGAACCACCATCAGTACCAACAGAGTTTAAATCGATGAACATAAAGCCCGAAGAGGTCATATTATTTGTCTTTTCTTCTTTGGTACTTGGTTGACAATTCGGTAAACTAGCAGACATTGAATCCATATCGACGAAAAATTGGAACAATGAACTACTCTGAGATCGAGTGGTCAAACTTTCCGCTGCTTCGGCCAATGGGGTGATAACATCAACATCATTTACAATCGCTTCCTCATTTTCGAGGGAATCTTTGGTTGATGAACAATCTTTAGGAATGCAATTTAAATTTAACTCGAATGAATCAATTTTATGTCGTAAATTGTTAACCAACATCGGTTTCTCTTCAATCAATTTAAACATTTGATCGGCATCATTGTTGTAAACTAATTTCTCCTCAGGAATATCTTTTCGCGATGAATCTTCAAGGGGAATTGATGAGAGTCGATCAAAAGTCCCACTTCTAACCATTTGACTCGAACCACTTGAAGTTAATCCTCCATCTTCACGTTCCTTGGTTCTAGTGGCCAAACTATCCTCGTAATCGGTACTCTGATGGTCATTTTTGTTATTATCCTCCGATGAAAGGCTAATATTATTCAAGGAATCAGTAACAAGCTCCAAACTATCCGAGGGTTTAAGACTATCCTTGTCGATATCCCCTTTACCAGATTCTTTAATATCATCGAGACTATCATCTCGAACTAGGTCATTATTGTTGATACCAATTGGATTGAGTTCATCTCCACCGGATGATGAGATTGACTTTTTATCAATACCAGATTCTGATGTCATATTAATAGTAATATGATCTCGTAATTTATCAATAATCAATGTCTCCTCTAGACTAATATCTTCATGGCAATAAACTTTAGATAGAAAGTCAGTAATCTCTTTACAGTCAATTGTTGACGGAAGTCGATAGGAATTGAATCCTTTACGTGAATGTTTGGTAACAGTGTAATCAAAATAATTAACCAAATGTGAATAGAAAAGTGGAACTCGAGAAGCCAATAAGCAGCTATGACAAGATTTCCTAAAGGTATCGCCTTCGATGAAAGTATCAGCAAGAGTCTCTTTATCCAATAACCTGATTATCGATACACAGATCACCCAAAATAAGGAAGGAAAAAGAAAGGAATAGAATTGTAATATTTTCTGGTAAATAGAATAGAAATTGTGACAAAAAGAGAAAAGAACAAAATAAAACCAAACCAACTCCCCTATCGATCGATGAGAAGGTTTTGGTTACACTTTTTTTCTCTCTCTTTTTCTAACATTAATTGTAATTAATTCTGTTAAATATTCACCTTGTTAAATCTTGTTGTAAAGTCTTTCGACAATTGGAACGTAATTTGTTTAATTCTTTAGCACATTTAGCCTGAAAAGCGTCATTAATGGAAGCCAAAAGAGGCGATGATGATGGTAACCGTTTTCTTGGTGAATTTTTAACCAATGAGATCGGTTGTTGGTTAGAGTGATGATTAGGTGAACTTAAAGAAAAGGCCATTGGAAATTAACTAAATGGTAACAATTAAAAAGATACACAACAGTTGATGGAATAACAATCATCTGAGAATCGATCATTTAATGATTAACCATCCAAAACAATTAAAGTAAAATGATGTAAAGGAGAGAGAGAGAGAGAGAAGAGGTTGATGAAGACAGAAGATGAAACCGTCAGGTGAATGAGAATATAGAAGAAAATTAAATCAATTCAATTGGAGTAAATGAAGAAAAGTAAATTGTTGATAACAGTAAAATAATAACCGGCAATTGGAATTAAAATGTTGCACAAAAGGAGGAAGAGAGCTAATTGTTGATTCTAATTTTAAATTACTCAAACAATTTAAAACAGAAAACAAAGAGAATCACAATTAGAATAATAATTTTTACTCTTTATTGATGTTTTTCCCTTTATGATGGTTACCAATTGAATCCAATGGTTGTTGTTGTTGTTGTTGTTTTCCTCAAGTAGCAAGAAATTAACTGAACCATTTCACAATTTCGTAATCATTTCAGTTTATATATTCAACTGTTTATTATTATAGTTGTTAGATGAGAAAGCAATCAACACAATCAACACAATGTCACAAACAATTAACTCAAAATGAGGTTTAATTACAGATGATGATGATGATTAGATGAGAGGAGATAATGTAGTTAAGTTGAACAACCAAAAGATTAGATAAATTTACTTATTCATCTACTGGAATGAAATGTTAACCAGTGGAAATTGATTATTTCAATTTGGTGATTGATGGAGAAAAGAAAAATAAACAACAATCAAGAATTAGCAGAGAGATAAACACATTAGAAAACCAGAGATTCGGTTCCAAGGCTCAACCATTTTCTTTGTTGGAGCAAAATCAGTGAGCGATTTTCATGGTTCATTTTTTGTTCTATTCTATTTTTTCTCTCTCTCTCCCATTGATAGAAAACCGATAAACAATTAGAATTGTTTGCAATTATTGACATTTTCTTCTTACCTGTTAGTCTATCAAGGAGAACGTGTTACCTTTAATTTTGTTTTTTCTCTTCTGTTTCTTCAAATATGTTTACCTGGTTTTCGAGAGGAAAAAAGGTTATTCAATCACAAAGAATTAATTGTTAACTATTGTGGTTTAGTTTTGAAGGATAATTAAGGTTGAGAATTGAATTTATCACTTTAATTATCGCTATTAAATTGTCCAAATTAATTCCACCCAAGATGGAAAACCTTGATTGTTTGGTAAACAACAATAGCTTTGGAACTCACAATCAACTGTTGGTCAAGATCATCAGATGGTAACTTTAATCAGATGAATTAATTGTTTAAAATCAACCTCATTTCGGTTAATCACTTTCACTATACAGTGTTTACCTGTTGATTGTAATTGGACTGTAATTATCAATGAAAAGAGAGAAAGTGTGAGAAATGATTAATTATGAAGGGAAAAAACTTCGAAAATTTTTTTTTTCGATCATTTTTTTTTCGTATTCTTCCGATTGATTATTATCCTGATGATATTTTTCAGAAATTTCGTTCTTAATCTATTGATTGATTTATAATAGAAATAAATTGAGATCACAATTGGATTGACATTGATAATAAATTTAATTACAAAAAATGAGATCATCATTTAATCACAATCAGCAGGTCACTTATACAAGAGATAATGAGAAAGATATCATTGTTTATATCGTTAGAATTAAACACAGAGAGAGAGAGAGAGAGAGAGAGAGAGAGAGAGAGAGAGAGAGAGAGAGATGAAGATGATAATCAGCTGTAAATGCATTTCTCTTGATGTTTTGGTTTCAGTTATAAATTATATTCGGTCACTTATCAAAGTTTCCACAGCTGATTATCAAATTAATTAGAAATCAGTTATATTCCAATTAATCTATAAATTATCATATTAACATGATAAATTGATAAAATTCGATTGATTGAAAGAGAAGAGATTAATTAAAAGAAAGGTTGACTAAATTGTCGACAATCATTAAATAGATGTAAGTACAAATGGTTGACATTAAGTTGATGGTGTGTTGAAGATACAGATGATGATGATAATGTTAATGATCAGAGGATTGAAAGCAGAATTTAAAAAACCAGAATCCATGATGAAAATGAGTTTCCAATGTTTCGTACGTTCATTTGTCTGGACGATATACTTTTACAACAGTTACAACTTTTAATTGCTTGGGTTTATTTGCGGTGTTAAAACGGTTAAATTAAACTGTGTTTATGGTCAAGTGAATCCCAAATTTGCAAACATAAATCAGGAAATAATTTATGTAAAAGTTAATCCCAATTAATTAACTAGGAAAATATAGTTGACAAGGTCTGAGGATCTTGACTGTATTATAATATCAGATTTACAAGTTGATCTGATTAATGGAAAAAAGTGATTTGCAAATTTGAATTTAAAGAGAAAATTTTTCCTTTTCTGACAATTAACTATTCTATAAGCGTTGTTATTAAACCTTCCATCATCAACCAAATGATCAAAGGCACAAAATCCTCGAAATTTTTATGTATATGAGAATATAAAGTTTCCAAAGGAGGTAAAACATTGAGAGAGAAATACACAGAAAGAGGGAGTCGATGAAAATTTGTCAATTCTAAATATAAGCAGGCGATTCTTGACCAGTTAAAAGACGATACATTGAAGTAGGCATTGTTTTCATAGCAATCTGAGAGAGAGAGAGAGAGAGAGAGCAAAACAATCAATTAGTCAAATTTTCATATAATTTAGATTGATCAATTTACCTCTCCTACTGAGGTTGCTAAAAGATTGACAATCCGTTCATGTGGCACAGCGACAACACTTTGTCCATTAATTTCAATGATTCGATGACCCACTCGGACTCCTCCTCGTTCAGCTATACCACCACGTAAAAGACTACAAATCTGATTGAAAGAAGAGAAAACAAAATTTAATTAAAATTTAGCCGAAAAAAAAACCAAAATCAATCAAATGACCAATTGATAATACTGACCACTCCATTTTGAACACTAAATCCTAATTGATATTTTGTATCAGGTCTCTTTATTTTCACTTCAACCACAGGCGCACAAGGAACCAGTGTCATTTTCACAGCTGTTTGATTTTTTGTATTCTAATTTAAATTATAAACAAAAAATATGATTAACAATTTAATTATCATTCAATCAAAAACTGTTTCCATGAGTTGATAATATCTCATGAGTTGACAGAGTGTATAATTAATTAACACTTACTTTAATATAACTTTGACAAGTCGATAAAGGTAAACCTACAAGGCTGATTCCATTAATTGCTTTTTGATGAAGAAACAAACAATATTAATTCTGAGTAAAATTTTTTTCAAGTAAACAATTAATTACCAATTATTTGATCCCCTATGTTAATTTGTCCACACCGAGCAGCGGGACCTTGTGGTGTCATGTTAGCAATAACAACGGTGGGTAACATTGAGCCCCAACCAGATTCTACAATTACTATGCCCAATATCTCGCCCTTTTGCTTTGGAATAATTATCTGGACAAAAACGAAGAGGGAAAAAGATTTCGAATAAGATTGATTGATTAAAATCGTATTATCTTTTTTCCATGGGGCCGAAATTTTGACCATTGGGGTCAGTAGTTACACGTACTTCTTTTTGCCTATCCTTTTTGGCAAACATTTCCAGCTCATTGCCGAAAATTTCCTGAGAATTTAAAACTTCTTGATAATCCATTTCTTTAACGAAACTAGAATCTTCTATTCCGTTTGCCTTCAGAAATTCCATATAGGCAACTTGAAACGCTTGTCCAATCGATTGAGCAATAAATTGGGCTTCTTCTGACTCGAAGACATGGCATATCATTCTTGGAATACGTTTCATTTTATGGTCATTGGAATCATCTGAAGGATTGACAACACGACGTCGAGTCATTAAAACAAGAAGATCACCAATATCAGCTATATAAGATATTGTTCTTAGTGCATGGTCCATCATTATTTCCTATTGATTAATGATAAAAGAAAAGTCAATCAATAACTAATCATCCAAGTAGCAAATTAAAATCTAAAAGATTAAGAATAAAGTTACTTTTAAGTCTGTATTTAAAACCATAATTTTTTCAGTAGAAATAAATAAATCCACTTCGGTGCTGGGTTGAGATTCACCATCCGGAGCCTAATAATTAATCAAGGAAATTAAAAGAAAATCAGTTAATTAGCTAATTATTTAAGACAGAAAATCAAGGTAAACAATGGGTTAGATGATTGATGATGATGAAAAAAGGGGAAAATCATATTCCTTCAAATCCTTACCAATGACTTTTATAGCAATTGTAAAGATACATTTGGAAAGCATGAGAAAAAAAGTTGAATGAATATTTTACAAATACGAGTTAATAAGGAATTAAAATTTTTTCATTACAAGTAGATTCAGGTAATGAAACAATGAACGAAAAATTATCAACGGAAATTGGAAATAAATCATTACTGTTAATTGGTTCATTTCCGGACAATACATATTACATATCCATACGAAAGAAGCAAAAAAAAGCATTACTATGTAACAGAACTGAATAGTATCAGGTTTCAAATTCAGTTTTTGTGTAAGAAGAATCTAATTTGATTAGTTAGCTGAAAATCAATTATAGACAACCAATAATAATGATTATCATGTTTTTTTTGCTTCAGTCTCGCTGATGAACAACCGATGAGGATAAGTTGAAGGGAGTGCCCAGGTAATTTCTCACCTTAATCCGGGAAACCGCTTCCTCAGCTTGCATCATTCGAGTCGCTTTGGTTGGTTGTCCATTGCATATTAATTGGGTTGATCCAAGGTAACGAGCTCTAAACAGAACTCCTTCAATAAGAGCTAATGGTGGAGATGATGGTGAGAATATGAATTAAGTATAATAAAAAAAGAATAAAAAAAAAGGAAACAGATTATTAAGAGAACGTTTAAATTAAATTAACGGTTTTCTGTTATTCTATTTGTCAATTTAATACTCACTTTCTCGAGGACTGTTCTTTTTTCTAATGTAACCATTATTCTGTTGCAAAAGGATAGACAATTAAGTGAGTTTATGTTGTTGTTAGTTAGTTAATTTGATAATATCACATTTAAAAGCTCATAACTTTTAGATGAATTTTATATTGACTCATTGTGTATGTACATATAGTGGAAAGATGATGATGAAAGAAGCAGAAAAAGATGCAATCAAGATAAGATGGGAAAGTTACTGCTTTATTATCAAAGGTAGACAAGGTAGGTTAGGTTAATTAATTATTAACTGATCAGATGAGAAGATGTAAACAATCAAAAATAAACATTAATCTACCGGTATTTGTAGTTATCATGAGTTTTTCAAGAGCTTAATCAACATAAATCAAAATTACAACAAATATTAATTTAGTCTTATTGGTTAAATGAGATGCTGTTGATATAATTAACGATTAACGATATTTTTTAGTCTAATTTTGTACAAGTTGCTCATTCATTTATATAATAATATATATAAATTGTAAGTTAATATACTGTTGATTTATTCAAAAATTGTATTCCGATTATTATATATATATAATTAACCTGAACAAATTGTGTATGAAATAATAAAAGAAATTAACTAACCAAGAAAAAAAGTTTATATTAAATGAATTGAGAGAAGGTCATGGAAAATTAGATGTCAAATTATTTAGATGATAATTTAGCTCTTGCAAACAATTAAAGGCTGAAACATGAGCACAATCTTGAAATATTGGCAATTTATTGATCATAATCAATCGACAGAAAAAAAAGATTCAAGTTTGAAAATTATCATGATAGGAAAGGGAAAGTTAATTGTAAACATTAAGTTAATATTCAGTTGGATAATAATCTTTGATTGTGATCATGTCAACAGCTCTTTTTTTTGCTGATAAATTGTTAGTTTGGTGAAAGGAGCAGATTGTAATTAAACTTGTTAGTCTGATTTTCAGCTGTTAAATTTAATTGTAATGAGAATTAAAATAAAGGAGAAGCTGATTACCTTTTCATCAAAGTTATTTTTTTCTTCGACTCTTTGTGCACCCAAAAGACGATCAGTTTCTTGATCAGTATCAGATTCTGAAAGTAAAAAAGAAATTTGAAAAAAAAAGATAAGTTAAAAGTTAAATAGAACAGAAACAAAAAGGTAAACAAAGAAAGAAAAAAAAGAGAAAAAGAGGTTAATTAAAGATAGGAATGGGTCAACACAAAGAAGAATAAGAGGAAAAAGATGTAATTCTCATCATACCTTCATCGAGATGGGAATGGGCTTGATGTTCATTCATTTTATTTGAATTGTCCTTTGATTCGAATGATGATTTTGGTTGATTTAGATTGGATATTTTTCGAGAAGAACCATGGTCTTGTTCATATCTGGTAGAAACAGAGAAAAGAATAAGAAAAATGTAAGTTTTTTGAGAAAGGAAGATGAAGAATGAGAAGAAGAGAAGGCGAGTGAGAGAGAGAGAGAGAGAGGGAGCTAAAGAAAGAGAGAAACGAAGATTAAGTGTGAAAGATTGAAGAGGGAAGATAGTGAGTAAGAGAGGAGCAAACATGAAAAAATCAATAAGAAACTTAGCTCGATAAGGTTAAGCACATATACCAATCAAAAATTTAATTAACAATTGAAGAGGGGGTAAAGACATAGTTGGGATTTGATTAAAGTAATTGATAGAGAAAGAGGGGGAAGTGGAAAGTGAGCGATAGAGAGGCAAAAAAAGAGATTTGATCAAGGGAGTAACAACTCTTTAGATTTGATTGTATGGTTTACTCATTTATGTGCCATTGTGGAGATTGAATGTGCAATCATGGAGAAGATAATGATTACAAGGTGGGAAAAGTTAGTTAGATACGTTACCTAGTTTCGAAATTTGATTCGGAAACTGAACTGTTAACTGTTGATCCGAAATTTTGTCCGTTACTTTGGTCTAACTGAAGAGATCGGGTTCGCCGAAAATTTTGTCTATGTTGCTCCATAGGTTGTCGAACCTCAAGAGGTTTATCATACATATCAACTGATTCTTTTAAACGTTCGGGGTGGGAATTATCTGAGAGAGAAAGAGATAATTGTAGTAGAAATTAGATTGATGGTTGAGAGAAAAGGTGTGGATGAGAAGATTTTGGGAAAGAAGAATAAAGCAGAAGGAGAATGAAAGATTAGTTAATAGTAACCTCAAGGTATATGGAAGAAAAGATGATAAAAAAAAACGAGGAAGATAAACTCACCAGCTGTAGAATGATATGATGAATATCCATGTTGAATTTGCTTCTCCAGATTATTTGAACTTTGACAATTTCTTCTTTCATCATAAGAGACTCGTTCTTGAATACAATCGATAAGTGTCTCCTTAATGCCTAATATTGAATCTTTATCACGTTTAATGACCTGAGTTGAATGATTGACAGGTTGATTTGTGATTGTTGAAATTGGTAAATTGGTTACTGATGTTGTGGTTGCTGTTAAAACTGAACATGAGGCTGATGGTGTTGCTATTGTTGTTGCTGTTGTTGTTGTTGTTGTGGAAATGGTTGTTGTAGTTAGAGAAGAGGATGTGGTAAGTGTATCTAAAGGTGGGGAAGTTTCATCGAAATCATCATCTAATTCATTATCACTGGAAGGTATTCCACTGGAAAGACCATCTTCAAGGATTGGCATCATGTTACTCCGGGAAAGTGAATGTAAACTACCCTCACCAATTGAAAATTCACTTTCAATATCATTACTATCTCCATCGGTAATCTCTGGTGATAGAGAGAAATGATGAGGTGGAAGTAAATCATTCTCATAAGTTTCAGCAGCACGAATTAGATTATTAAATGAATTTGGATTAATAGAATTTGAATGCCATGGATCACCTTTAACAAGTCCAGCTAATCGTCCAGGTAAAAGGGATGATGGATTGATAATCTTTTTACTTGGTGAGCTCATATCATCGGTTTCTTTTTCATCGGCTTGCTCAGTTACTAACGGTAATTTTGGTCCATATCTACGAGGTGAACCGGTATATTTAGCTATGGGCACATTACCAATGATTATTTGATCCTCTTCGGGACTTTCTTGGTCACTTGAAGATGCATTACTGTTATAACTGTTGATATTGTGATTTATCAATAATTTATTGCCAATTGAAAGATTCTGGGGCTCCTCACATGATGAGGATGGTGTTGTTATTGGCTGTCTTTGGCATGTACCAGGTACAGCGTTTAATTGACCAGTTAAAGGTACTGTTGGAGATTTATTAAAATGTAATTGTGATTGCAATTGTTGACTAGAATCGTTGTTGTTGTTGCTGTTGACATTAAGGTTGCTGTTATTGTTGAAAAGAGTTGGTAAGGAAATGGTTGAGCTAACACGATGTGGAGGGGGTGTTGATGGTGGACTTCGGTCTTGTGAATATGGAAAATCACCTTTAATCCGGACTAGAGGTTCAGGATCATCATTATCCATTAAATCTTGTTGTTTTGGGTCATCTTCATTCCCTCCAGTTGACCGTCTTCGTCGTTGGTGAGAATGGTGATATTGAACAAAATGAAACTGATGGTGATTATGATCATGTGAAGGAGTTGATTCATCATCATCTTCAAGGGAAGAAAGTAATTTGTGAATTTGATAATGAGATGGTTGATCTTGTTGTTGTTGTTGTTGCTGTTGTTGTTGCTGCTGTTGCTGTTGAAGATGAAGTGGATGATGGTGATGATGATGGTAGTGGTGATGGTGATTAGAAGATTGTGGTGATTGGGAATGTAAGGATGAATGGTTACTACCGTCGGTACCGTTATCATTTACAGAAATGCCATTTTCTGAATTAACACAAGCCCCTCTGCCAGCAGTAGTCTCTTTGGTATTACTACCGTCTGACCGAGGGCGACATTTAGGGAATAGGTTCTCAATTATTTCGTCGTACCCTGTCACCTCTTCAAAAGACAAAGCTAAGGCGATTTCTTCAGGCGAAGAGATTGACATAAATTAAACCTACTCACCAGATCACCAGGGAGTTTTCTCCGCTTTGACAGAAAAAATCAACCATACGGGAAGAGATTTAGTTTAAGCGAAAAGAATAAGAAAATTGTTCGAACAAAATAACAAATACAAAAAAAGAAAGAGAATAGAGAAAGTGATAAATGTGAAGGGAAGAGAAAAAAAAAATTATATAGAAAGAGAAATGAAGGTTTATAAGTGTTGTCACCACATAACAGGTAATCTCCCAAAAAAGATTTGACTGGAGAGAGAAAGAAACAAGAAAAATAGTAGACTAATTAGTTGTAAGATGAACAGAGAAAAAAAGAAAATCAAAAAGGAAGAATAAGATTAACAATAATTAAAACTTGTGATTGCAATTAAGGAATAAAAATTGAATAAACAAGAACAAAAATGAACATTTATGTTCGAGTTGAGAAAAGAAAATTATTTTTCTTTTATCTCCTCCCCCTTTTCGATTAGAATTTTACATTTTCCTCTCAATAGATGGAAACACTTTCTTATTCTTTTTTTTTTGTTGTTATTTTGATAACATTTTCTATGAGAAGAAAAATTAACAATTAAATTGTTTACTTTAGATTAAAGGTGTTGATTTGATTGTTTGGAATAAATTGTTGATTGAAATCTATGGTTTTCCAATGAGAGTTTGTATTAGTTGACAAGGTTTGATATTTTCTATTTTCGTTTTTTTCATTCTATTCTTTTCTATCAATTTAAATTGAAATTATCTCTCATCTAAGTTGATTTCAATTCAGTTTTTTAGTTAATTTAATCTAATTGTTTCCTTTTCATTTCAGTTATTGATTGGTTTTCTTTTATGGCTTTTCAAGGCTTGTTAATGGGTTTAATCTACTGACAACTTTATCGGTGTTTAATTATGTAAGGTTGACTTTGAATGTCATTTGCTATTGGATTGTGACTTGGACTGAGATTTCAATCATTTGGTGGAACAAGCGAAATGGACAAAATCAAATGAATCAAAATGGTGATTAATTGTAATCTTGTTGATCAAATTTAAGGTGCAATTAGCGAAATAAGATGAGAGTTTGATGAGAATCAGTGACGCGTTTCTATGCAAAAGGAAAAACAATAAACCAATTGAAGTGGTGGAAATGTGAACAAGAAACAACAATCCAAATAGATTGAAAGGTAAATCAAGATGACATCGAAAGACAATTAACCGATTGTTACCGTTATGAAGATTTAATTGTAAAGAAAGAAAAACAAAGGAAAAGGAACCAGTAATTACCTAGTAAGATGGTGATCAAGATAAAGTGTCAATCAAATGGTTTCCACCCTTTAATCAGGTAAGAAGAAAATTGTTTATATTTACAATTAACTAGAGTTTATTGAATTGCTGATGGAACATAATTAATCCAATTTAATTGTATAAAAGAAAAAACTGAAACATGATGGAAAGATGGAAAAAGAGAATCACAAAAAATGAGAGACTAGAGTTTAATGATCACTAAAACCGGAGAAAGGAAGATGAGAGAGAGAGAGGAAAGTCTTGGCTTCGGTGAGATGGAGAAAGAAGAGAAAGAGGAGAAAATAGACAGAGAAAAAGTAAGAATGATTCTTATTGATTGATTAAATGAATCGTAGTCATCATCAGAATGAACCTCTCGGTGAAAATGAAGATAACAAGTTACTGATGAGAATGTAATCTAATTTAATCAAATTCCCAATAACAGTTGTAATACAAACACAAGTGTAATAACAATTTGGGATAATTGGCAAATGAACTAGTAATTAGTTTATTTTTCCAATTGGTAAAACATCATTTGTGTTAATCATCTTGTTAACTCGTTGAGATTAATTCAAATTGTATGTTGATTTGTTTTTCTCCTCATATTTTGTTATTCAAGTTGATCAATTGTTCATCCAAATATTATTCACGATTCCAGAAACAATTGAAATTATCCTAATTTCATGTTGTAATTACACCGGTGAAAATTTACTAACAAAATTGTAATCAAATTTTATTTCATGATTCCATAGTTACTGAATGGATGGTAATTACGATTGTATAAGAATCTTTGAAAAAAGTACCGATGGCCCTTAAAATTGTCGATTCATTTACAAGTTCGATAATTTTTCTTTCTATTAATTGGATGGTTCTGATTTTCTTCCTAAAAAGTTATCGATCAAGTTGTCAATCATGAGAAGCCAATTCTAAAAAATTTTCAACAATATACCGTCGAACCAGATGAATGTCTTCAGTGGAAACAATTCACTAATCGCGATCGAATCTCAACTGCTCTAATTAACCCTTTTAGTGATGTTTTCTCTTTGGCTTCGGGTTCCTCTTCACTCATCAATTAGACATGTAAAAATCGTGGATTAAGTTAACAACATTTAAGGTTCGAGTCTGAAATGAACCAATAAAACTGATGAATACAAATGACCAGAATGGATTGAATCCTCATAAAGTGACCATTATCATCAAGTCCACCAAGAGCGTAAAGTAATTCAAGGCCAGTGATTAAATTATATTCTGGTGGTTCCGAGGGAAAACTTTGGGAGTTTTTTCATCAGTAGTAGACAAAAATCGTTAAAATCGATCGAACCGTTTTCGAGATAAATTGAAATTAAATTCGAGTCCAACTTTTTTTAGCTCAATGATAGTTGCAAAATTTACGTCAATCAAATTTAATCAACAGTTACAATCGATCATTGGTTAAATTTGAGATGGTTTAATTCCAATGAAAAATAGATTAATAAAATTGTAAAGATTTTTCCATAATAAGAATTACTGATTGATTGCGATTACGATTTCAGAATTTAAAAAAAAAAGTTTCAATGGTCAAAAAAATTGTCGATTAATTTACAAGTTTGCTACTTTTTTCTGTTATTTTGATGATTGTAATTTTCTTTCTAAAACCTCACGATCTGTACCGAATTCATAATAATGAGGTGCCAATTCGTATAACCATCGACAATCAATCACTGTACAGTCTCTCATATATTCTTTGGTGGTATGAAGAACTTCAACAAAAATGACCCATTGTGGAGGTCGAGGTCGAGTGTAAAGAACTGAGGTTGGATGAAGATGAAGTTCATGATCTCCTTTAACTGTCTTATAAACACCGGTGGGATGGAGATAAGCAGCATTGGCGAAAAATCCTGCAACTATACATCGTCGAACCAGATCAACATCACCTTCGGCAGAAACAATTGGTTCATTAAATCGTCGAAGTAATTTAGATAATCGAGATCGAACCTCAACTGCTCTTAGTAAACCTTTATAATTGAGATACTTTGAATCAGCCCAACTTTTCACTTTACCCGCTGCCATGAAACTATTATAAACATTTAGATAAGTTATTAAATCTCCTTCTTCGACTGAAAATGAGTGTTTACAATTTCGAGCGGCTATTGATCGTTGACCAGAAGAAGGTTGAACAAAAATATTTTGGACTTGTAACATAGACGCAATTGTAAGAGCTTCTTCTGAACAACCCATGGAACCAGAGATTAATAACATTTTGGCAAACATTGGTTCCAATGGCAATTCAACCATTTGAAGGCCAAGAGGTTCGGTCAAGTGACCATTATCATCAAGTCCACCAAGAGCGTAAAGTAATTCAAGTCCAGTGATTAGATTATATTCTGGTGGTTTAGAGGGAAAACTGAATTTAAGAATATTATTAACACCGAGAGCTTTTAATTGTAAGATGACTGGAGATAAGGATGACCGACGAATCTCTGGACAAGTAAATGGTTCTAAAGATTTGTAATCATTTTCGGTGTATAAACGGTAAACAGAACCAGGTTTGGTTCTACCTGCTCTTCCGGCCCTTTGGGCGGCCGATGCTTGAGAAATGGGAACCACGACCAAAGAATCTGTACAAGTTTTCGGATTATAATATCGAAGTTTAACAAAACCACAGTCGATCACGTAAACAATTCCGTTGATTGTGATGGAAGCTTCGGCAAGATTAGTGGCCACAATTACTTTACGAACCGAACGAGGGAAAACATCAAACACTTTGAGCTGATCAGCTGAAGGTAAAGATGAGTAAAGGGGAAGAACAAACATCTTCCTGTAATCGGGATTATCTTTAATTCCTCTGGCATAATCTAGTAAAGATTCACAAGCCTTTTCCACTTCATCTTGTCCCGTTAAAAACACGAGAATATCACCAATTCCTAAAGTCTCATGGATTTTAATTACACAATCAACGGAAGATTTAAGATAATCAGCTACTGGTTCATTGGAGAAAAATATTTCCACTGGATGAGTTCGACCTTCAATCGCTAAGTTGGTCGTTTTAAGGCCATCTTCGGTGAAAAAATCTTCCATCGTTTCCACTTCAACCGTTGCCGAAGAAACAATTAACCTAAACTCGGGACGTTTTCGGAGAATTTTCTTCATCAAACCAAGTAGAACATCAGTTTGTAAGGTTCTCTCATGAATTTCGTCAACCATAATAACAGAATAATTTTTCAATAACGGATCACTCATCATCTCACGGATCAAAATCCCTTCCGTCATGTATTTAATCACCGTGATTCCAGGTTCATAACAATCATCAAATCGGATACTATAACCAACTTGTTTACCAAGGTGACATCCTCTCTCTTCGGCCACTCTTTTAGCCAGTGAAGTCGCTGCTACCCGACGAGGTTGAGTAATACCAATTGTGAACAAATTGTCAACACCTCTTGACCAACCGGCATCAGTTAAATATTGGCCAATTTGGGTACTTTTACCACAACCAGTTTCTCCTCTAATTACCAGAACTTGATGTTGTTCCAGCAGATAAAGTAGTTGATCTTTAAACTGTAAAAGAAGAAGAAAATAAAATTATCATTAAAAGATGGACATTGGTCACTTTCCATGTTAATTAAAAGTTAATTACTTCATAAATCGGCAGTCGATATCTTTGTTGGTCAATTGGAATTCCTTTATTTGGATTATAAGTAACTGTTGTTGTCTCATTGGCTTCAGGTCGTTCCTCTTTCCATCCCTCCACAGTTAAACCTGTAAAAATCATGGATAAATTGTAAACAATTAAATTTCGAGGCAAAAAAGTTGAATCAATAAAGTGATGAATTTTGATGATCACAATAAATTGAATCTTCATTAACCAAGATTTATTTTCGGTTGAAAACAAACTGGTAAAATTCAATTTAGTGATTGGTCCATACTAATTAGCGCTTAAATTAAACCGAAATGATTTACCAACAATTAAGATTATTGATTGGTTTGGAATCACTTTTCTTTTCGCTTAATTAATAATCACAATCACGTTCAATTAATTATAGTTTCACTTTAAAATGGTTTCCTTTTTGTTTCTAATCAGCTGTTGAATATTTGGTTTCCTTTCCCTTCAAACGGATTAGTTTTTAACACTTATTAATCCACAATTCTTAGATTTTATCATCAGCATCATCATTATTTGGATAATATATTAGATGACAATTAGTCATTTACTTGCCTTTGTTCATTTTGATGTTTTAATATTTTTAACCATTTGGTTCACAGTATAATAGAAATTGTTATTGACCAAGTAACAGAGATACTGGTCAATATTTAACCGATGACAATCAGAAAGACAATAAGGGTTATAATGAAGATAATTAATTGAGTTTAAAATTTAAAGAGATAACATCGCAAGTTCTGATTATTGCTTTAGGTACAATTCCAATGGCAGTTTCAAGATGTTCAACAATCAAATGATTGAAATTAGGATCACCTGATTTGTAAGAAGCTTTTAAAGAGGTGAGACCAGTTTCGTACATAACAAGGTTTACTTGTTTTCCCCGAAGAACCATCAAAGTGTCCAGGAAATCTTTCCGAAGCTTAGAACGTAATATTTGGCCTTCTTCTTGAACCTTAGGATTGTCATCACCATGTTCCATGATATAAAACTAAACTAAAATGTCCAAACTTGATACCAGAAAAGAGAAGGAGAGAAAACAAAAATGTTCCAGTGACACAAAAAGATGAAACCAGAGAGATAAATTGGATTTTTCGATTAGAGCATTTTCAATATTATCATGATTGTGAGGCCTTCAGGGTGAAACTTGAAAATCTATCAACAGTCAAAATGAATTATTCTTGTTGACACATAACCGTAAGCAAATTAATTATAATAAAAAGAGATTAAGATTAGACAATAATCAGTTTCTTTTAATTTTCGGACAACAATCAACATAATAATAATTAAAATGCAAACCACCAACAGTTTGATTAATTGTGATTAACTATTAATATTTAGTTACAATCAACTCAACGATAATCATGATTAACAAGCTCCTTGATTTGGTTATATTAATTTGTTTTTGTATAAATAGTTTGAGAAAAAAAGATTTTGTTTTCTTGCTCTTCTTTGGTTGATAAATTATATTATAATCCAATTGCAACCGGACACTATCAAAAGGGATACGGATTAAGATTATGGTTTACCGTTATTCAGGAGTGAGGATTAGTCGGTAAGGATTAACATGATGATGAGAGTGATGGTCAACTTACTTGTGTACCTGTCTTTTTATGGATAGCTAAACAAACTTTAACGTAATCACCTGAACCGATTTCCTTGGCCACATCGTATTCATCTTCGATCACGATTCGTTCGAGGTCAATTTCTCGAATCTTATGAATTAAACTTTCCTTTGTTTGCGATTAAAGTGGAAGACATGATAATATTTACTTGAGTATTTTGGTTTACGTTGAAAAGGCGAAAAAAAGATTTTGTTTTGTTTATTACAATTCTAAATTGTTTCAATCCAATTGTTGATCGAAAATCGTTAATCACTAGTTGCTGATTAATTCCAAATGAAAAACGTTATTAGGTAACATTGTTTTCTCCTCATTAATTGTTACCTTGTCTTTTTTTGTTTTGTTTATTTTTGAAAAATAATCTAATTCAGTTTTGATTTGATTGTTTTGTTGAAGATCACAGAAGATTAATTAGTTTGGTGTTGAATTAAATTGAATTGATTGTTGACCAGTTTGATTAATTTTTAATTTATCACAATTAGCGATGATATGATCACATGATATCCTTTGATTGACCTTGTAAATATATGTAATATAAGGTTTGATTAGCAATCCAAATGATTATCAACCCAATTAATTGTTGTAATCATTGTTTTTGTTTGGTAACGAGGATTTAATTAACTTAAATAACCCTTAGTGAGGTGAAAAATAATTAACTAGATTCAAGTTGATCAAGGATTATGATGATAAATGTGGTGATGATGTTGGTGGGGAATTAAGTAAATGATGATAATTTAAAATGATATAACAAAAACAAACACACAAACGTAACTAAATTAACTCAATCGATGAAACAATTAATCAAATCAATTGTGTAAAAAAAGTACTTAAAACAGCTCAATTTTTGATATTATTTTCTCTCTTCTTCTCTTATTGGTATAATAGATAACGGTACAAGAAGAAGATGAGGAAGATAAAGGAAAGAAAGAGGAAAAAGAAAGAGAATCAAAAATTATGGAGGATAAAGTGAATTTCTAGTAACTACAATAATTGGAACAACTTGTAAGAGTGGAAACACATACATGGAGAGGAATGAGGATGAAGCCTAGGGGGTGGTTTTTGAGCAACCCAGTAACAGAGCTACGCCTTTGTTACTTTGTGATGTAACCATCACTAATAATACATCTCTTTCTTTTCCGTTGTCGTCACGACAACGACAGTTACAAACAAGTCTCATTATCTGGTAGTTTACTGTAGAAAGAGAAATGAAGGTTTATAAGTGTTGTCACCACATAACAGGTAATCTCCCAAAAAAGATTTGACTGGAGAGAGAAAGAAACAAGAAAAATAGTAGACTAATTAGTTGTAAGATGAACAGAGAAAAAAAGAAAATCAAAAAGGAAGAATAAGATTAACAATAATTAAAACTTGTAATTGCAATTAAGGAATAAAAATTGAATAAACAAGAACAAAAATGAAAATTTATGTTCGAGTTGAGAAAAGAAAATTATTTTTTTTTATCTCCTCCCCCTTTTCGATTAGAATTTTACATTTTCCTCTCAATAGATGGAAACACTTTCTTATTCTTTTTTTTTTGTTGTTATTTTGATAACATTTTCTATGAGAAGAAAAATTAACAATTAAATTGTTTACTTTAGATTAAAGGTGTTGATTTGATTGTTTGGAGTAAATTGTTGATTGAAATCTATGATTTTCCAATGAGAGTTTGTATTAGTTGACAAGGTTTGATATTTTCTATTTTCGTTTTTTTTTCATTCTATTCTTTTCTATCAATTTAAATTGAAATTATCTCTCATCTAAGTTGATTTCAATTCAGTTTTTTAGTTAATTTAATCTAATTGTTTCCTTTTCATTTCAGTTATTGATTGGTTTTCTTTTATGGCTTTTCAAGGCTTGTTAATAGATTTAATCGACTGACAACTTTAAAATGGTTTCCTTTTTGTTTCTAATCAGCTGTTGAATATTTGGTTTCCTTTCCCTTCAAACGGATTAGTTTTTAACACTTATTAATCCACAATTCTTAGATTTTATCATCAGCATCATCATTATTTGGATAATATATTAGATGACAATTAGTCATTTACTTGCCTTTGTTCATTTTGATGTTTTAATATTTTTAACCATTTGGTTCACAGTATAATAGAAATTGTTATTGACCAAGTAACAGAGATACTGGTCAATATTTAACCGATGACAATCAGAAAGACAATAAGGGTTATAATGAAGATAATTAATTGAGTTTAAAATTTAAAGAGATAACATCGCAAGTTCTGATTATTGCTTTAGGTACAATTCCAATGGCAGTTTCAAGATGTTCAACAATCAAATGATTGAAATTAGGATCACCTGATTTGTAAGAAGCTTTTAAAGAGGTGAGACCAGTTTCGTACATAACAAGGTTTACTTGTTTTCCCCGAAGAACCATCAAAGTGTCCAGGAAATCTTTCCGAAGCTTAGAACGTAATATTTGGCCTTCTTCTTGAACCTTAGGATTGTCATCACCATGTTCCATGATATAAAACTAAACTAAAATGTCCAAACTTGATACCAGAAAAGAGAAGGAGAGAAAACAAAAATGTTCCAGTGACACAAAAAGATGAAACCAGAGAGATAAATTGAAGAGCCTTTTTTGAAAAGCCTAAAGAAGAATCAAAAGAAAAAGATGAGAACAGAGAACTCGATTAACCATTAAATTGATAAAAACTATTAAATTAGACTAGTGAAATAATCCAATCAAGTTAATCGTAATTAAGAAAACAAATGAAAGAAACAAAAATATTTTGAAAGAAAAAAATTTCTACAAATGGACTGAGTTAAATTCCAACAGATGGCGCTTGAAGAGAGAACCAGAATGACGAAATTGATTAATGAATCTTCAGTTTTGATTGTGCTCTCAATTAATTTGTTTGATTAGTCTAATCAATTAGTTAATTTCTTTTCTTGGTTAGCGTGAACCCTCAGGTGAGGGGAAGGTTTCTTTTAACATTTTCACTTGTGTTTGTTTATTTTCCTCCAAATTTTGGTTTGGTTGGTTTATTTTCATGGTGACAAAATGGCCTCCATTTTGGCCTCAGTGATGGACAATTAAAGCTTATCGGTGATCTATATGATTATTTTAATAGTATTTCTATACAATTTTCTCAACAATTTGATTCTAATCATTCTGTTACTTGTATTGGTAATTTTACTTTTGTATTAATCAAAAGGGAATTGTGATTGAAACGTAATTTTGAAATTCTCAATCATCAAAATCAACAAGTGATTATATTTTCTCCCCTTCAAGTTTTAAGTGATTAGGATGATCATTAATTTTTTTTGTTTGGATTGGAATCTGATCTTAATTAAATGGTAAGTTTTAAACTCTCTGTAATCTTGTAGACAATTAAATCTCTCGACATTTTAAATGTCTCATTTAAATTGTGGATCATCGATTATCGATAAGTGTGACAACAAGAATCGAAAATGAAAATGTTACAATTGGATGATCATCAGGAACTTGAATCCTTTTAATTATTGGTTCTTTAAAAGTGTGGTTCCTTTAATCAATGGGTTAAAATGGTGAGAGAGTCAATTGTTTACATTATTAAAAATTTGTTTCTTTTATTGTGTCAAAATTAACGAGCACATATATTAGCATGAGTAAGGAAAGAATGACGAAAACACCGAGTAAATATCATCGACAATTCAAAATTGTAAAGTTGTAGTAATTAAGGGATTGGGAATTACATTAGAATATTGAAAAGTGACCTAAATTGTATCTCTATTTTTTAAATAAGAGATAAATCGTCGAGCAGAAAAATATACAAAAAATAATTTGAAGGGAAAGATGGAGTTAATTGATTGATCATAAAAGCAAAAATGGTTATGAAGATGAAACAATGAAAAGATGATAATGATGATGATGACGATTAGAATAGATTACAAGAGTTTAATTTTGTATTCTATTTGATTAACTGCAATTCCAGACTTTTATCCAAGATGAGATCGTCCATTTCTTTATGGTAATCATGAGTTTCCGATACATCGGTCAGGCTACAATTAAAGGCGGAATCAAAGGATTCGGAGTGAAAAGAATTGGTTACAGGACAATTGGCGAGTTCCATTAAGGCCAAAGCTCCCATCAGTCGATCTGAACTAAGCTGCTCATAATTAACCTTATTATCGACGCTAATTGGCCTTTTAACTGGACTACTATTGTCGGTAATTGTTCCAGCATCGGATCCGTTGTCTTGAAGATGTTCAAGTTTAGCTTGGAGCTGAAGAGCGGCTCTTTTTTTCTTCCAGATGAGAGCCGAATTTTCCTGACAAGAATTACCCGTTTCGGAGACATGATCTAAATCAAGGTCCAATTTTCGTTTAAAAGGTCGATTTGAACAAGATTCCTTTGGTCGTTTTAATCCTTGTCTTTTGATTGATCGATAATAACCTTGTAACCAGTCAAGAATTTCCTGACTTGTGTTATTTAATGAACTGTTGGACTTTAAGATGGACACTGGTGACCCAATATCTTTATCTCTGGAGACACCGACCATCGGGTGAACTGGACACCGTCTATTTGCATGAGTAAAACGATTTCCACAACCTGAAGATACAAACACACGAGGAAAAAAAATAGAAAATTGATTTAGAATTTTTTTGTTTTCGAATTGGAAAATTCTAAAAGAGAATAGAAAATAATCACTTTACCTTCGAAATTACATACAAATGGCTTTTCACCAGTGTGAAGTCTCTGGTGAGTTCGTAATTGTCCCGATTGAGCAAATTTACGACCACAATCGGGGAAATCACACACATACGGCCTTTCACCGGTGTGTATCCGTAAATGGGCTTGAAGTGATTTCTCACGAGGAAATGTTCGTTTACAGACATCACACTTAATTGTAGAACCAATAAGTTCATTAGTTGTTTCCATGAGACTTGTAATTGTTTCCAATTTAGGTCGACCACGTTTCAATTTATTTCGATACTGTGAACCACTTAAACGATTCTCTGGACAATCATTTTCCGAGACTGGACTTAACTGAATGGTAGAACCAACATCATATAAATTAATTGAAGATTCAGAAGAATCTAATGGTCTCTCAGAATTCCAACCACCACCATGAAGAACAACATTACACGAAGTTATAGTACTATTATCATAGTAATAAATAGACGAAGGTGAAGATGTACCAGAAATTGGCGATTGAATTAAGGTGAACTTTTTAGCCAAAGGTGAATGAAAAGATGAACAATTTTTTGAAGAAATGGAACAATTTTCACCATCACCATCACTTCTAGAAATCCGATAATTTGATTTATCATCAATATCCTTATTCGTCTCAAACCCATGGTCTTTACCATTCGCAAATATAATAACACTTTCACTACGAGTTTTATTTCCAGAGTTTGGTGTTGACTCCATGGTTGTTGTTGTTGTTGTTTTCATCTGAACAAATTGTTATCAAGACACAAACGGAACACTTTCAAAGGAATTGACAAAAAAAGTTCTCCAATAATTAGAGATAAATTGTGTCCACAAAGAATTAAAAAGAATTAGTTAAAAACTGAGATTGTTCCCAACAAACTCACCAAAAGAACTGGTTAAAAGCGCCAATCCATTTAACAGGCAATTCTGTTTACCCGCTCAAACGATGATCCATTTTCCCGGTAAAATAATTCAACTCTATTGGTTGTGTTTGTTTCTTGTTTACTTGTTACCATTGAGCCTTCACTTGGCGCTTTGTTATTGTTGTTTCTCCCTCTCATCTTGTCTTCTTCTTTTTTCTCTCTCTCTCTCTTCTTATCATCATCCTCATCATCTTACTTTGTACATTTTGTAACCAATTCCCGCTTTGGTTGTTTTCTATTCTCCCTCTAAGTGAGTTCCCTCCAACTTTTTCCATTCTCTCTTTGTTGTTATGTTCACAGTAGAGACAAAGTAACAAGCCTCACATTTTCATCTCTAAGGTGATATTCCCATAGACACTTTGTTTCAACCCATTAATTTAATTGATCAGCAACAGTTGTTTAACTATGTTTCCATTTCTCATAGTTAATTTTTATAATTTAAATTTTCTCTTCTTTTTCTTTCAATACCAGATCAATCAGCTATAAATCGGTCACCTTGAGGCCTCTTCTATCATCATGAAAGGCTCCAATTTCCTCTGATCTGTTGTTCAACTTGTAATAGGTTTGTTTTGATTTTTAATTCAATTCTCAACAATTGGAGAAAGTTCTCATTACAATTATAATTTAATGTTGTAGTTTCTAATTGGTTGTTACCTTTTTTTTTGCTATTTTTTCTCTCTTTGTTTTAGTCAATCTTCTAAGAGATTATCCAATTAATATTCAACGAGCAATTATCAAAAATTCTGTTTGCTTATCGAGGTGAAATCAGCTGTTGGGTTTCAGGAAAAACCTAATGCATGAGACTGTTAACAACTGTGGTTTACACTAACATTGATAGATACTCATTAGATGATAGTATCCAATTTTTACTCGGCTGATGAAGCAATTAACTTGAGAGAAACACCATCAGCTGATACTTATCTTAATAAAGTAATAGCAGCTAATAGATGTGAAGCTTAGGCAATTCATCCTGGTTATAGTTTTCTCTCTGAGAATCGTGAATTTGCTGATATAATTAATTCATCCAGACTTATGAATATTGGTCTACCATTTTCATTGACCGACTACTCAATTAGCATCAGCGAGACGAGAATCACTTAAATCCTTTGGTGATCAATAGGTCCTTATTGAAAAGCATGTCGCCGATCAACATACAAGTAGTAACTTTCTGGAAGATTGTTCAGTTGAACGAAGGCTCCAGAAGACTATTGAACAGGAAACAGAAATCGAGACTCGAGCTGAATTGGACAAAGCCACTTTGCAAGCTACTTAATTGGTTAACTGGTGCTGGAGTTTATTTACGACCCTAAATCTTGTACAAATGAACACTCGAATTCAAGTTGAAGTACTTCTACCTGAAGAACTTCAAGTAAATGAGATTATAACTCGAGTGGATTTGGTTGAATAGAAAATACGATTTGCTCTTGGTGAGCCTTCACCAAATATCAAGAAGAGATTAAACTTCATAGACATGAAGGCCAGAATTCACACAATCCTTAGTATGATTTTGGTACAACGATGAAAAATACTGATTATGCTCAAAGCGGATGAAAACTGTCCGATTGGCTCACAATCGGTAATGAAAAATAATTAAGATGAAACAATCAACTGTAAATTATTAACAGTTTACCTTTAGTAATTGAACAGTTAAAAATTGCTCAACTTTCTCAAGTATATTGTTTATGTTACTTGAAAGCGATGATGAAGACATTATATTAGTGAAATAGTGTAACTGTTTTCTTCAAATTGGTCGAAAACGAAACTCACAATCTAAAACTTCAACTTTTTCATGATTATTAAATACGATCATGAGAGAATTAACTTGATCCGAAGTCTCTGTTATCCAAATGGAAGAAAATCAAAGATAATTTACCTGGTTAACTAAACTTAGTTGATCGATAATATTATTAAAACTTCTCAGCTTGATTATCATTCTTGCCAATAAGATGAACAATGAAGCGATTCTGGTTCAAATGAATCGACAACATTGAGAAAATTTTTACCATCGAAAAGGAGAAGAGACAAAACTGTCGAAATCATATCACTTTCTACTCTCTCAGTATCTTCCATATTCTCCCATTTAAATTGTAATGTTTTCTCTCTCTCTCTCTTTCCTTTTCGACTTTTTCTTCTCACTGGTTTTAAATGGACTTTCTTTTAAAGCCGCAGGCAAAATACCTCTGACATTTTTCTTGCTTGATTTTCTTTTTCTATTGTTTAGTTTCTCTCTTTTCTGGTCATTGGTTTTTCCTTTTTGTCCAGTTTCCTTGCACGTGCTTCTCTTGCTGATATACTTATTGGAATATCGAATTTCAATGGAACAATTTACCAAGTTTCAAACAATTCGAATGAGAAAATATAATATCAAAGCTGATAGGATATTCTGTTGATCTTTTTTGATCAACACCAAATTCTGTTGATATGATTACATAAAATTCAATGGCAACAACAAGAAGAATCCATTGAATCTTCAAGCCAAAGACAGAATCATCTCAACTCATCAATCTAATTACATGAAGCAAATTATATTTAGACTAATACATCTACACCTTACTTGTTGATTACATGTTAATCTATTACTCTTGCCTTCCTCTAACAGGAAATCTCTTTGTTATTATCCTGTTAAACTGTGAAGGTGACAATTAACTCTTGGAGGAATCAAAAATATCTAACATTATCCTATCACAATCCCGGAAACAAGTGATTGTGTTTTAATCCAGTAAATCTCAATTGTTTTCAATCTCAAAATCAGGATAAAATCAGAATACCTCAGTGTTTGTTTTACAATCTTCTCAAGTGAATACAAAATTATCACCAAGAGAAACATTGAGAACGAGAAACATTCAAGTTATTGAGAAATTGTTATGAGGATAAACAACAACAATTTAGTTGATGGTTTGAGAAAAATGTCAACAATTTATCATGAAAATGAAAGAAAAAAAGTGTTACAAGTGGCAGAGGCAAAAGGAAAAGACGAAGATGAAGATGAAGATTGACTTGAGACATTTTCAGTTGATAACATCAATGGTAGAAAAATTTGGCAATTAAGTTGATTGTGAACATGATGATGACTATGATGAGAATGAGAATGAGCAAGAAAGAGGAGGAGAAAGACAAAGAAGATAAAAATCATCTCCTCTGTATCTTGGCTCAAACGCTGAATAACTTTCAAGTTAAAAAAGATTCACATTTAGCCCAAAAAAAGTCATAGCGATAACTACGATTTTCCCACCGCGAATGAAACATCACCAAAGTAGAGAGCGAGAGAGAGAGAAAAAGATGATGATGAAGATGAAGAAGATGAGGGAGAGAGAGAAAATGAGAGATTCTGATGATGAAGCTTGAATTTTCTGTTCTTTTCTCATCTTCATCTCATCGAGAATTGGAATTTTCTTGAGAAATTTTCATTTCTTGTTAATTGATTGTGATCATCTTCTCTCATCATCATCATCATTTTCATCTCTTCATCTGAGGATAAATTTGATTCTTTCGTTTCATCAGTGGAGATAAAAAATCTTCTTTATCCAGGTAAGAATCAATTTCGTTTCTCTCTCTCTCTCTCTCTCTCTCTCTCTCTCTCTCGCTCTTTCTCACTCTCTTTCTTCTCTCTCTAACGGTCTTTCTTCTCTGTGTCTTTTCTCTTTCTTATTTGTCATCCCTTGATCATCCTTCTCATCATTATCTTCATCATATCATCTTATTGTTTCAAATTAACTTTCGAAATCCTAATCCTAATCCTAATCCTATTACCTTTGTAATCGTTACCAATGCTTTTGCTTGGCTTATCCAACTAACCCGGAAAATTAATTGTTATTCAATCAACTGATCATCTAATTGCAAAAATCATAATTTTATTTAAATTGTGGACAATTGTGATTATCGTTCGTGTGTGCGTGTGTTTGATTGTGTGTTTAATTATCATCGATTGTGTTTATTTCAATTTCGGGTTCAAATTTAATTTAATAATTGTGAATTTCGTTTTTCATTGCAATCAATTTCTGACAAACAATCAAAAGAAAGACACAATTAATTGCTGAAAAAGTTTTCACCAATTCTTTAATAACAATGCCCGGTGTAATGGCGATCGGCTCTGGCCTGATCTCAGGTCGGACTAATACAACCAACGAATTCACAGTTTACACCAATCGAAGTGGTTACCATGGACTCTCGGTGGGAATTGATGGACCTTCACGAGCGGAAATTAAATATACCGATAATCATGATGGAACAATTAAAGTCTCTTATGTACCAAGTGTCCCAGGTGAATACATGATTACCGTTAAATTTGATGGAATCAATTTATCAGGTTCACCATATAAGGTTCGTATTCGAGGAGATGAACCTTATAACTATTCATCGTCACGATCAACGGGCTATGATGGTTTTAGCTCGTCGAGTGGTGGCCTTACCTCGACCGCTCGTGCTCGAGTAACTGGACGTGGACTTTACTCTGGAATAACTAATGTTCAAAATGAAATTCTGGTGGACGTTAAAAACTGTGGGTCAGGTCGACTTCATTGGTCCATCGAGGGACCAGGTAACGTTGAGACCAAAAATCGCGGGGTCGACAACGGAGTCTACAAATTGTACTACAAGCCCGACACCGCTGGTAATTACACAATTAAAATTAAATATGATGAACGAGATGTACCCGGTAGTCCATTCAGTGTACGAATTGTTTAAAATTAGGTTAATTGTTGTCGTTACCTTTTCATTGTTAATACAGAATCAACAACAATTATCTTGGTCTTTCTCTTGCTCTTTATATATTTCAATTAGCAATTAGATTTAATTGTTGTCGTCGCCTTAAATCACTAATCCAAATTGTCCAAATTACAGATCAATCAAAGCACACAAATTTAACCTAATTAATTTTTGCTGATTATTTTTTGATTCTAATCTTAATTATATTTTCTGTTTCACAATTGTTAATTTAATTGTTACATTTTCTTTTGTTTCTTAGCTTTTCTTTTGATTTAACTTGATTAGATTGATTAACTTAATTGTTTGTCAATCTAAATTTACAAACTAATTTTTAACATCTTTTAAATCATGATTAAATCTCTCGCTAATCAGTTATATCGTTAACTTTTAATTGTACCAAAATTAATCACTCATTGAAGAAAAAAAAAATAAAATCAATTCATCAAGAAAACTTGATAATATAAATTCAAAGTTAATTATGTCATTTGACTCTCTGTTAATTAATATAAATTAAATTAGAATCATAATCAACCTTTGTCAAATTGTTTGAATATCTATTCATAGTAACAACAATTGATTTCGTTAATTACTCTCACATTTCATAACTGAATTAACATGTTAATCAAATTGGAAAGGAAAAAAGTAATTCAAGTAAAAATATAAATCCAAGGGAAAATTAACCTGAATCAACAACAAGAAGGTTAATTGTTGATTTATTTTTCTAAATTATAAGTTAAATTACGATTCGACTCAGCTAATTATCATCATCTTCTCATAAATATCACTTGAAATCAGTTCGAAATCATCATCATCCTTATCATCCTCATCTTCTTCATCTCTATTCATCCATCAACCCAATTCAATATGAAGATTGAACCAATTCCTATGTTTTACTTGGCCCTTAATTTTTTTGGTTCACCCGAACAGTTTAACTAACCTTAGCAATCTATTTTAATCCAGTTGAGTCGAGATTGATGATGATGTTGATGAGGAAGATTAATATTAATAGAAAATTGTTTTAAATTGGAAAATTCAATTCCAATAGTTGATCATTTGTCTTTTTGATGTTGAGCTTTGATAAAGAAAACATGAAACCTTCAATTCACAATTGAAACAATTTAGTTAATCAACTTTTCTAATTTTGTTCCTGTGTCTCTCTAATTGTCAATGTTAACTGAATTAACTTTCAATCGACCATCTAATCACCTCTCTTTGCTTTATTGTTATGACCAGTCAACTAAATTTAATTGTTTGGCTTATGCGCTTTTCTAACCAACTAATCAACTAATTAACTTGATCATCTCTCATTTCATCATTTCATTATTTATCACCTTTTGGATTGATTTCCCTTCCCACCAAAAAACCTTCCTGATGATCCACTCGTTTCCGTTTCCTCCTCTATCATTAGCTTTAGCTGAAACCATCATTATGGTTAATTGTAAATAAATCAGTAAAAAAAACAATCAAAAAAAACCAATTATCCAAAAAACCGCCCGATTAACTAAAAGCCTAATCACCAATCATTTCAGGAACCAACACAATTTGAGACACAATCAACAATCAACGAAAGTATTGGTTAATCAACAATCTCAGGAGACAAACAATCAGCAAACAAAAAAAAACCAGAACCAGAGAAACAATTAACTAATAATAGTTCTTGATCATCACTGGATTAAATTGTTTCAGTTATTTCTGCATTTTGAGAATTGATTGTAATCAATCAAAGATAAACAATTAAACATCACCAATCATCAAATTGAATTGAAGATTTGAAAAGACAAAAAAAATTGACCAAAATTGTGAAAGGGAAAACCAATCAACTTGTTTCAACCTAATTGACCTTTAAACACGATGTTTGGCCACGGAATAGCCCTTGGTCAAGGACTACTTTCTGGAAAAGCAAAGGTATTCAATGATTTTACCGTTCACACAAATCCGGACGCTGAATCGGGAATTTCAATCGGAATCGAGGGTCCATCAAATGCCCAAATGAGGTACACCGATAACGAGGATGGTTCAATTAAAGTCTCATATAAACCAATGGTTCCTGGTTATTATAAAGTGACCGTTAAACAGAACGGACTTCACCTGAAAGGTTCACCATTTGATGTGCCAATTTATGATCCAAGTGTCGGCACCGATCAACCATTTTATCCTAAAAGCTCATATCACAATCAACCCATATCACAATTAGATGAAACAACAATTAACCATTCTAATCATTATAACCATCATCTTGATCATAATTCTAGTTATCAAAATTTGAATGATAATTATATCGATGAAGAGTCCATCGGGTTAGAAGGACCTTTTGGTAATCCAAGTAAGGTCAAAGTTTCAGGTCGAGGTTTATATCGAGGTATAACCAATGTTCAAAGTGAGATAATTGTTGACACTCGAAAGGCTGGTTTAGGTCGTGTTAATTGGTCAATTTCGGGCCCTGGAAATGTACAAACTCGACATGTTCACATTGTCTCAGGTCTCCACAAATTATACTATTTGGCCGATGCTCGAGGTCTTTATATAGTCAAGATTAAATTCAATGAACTCGATGTTCCTGGTAGTCCATATAAATTAAGAATAATGTGATTATAATTAACAATTAATCTTTCTAAATTCTAATGTATTTACACCTAATCAACAATTAATCTGATTATCATTATCCTTCTATCTATCGATTGATTATCGATTTCGAAACAAACAAAAAACTTTTTCTTCTTCAATGTTTCTTTGCTTTTCTTTTTCTTTTGGTGTTGTTTTATTTTCCCTTTAAGCTTATGCCTCTTATCATCTTGTTTAATTTAATTTTTTTTTTGCTAATTGTCCATTAATTTGGTTCGCTGATTGTGTTATGTGTCTTGCTTATGATATACAGAATTAAAAATTAAGTACCAGAGTCTCAACAATTAACTTGATTACTTTGTCTCATCTCGGTTTTATTTGTAAACTTTAATCATAATATTTGTTTTCATTTTGTCGTAAAAAATTGTAACCCAATATTAATCTTTGTTAATTATCAAATGTAATTGTGATTAATAATTATTGTAAGAAAAATATAAATTATCATTTAAACAAAATTAAGATGATCAGTTGAATAACGTTAACAATTAATTGGGTTGGTTGGGGATTTATGTTAATACAAATGGAGATGAAAATTTTATCTCAATTGATTAAATTGTGGAAACTAAATTGTTGCCTTTTTTTCAGGTTATTAGAGTTAATTATCGAGTGACAATTATGGCCTCACTTGTGATCGCCAATGGTTCTGGTTTAATCTCAGCTATTCTGGGAGCACCAAATACTTTTACTGTTCACACCGGTCGATCTGGAATCGGTGATCTTTCCGTTCGGGTTGTTGGTCCATCTCGATCTGAAACTTCATTTAGCGATAATCACGATGGATCGGTAAAAGTGACCTACACAATAAGTAAAAAAGGAACGTATAAAATTTATATTACCTATGATGGTGTTCCCGTTCGTCGAAGTCCATTTACCGTTCCAGTGCGAGCAGCGGAACCCCGTCGATATTTAATTGGCCTTTCATCGGCCACATCACCCTCATGTTATTCAAGATCATCAAGGTTAATTAAGGTCACTGGTAGAGGTTTAAACAATGGATTAACTATGATTTCCAATGAGATTATTGTTGACACCTCAGCAGCGGCACCAGGACGATTGACCTGGACCATAACTGGACCTGGACACGTTGAATATCGTCAAGATTTACCGAAACAGGGTCTACATAAATTATATTATCGACCCTACAAATCGGGTGATTACATAATTAGAATCAAATATGCCGAGAGGGATGTTAATGGTAGTCCTTTTAATGTAATGGTCATGTGAACAATTAACAAATTGTCCCCACCAATTGGATTAATCAATTTAATCCGATTATCCAATCGTTTGAATCTAATCCGCTTTTTTCGTCTCAAAGTTAATCTTATCTTCTTCCCTCTCTCTCTCTCTCTCTGTCTTCATAATCTTGATGCTGATTAACTGATTGATTTATTGATCTCTCACATAAATTGCTAATTGTTACAATTAGTTGTCAATATTTGTAACCTTAACTAATGCTGATTTCCTTTATTATTATTATTAATTGCTCAATTAAATGACAATCTCATAGGAAAAATAATATTTTCTCACTTGTTAGATTTTCAATTGATTGTTGAAAATTGATTCCAATTGTTTGAATTAAAGAGAGAGAAACAAATCAAATTAAGCTAATTGTATTTAAGCTGTTGCAATGAAAATAAAAATAAAAATCTAATATTCATTAATTGTTGACCTTGTTCAAAATCAATTAGATTCATTTGTAACATTGAGATAATTTTTTTGCCAATTTTTATCTAAATTAAATTGTGTTAGGTCAACTTTAAACTTTACTAAATTCAACCAATTAATTGTTATTTCCAAATACAATTGTAGTAACAATTAAAGGTTAATAGAAATGAAAAAAATACAAAGATATAGATTAAAAGAAAAGTAAATTAATCCAATCGTAATAACCAATTAACTGGTGGAAATGAAATACGAGTTAATTGTTGGCAAATATTCAATTCTCCCAATCTTTAAATTGTAATTAAAAAAGAAAATTTAACAAAAATCGAACAGAATTTCTTGATTTTCGAATTTTTAAACTTTAGAAATTTGGAAACAGATTATTTTCTCTATTAGAAATAAAAATTGTTAAGAAAAAAGACCAAAAATCGAATTTAATTATTAGAGAGAAAAAAGTTTTTCTTTTGTTGATCAAAATTCGAGATTTTCTCAAAAATTCCAATAGATGGAGTAACTTTCGATTCTTTTTCTCTTTTTCATTGGTTGTTGAGCTTAACCGCTTTTCTGAGATTTAAATTTAAAAAATGTTTGTTTGTCTTCTTGTCTCTTTCCCTCTCTTTCATCTCCTCTTTCATTTCTCTCTCATTCGGTCTTATCATCTCTTTATAATTGTATCTTTGTGATTTTACCATCGGCTTTTTTTGATCAACATCACCATTTAATTCAATTCCAATCCATCTTGTTGATCATTCATCATCTTCTCTTACCAACCAATCTCTTTGAATTTTGTTTATTCAACAATTTACTTCACCATTTTGAATCTTTTCCCTTCACTTTTTAATTAATCCTTTTTGTTTGAACCAAAAAGGCTCTTCCTTTGGTCAATCCTAGTTTTTGGCGATTTGTCCAGTATCTCTTTTTTTTTATTCATCTATTTTCTCCATTTTAACTAAAATTCTTCAAACATTTTCAATTTTATTCTAAATTTTAAATATGGATGTTACTAGAAATCGTTTTGTAAGTTTCTCCATTTTGTGACCTTTGTTTTATCCTCTATATTTTCTCATTGCCTTGTTAATATTTCATCATTTTCTTTATTCTCATCTCGATTACTAATTGTAATTCTATGTTTTCTTTTCTCTTTCTCTCTTATTATTAGGGCGGAAATCTTTTACTCAAGCCTAATATTGAAAACAAACATGGCCAACAAGGAGTTCTCTTTAAAAGATCTACTGGTACCAGCAACAGTTCCTTAATTAACCAAGTGAAAAGATCAGCTCTCCAACAGACCACTAATATTCAAAATAAAGTGATCAATGAGGCTTCTAAGCTTAACCTCAAATCAATTAAAGATGAACTACCTGACCCAATCAAACCTGTGTCAAAGGTAATTACTGCTAATATAATTTTCTTTGTTTTATCATCTAATTGTTTCAAACTTTTCTCTTATTGTCTAATCAGGAATCTAGTGAGTCAGTAGCCGAGGCTAAAGGTACCAATAAACAATCACAGAATGTTAAACAAGTTACTGGTGAATGTCCAGTTGAAAAGGTTGTCTCTAAAATACCTCGACTCAGCTTGAGACCTTCAGGTATTGCTGAGGTCATCGCAAGGAGAGTTACTAAAAATTGTTTCTCAAGCGCAATTATACCCGAAGACGTTGAAAATATTGATGAAAACGACGAGCTAAACGTGTTCCTGACCACTGATTATGTTAATGACATTTACAAATATTTAAGGCAACTTGAGGTAAATTAATTTGTTCAATTCTCTTTTAGACCAAGTTTTCTCATCAATTCTTTAAGTTCTTTATAATCCATTGGTTATCATGTTTATTTGCTTCAACAATCTAAATCTCTAATTCATTTCGTATTTGTTTATTTCTTTTACAGTCTAAATATCAAATTAAACCAAATAGTTTGATCTCACAAAAAGAATATACTCCAAAGATGAGGTCGATTCTCATCGATTGGTTGATCAGTGTTCATTATCAATTCCATCTAACACCGGAAACACTTTATATGACTGTTGGAATACTCGATAGATTCTGTCAGGTAAATTGTTTAACTTTGATTTAATTTACTTTCAAATTATTAATCATATTTTCTTTAGGCTGAAAATATTAACAAAAATAAGGTACAATTGGTTGGTATTACTTCAATGTTCATCGCCTCAAAGTATGAGGAAATTTATCCACCTGAGATGAACGACTTTGTTTCAATGTGTGACAATTTGTATCATAAAAAGGACATAATTAAAATGGAGATCGCCATTTTGAAAGGGTTAAAATTTGAATTAGGACGACCACTGCCATTACATTTCCTCCGTCGAATGTCAAAAGCCGCCCATGCAGATGCTGTGATACACACCATGGCCAAATACTTAATGGAATTGTGTCTAGTTGAATATGAATGCGTTCACTGGGATCCATCATTAGTTGCGGCCACCGCTTTATACACAACCCTACGAATTGTAGGTGAAGGTTCAAACCCTTGGAGTTCAACCTTGAAATTTTACTCTCACTATAGTGATGAGCAACTTCAGCCTTATGTTTCGGTTCTTTGTAAAATAATTCTCCGAGCACCAAACTCTAAGTTCCAGGTAAACAAAAAACACCTTCGAAACACTAAATTCAACTCACAAACAATAATCAATTTCTATTGAACAATCAACTTTAATTTGTTCTCTTCCCTTGTCTCTCTCTTTTAGTCTTGCCGTAAAAAGTATGGGTCAACAAAATTATCTCGTATCTCGAAACGTCCAGAATTAGAGTCTCAAGTTATCCAAGATATGGCCAATGGATTATTTCTTGGTAAAAAATCAACCGTCACAAAGCAAACTCAATCTTCATCATCATTAACAACAATTCAAGAGAAACGTTAATTGTGTTCTCACTATACAAACAGAAACAATAACAAAATCCTCTCGTTCTCTTGCACATTTGAGTGAAAAATTGAAAAGAAACTTTTGATGATAATATTTACCTCCATGATATGATCCAGATGAAACTAAAAAAATCACCTAACAATTAAGAGGAAAGATTAAGCATGAGTGATAAAGAAAGAAAGAAAAAGATTAACGACTGAGGAGCTTTTCTGTAAAATCATATCTCTTAACCCTTAATAAATCTCCATTCGTATTGCTAATCCAACTTTAATCCAACATAAAACAATCAACAAAAAACCCAAAAAAAATTCCTAATCCTTCCCACCCAATATTCAATGGAGATTATATTTCTGGTTCTGATTGTTCATTGCCCAAAACCCTCTTCTCCCATTCCCTGATTTTTACTAAATTTTGACTCAAATCCTAAAACTGTGATTTATAAATTACAATTGTGAACAATCAACAAAGGTCCAGTTGACTTAATTGTCCACAATTAAGACGACACAACCGCAAAGAAAACCAGACGCAAAGAAGGAGCTGAGAGAGAGATAATCTTAATCATCTTTCTTTATGTGACAGATGATATATATATTTTTTTAATTAATCTTCCAATTTATAAATTACTAATCTTAATTAACAAAGAAAACATAATATTAACAATAATCCAAGAGACACATTAAGAGGCTTGAAAAACATAGTGAGACAATAACATGAACAAAAACCAAAAACAATTAACTAACCAATAAGTTAAATTATCGTCACACTCACACAAGAAACAAAAAATAAACTACAATTTAAAAACAACACCAGCAAATACAATTAAAAGTTAATCAATTAGATAAATAAATAAATAAATAAATTAGGTTAATGAAATGAAATTGTAAATGATTATCTCGGGTTAATCATTTGCAAAGTATTTGATTGGAAATGATTATTGGTAATTAATTGTGCTCGTGATAAACTAGTGTCAATGTCTCGTTCAGATGATTTAATTTGATTGTTCTCGTCTTGATTAACAGTTTTCGGCTGATTGTTGTCATTTTCAGAGGCCACAGCGGTTTTAATTTGCAACGATTGGTCGCCAACTATTGAAGCAAAATCAATCGGATTAAGTTGATTGTTTTGTCCATCGGAAGTTAATTGGTAACTTTTAATGTACCCGCTGCCCTTGGAACCCGCTTCGTAGTTGTTTCCACTTGCATCTCCTCCGTCGCCACCCTGATCCTTTTTCCCACCCTCATCGGAATTACCACCGTCTCGGTATCTCTCCTGTGAGGCCAATTCCGATTTCTCCTCCCTGACTGTTACCCGCCGGTGGTAATCAAGGTGTTTCTTAATATTATTCAAATCATTTGAATCCCCTGGTGAAGATGTTGATTGATTGTCTTCATTGTTTTCTAATTGTTGTTGTGCTTTTTTAACGGGAAATCGTCGATTCTTCAATCGCGGTGTATCCTCATCATCGTCATCGCGATTAACATGATTACCTCTTTGAAGGATTTCTCTGTATTGTTTACGGCGTAAATTGTTGATGTTTTCTTGATTGTTCTCATCGTTATTACCTAATCCATTTCCATTATTATTCTCACCGTTTTCTGAATCCTCTGATTGTCCACCGAGTAACATTGATACAACTCGATTATTTGGACTATTGTTGGCAGAATCGTTGACATTTTCTTCATTATTATTATTATTATCGTTTCCGTTAAGTTCTTGATAATTATTTGATTGTCCATTTAATTGTTGATCGATGTTTTCACTTTCACCCTTTTCTTGTTGACGTTGTTTCAATAATCTTAATTGTTGAACAATATCATCATTCTTAGTCTCTTTATCGGAGGTCATCGTACTTTTGGCCATATTATCGATCCCGTTTGTCTCCGTTAGATCTTCCGCTTTCGAGTGGACAACGACACCTTTTTGTTTTTCGATATGTTCATCGATTTTACCCTTATCATGATGTTCTAAGTGTTTCTTTTCAGCGATCGAGTGTTTCTCCTTTATTTTCTCACCTCTGTCCCAATGCCAACGCTTCACGAATCCATCGCCTTTGTCCCAGATCATTTTCACGAATTTATCTTCATTTGAATGTGAATCATGATCCAAATGGTCAAGTTCTTGTTCCTTGTGACTTTCCAATAATCCCTTGTCAATGTTGACCACTTTACCTCCACCAGTGGCACTCGAACCTTGACCGGAAACACCAGCTTCCTGTTGAGAACCAGATTCACTTTCTTTCGTCGATTCTTTCTGCTTATCGTCGTCCGAAGTGAACAGTCTGAAAGAATCGCGTCTCTTTCCGTATGGATCTTTTTTCCTATTCTTTTTCAATAGTCGATTTAATTTCCTTGACCCTTGGTCATTATCGTCAAATGAATAGTGATACAAAGGTTTCATCTCAATCAATGTTGTTTCCGTTGGTTCAGTTAATCCGATTTTGGTTATATCTCCACTTACACAGTGTAAAATTGTCTCAATTAAGATGACAATTAACGATGATCGATAAATCAACTCCATTGGAAAGCAGAGCACAAAATTTTTAACCCAATCAATCAATTTTCCAGATAAATTAATCACTACGATGATGATTAGAATCACTTGTAAATCACTTTGATCAGAGTTTCTGTTGATTACTTGATTTTAATGTTGATCATTTAATGTTGGTAATCAAACTGATCGTTGATTGAAATGTTCATCCGATGTTATCGTTGTGTAATCAATTGATTAACCTTTTAATCAGACCATAGAGTGATTGTATTAACTGTTTAGTTAATTGTTTCCTCCTCTTTAATTGTCTTATTGTCAATGTGATTGTCATAATTTTAATTGTTCAATGAAAACTTTAATCCAATTACCTTTTTGAATGGGAAATTAGAAAACCTTTAACCCTTAATTATTACAAATTATATTGTCTTTTTAATCAATATGATAAATTGTTACAATCTTATTCAAATTAGTTAAGGCATAACGAGTTGAAAGGTCTTCTAATTCATTGATTAACTAATTTAATTGTTGAGAAAAACTCAATTACTGTTAAGAGGCTACTTGGTTGATCTCAATTAAGTCTAGCTGATTTTTTTGCTCTCCTCTCATTATATTATGATTTAGTTAATTGTTACAATGTATTAGACAATCATCACATCATAATCATTGATTTAAATGTTATGATTGTCCGTTAATTAAGTTAATTGGTTGATTACAATAAACAAATATCATCGTTAATCAATAGTTACACTTGGATGGAAGAGGAAGAAAAGTTCAAATAATTTGTTTTAATTGTTTCATTTGTACAACGACAATTAACATTTCATAGATTTGGATGTCAAATTTAATGATTAAAATCAATTGTTAATTGTGAGTGAAACAATTTATAAAAAAAACAGAATCACAATTAATCATTGAACTTAAAGAGTGAGATGAAAAAAAGTCAATATGATTAATGAAAAAAACTTTAGGCTTAGGATCTTAATTGTTGATATTAATTGTATTCAGATTAACTGGACAATTAACTTGTAGGTGATTTGATTCATCATTTAGTTGTTGTAAATAACTTTTCATGTCCAGTCGATGACCATTACTAATATAATTGTTATCCAATTATCTAAAAATATTTAGATTAATTAAATGTGGCGACAATTTAAATTGTTGACAATTACAACTGATGGTCAATAATTAAGTATTTATACACAATGGAAGCAATTAAATGTCTCAATGTTTAGACACTATTTTTGATTCAAGCAATTTGATGAAAATTTTTGTGACTAAATTGTTGACAATTAGAGAGAGAGTTGAGAAAAAAAATGTTGATTGTTGAATGAAAATTAAGTTTAATCAACGGATTAGATTAATCCAAACCTAATCCATTTGAATTGAGAAAAACATAATAACCTTAAAGGTAAATTTGATTGTTGATTATTTCCGATTGGAAAAATGAATGTAATTAAGCAACAATCTAAACCAGAATCAAGTACAATTAATAAGCACTTTGATTATCGGTAAGTTGATTAGTCTACTATTTAAATGGTTACAAATGATTGTAAACAAATGTTGGTGACAATTTGGTGTTTCGTCATCGTCGGTGATTAAGTGAGGGTGGTGAAAGATAAACATTAGGAGGAGGAAGATGAGGATGAGGAGGGAGAGAGAGAAAGTAAAATAGAAAGTGAATTAGAAAGAGAAAAATGGAAGATGATGATGATGAAGATGAAGATGAAGATTATGAGGTAAATAACTAAAAGGAGAAAGTATGATTTTCGTATTGAGGGTTGTCACTATTTAGAGAACGAGTTTTTTTTTCAATTCAAGCTTCAATTCTTACCTGTTGTTGATGATGATGAAGATGAAGAGTTGAGGGTGAATAGAAAGAGAAGATAAGGAGAAAAAGAAAGAGAAGAGAGAAAATGAGTGAGAGTAAAAATGGAATTGTTGATATTGAGAATAAGAAAAACTGTTGACAAGAGAAATGATCGAACAGTAGAAAGGAAAACATTGACCAAGAGACGAACAAATTTCGAGTTTTCGAACTTTTTTTTCTCTTCCATTTGTTGACCAATACATAGAACAACAACTTAACTGGACAGTGAGTGTCTCTAATTATGTGAAAACAATGATGACAATTTATCTCGATTATCCTTTTGGACTAAATTAATTGTGTGTTTGTGTTGACAATCAAAGAGAAACAATTGATTTCAACAGTTTTCTTCATCTCTGGTTTTCCAATTGTTCACATGTTCTAATATCTTATTTGGTGACATTTTCCTATTTAACTAAATCAGTTTAATTACTTTTCCTAAATTCTAATTTTATATTCTACAATCATCTTATTCGTTTATATTTAAATTGTGATTACTTAAATCTACAACAATCAATATGTTTAATCGTTTCCTTTCAATACTTTGTTCACTTGCTTTCGTCTTCTATGTAACTTATCAAGAGAGTAAGTTAATCAATCATTTTCTTAATCACTTTCTACTAATTGTTATAAACTGATTATCTCTTCATCATCATCATCACTAATCATTAATAGATTTAAGTATGATTTAACAGATGATTGATCTGATAAATGAATTGAAACAACAATCAAATACTGTTACCGTTTACCGTTGGTTTTGGTTGGTTAAAAAAAGGAAATTGATTGTGATGGTAATCAATAAACTCGGTCAAGTAGACAATTGATTTAAATCAATTGATTTATTGCTCATTTAATCCAATAATAATATAAAAATATACTTTTAATCCATTGAATGACAGATTGTTAATCTTTATCCCTTTAAATTGTTAAAACAAAACATCAACCAAATTATAACACTAAAGAAAAACAATTTACTAATTGTAACCAACAGAATCGTCAATCAAACCTTAATCACTATTCAATGGTCATCAATTTAATCATCTATTATTCATTAATTTCATCTAATTGTCACTGAACATATTACCTAATCACAGTTAATCCGATTACAGTTGGTATATTTTGTATAATAGCAATTACAATGTTGATTTATTAATTGTTCACAATCAAAGAAAAGTTCAATTTAAAAGTCGTTACTATTAATATAATGTCCATTGTCAATGTCATTCTCATCATTAAATTGTTTAATTAAATTAGATGGATTGAGCAGGAAAAAAAGTCTCTCATTTGATTACGTTTGATTGTAAACAATTAACCTTTAGAAATTGAGAAGATGATCAACATCCAAATTGATTTAATCCTTTTCATCTGAATCTTAGTCTATCAACAAGTTTCTTATTATTACATTAAGTATTTGCTTCTTAATTGTAAACAATTTACTTTACGGTTACTTACTTGTTTTTACTCAATTTGGTGACAATTTGATTGTTATTGTGATGATGTTGATTTTTTCACCGTTATAACTGTTAATTGTTAAAATGCTGTTGAGGCTAAAAATGAACCAACTCTTGACATGAAAAATGTTGACATGATGTTGATGCTTATTGGTAACAATAGTTTGTCAGGAAGACGAAAATGATGAAAAAGAAAGAGAAAAAGAAAGACGATTTTCGTTTCTCTTCATTGATCATCATTGATGGACACGCTTCCATTTTTTAGGGTGTGTATCAAATAGTAACAATTAACCCCCCTTTCGTTAATTACAATTAAATATTCAATCAATTTGTTTTCTCTTTTCTCTTGTCATTGTAACTGTTTACAATTTCATCTCGTTCCTTGGTGATTCAATTCAATTATTAATCTTATTAATATCGCAATTAGTATTAATTATGATCAATTTCCCTTAATTGTTTACATTTATATCATCATTATGTTTATAATGATTAACTTTTTTATTATCTTCCTAATTCAATGTCTTTTCCCATTAAATCAGTATGATTAACTTACGTCCATAAATCTGATTCAATTTAATTGTCATTTATTAATAAATTGCTACGTAAGTTGTTTGATTGTTGTTTGTATCTTGTAACAATTAATTAATAATCTGATGGTTTAGTGTACTTTTTTCAACCATTTCATTGTAACTTTTTTGTTCAAATCTTGTTGTTAAATCAATTGTAATCGTACAACAATTAAATTAATAGTTGTATTCATTTGTATTGATCACCGAAAATACATTTTATCAACAATGAGTTAAAGAGTTACTGAATTAAATTTAATTGTAAAGATGGATTTTGATTCATTTGATTTAATTTTAAGGGTTAAGGGATTAATTCAAGCTTGAAATTAATCGTTAATCATGACAATCAAAAAGTTATCATTAGGAATCAACAGAAATCAATGATATGGCCTGTAGATCAATTTAATAATGTTCCCTACAATTAACTGATTGTTTAAACAATTTAATCCATTGTAGTTTAACCCTAATTCATGATGATATTAATTTTCATGATATTTAGACAATTTAATTTAGTAATCATCAATTGAAACAGATTAATAATCAGTATAATCATCGTTTTATAAAAAAAAAACTTTTTCTTAATTGTGATTTACAAATTGTTGAAACTCTAAATTTATATTACTGATTATTAGATTCGCTATTTAATTAACTTGACCACAATCACTACAATTTGAATTAATTATTTCACACTTTCACTTTAAATGATAACCATTTAACTGATTTGAATATCTCAACAATTAACTGATTGTCTAGAAGTGATAGACAATCATTAATGATTATCATTTGAAACTTAATCACGATATAATTACGATGATGATGATTGTTACAATTTAAAGTTTGGGTTACCTATCAAAATGGTTTTGATTGTAACAATTAACTTGACCAGGTGATGACCACAAGCCACAATTAGACTTAATCATCGCTCAGACAAAATTAAATTGTTGTTACCGTGACACTATTGTTGTTAATGTTTTAAAATAATACAACAATCAAGATGATGATTAGTTGGGATGTCAATTTGATTTTTGATTAAAGTTCATTGAATAAGATCAAGATGAACAAAATAGATTCTGATCACATTTAACTAATCATAAATGATTAGCACTCAAGAATTTAAATTTACTGACCAATTGGTTAATCATCATGAAACAATCAAACCATGAAAATGATCAATTTGCTTTGATGGTTCAACAAAAAATCAAAGTGAATCTATTTTTAATCATCAATACTGATGATTGGTGATTAACGATTATGATTGACCACTAAATTCACCAATTAAAGTTAATCAAGATAATCTATTGTATATGGTTTGTTATTAGTTGTTGATAATCAACTGATTGTTGGTTTATTTATGACAATGATGTTTATGATTAAACGGAAGTTACAATTTACCTGATAACCGGAATTTTGGTTCATCATGTTAATCAGTATGATGATTTATCGGAAGTAAATTAACAATCAATGATTAATAACAGTTTGAATATTATTAAGGAAGTTTTCATTAACTGTAATACAATTTGATTGTTGCTTGTTGATTGTTGATTGTTGTTTATATTCAGCCGATAATAGTTATGATTAATCAAGAAACATAATCAGTGTTGATGATTATTATTAAAGTTATATTTATATTCAGTGAAACAACTGATTACAATTAAGAAATGATTACCAGCAATTATTGTCGAAAAGTGTAAAAATTGTAGATTAGACCGTAAACAATTAATTAATTTGGTTTTAAATTCATTTGCGTGTTAATTTGTTGATGATCATCATCATAACTGATTTAGTACTCATTTACTTTCATCTTAATTGTTGAGGTTCAACCGGAAAGATTTAATTTTGGTTATAAAATTTTTCAACTTTCAACATTTTGATTTGATTTAAATTGTGATTGTGATTTAGTTTTGTAGGTTGATTGTTAGTGATTAGTGAAAGTGAATTTTTCAATCTTTCGTCCTTCATTTCATATCTTAATCATCATTACCATCACTTGATTAACATTAAATTACTACCCTTAGGCTATTTAAATTGTAATCGTTCAATTTAATTACGATGATGATTATGAAGATGCTCATGAAAAACAGGGTCAACTGTTAATCGGAAGTGCTATCAGCTGATTAACTTGATCATCATCAGTTGATTATCATGATCATTAACAATATTTCATCTTAATCAATTCCGGGGATTAACTAATTGATTGAGTTAAATTGTTGTTCTTGTCTAATCAGGTTGCATTTATATTAACACAACCGGAAGATTTGTCATTATTTGTTTTGTTTTTGTTTAATTACTTGATTGTGATTAATAAATTTGATTGGTCACTTACTTAAATATTGACCAACTTAATCAATTGAAACGAGTTTCTTAATTATTGTGATTAAATGAAATGATTAACAAGGAAATTCAATTTCAAGTTTTAATTTAGTTAATTACATTTTTTTTGCAAGTTAATCTTTAATTGGACAATTGAGATTATAATCAAATTTACTAATTGTTATCAAATTATTTAACTGATAACAATTAACATCGTATTTAACTAATGATGTTATCTCATTGATTGTCTATTCAGTTCAATTTTTGATTACAATTAACGTCAATTGAAAATCAAGTCAAGTGAAAATGATTTGTTTTTCATCAAATTAATTGATTGTTGAAAATTATCATCTCAATCAAATGAAATGATCAATCACAATTAACCAACTGATCAACTGACCGTTAGTTTTAAATTACTTTCACATTGTAAACAATTAAAATTTATATTTTTAGTTATCAAACAATTTGGATTCATGATAATTAAGTAACAATTAATTGATGATTTTTTTTTGTTAACTAAATTAAACAATAAATTGTCCAGTTGAATTGTTGATAAAACTTATTGATTAAATCACTGCTCAATCTTGTAATTTAAGGGAGCAATTAAATCAACAATTAACTGTTGAACTTATAAAAATATAACAAAAACTTCAATTCTGATAATTTAACAGCTATTGTTAAATTGTTAAATTACCATAATCACAGTTAACTGTTGATGGTGAGCTAAATTAGTTACTACTATTAATTAACCGTTCATTGAACTGTTAATTTAGTAATTAATTGATTGTGTCTATTTCTTAATAGCTTTACAGATGTGATGATATTTACAGATTAACAATTTACAATAAGAAACAATTTTTGGTAAACTAATTGTTAAAAAAAACAATTGACTAATTGTAATCCTTTATGATAATGATGATGGAGGTTAATCATTATGATGAAATATATGATGATAACAATTAGAGACAATGATTTTGACAACAATTTGATTGTTTTTCTGTTAAGCAAAACAATCAAAAAAAGTAACACAAGATTAAATTATCGTTACTTTTGATCGTTTAACGATCTCGATGATCCTGTTAATTAGTAAATTGTCCATTTTAATTGATTATCTTTCTCCTAAATTTCAGGTCCAAATAATGTCAATTTAAAAAGAAACTTCCATGTGAAAAGTGATGGTGAATGGTCACAATTAAGGTATCATTTAAAGGATCGAATCGGTTCACCCGGTAAACTATTGAAAACAGGTAAAGGCGATTTACCTCCTTCGGACCCGATGGACCTTTCGTCTTTATGGTTTGTCTTTGACGATCACAAGGGTTACCTTAACTCCTCTCTTCACAATGTTAAAGTTCATGGCCTTTCGAGACTCTCTATGAAAGATACAGCATTTAACGAGGCCACTAAGGAGCTTTCAGTCCTATTTTCCGTTCCATTGTTATCGGTAACCGGTGATTACAGTATTAAACATCGTCGTGGTGATAATTTAGTTGATGATCAAGGTAAACTTCACCTTAAACTTAACCACTGGTATACAACATGGTTTTCCCGTGTTCTTAAATTTAATTTAACTTCCGATGAGTTAACGGTTGGTCGTATATCGGTTAAAAGTTATTTTGATAATGTTACCAAAGAGTTTACAAGTTCATCGGATTATATTGGAACTGATCTGATCACCTATTCACATACCATTGAAACCATCACCTCAATGTTATCAAATAAAGTTCAAAGTGAGGTTGATGATCGGTTAAATTTATTACTCTCACAGTATATTAATGAAGAACCAACGACAATTAGTGAAATGTTAAGAATTGCCGCTCATTGGAAAGATGCTCCTCCTTTATTGTCGGATGGTAGTTTAAGTCGGGGCAAACGTCAAGTACCTTGTGAACCTGGTGATGAGCTTGATGAATATGTGGACAGTTTATTTCGATTTGCATCTCGAATTGTTCGTGCCATGGAACCCATTGGATTACCCAATGCAACCGTTGAACTACCAGAGTACAATTTAAAACTTTTCCTTTATAAAGGAGGCGCTTCCAGAGCCTATTCTTTGCAAAGGAAAAAATCAGCTTGGGTTTATTGTACCAATGAGTCCATTTCATTAGGGCTTACAGTTGGTTTCAATGATCTTCGAGTAAAATATAAATATCGAGCCATATTTGATTGGAATTTATTGTTCGATGGTGAACTTGAGGCCAATCTTCAGGGAACCAAAGCACAAGTTCAATTCACCCAAACAACTCCGGACGATGATTCTGAAGAAGAGGTACAACAAAGGGTTGATCGAGTTAGAATATGGAGATTGGGTAGAATTAGAGTAATTTTAAAAGGTTTGGGTAATTTAACACAAGCAGTTTCCATGTTACTTACCCGAGCACTAAATTCAAATCAAGAGCAACTTGATCCAACCCTTAGGCGATTAGAAAGTGAAGCAATCGTAACAATCAACGAAATGCTTAAAAATATTAGTGTTCCATTTTTTTCCATTGTGTAAATCAACGTCACATCAAATCAACAAAAAGCCAATTTTCACCAATGTAAGTAAACAGAATCCATAAAGCACGAAAAAAAGTCAACCAAATAATTAACCAAAAAGAAAAATTAATTTTCTTTTTCAATTCCAATTTCAGCATCCATATAATCAACTACATAATCACTTATATATATATAAACATATCTGTCCAAGTCACTACCACCTTCATCATAATCATGGCCATCATCATCATAATCATCGAGAAAACAACTAAATCATAATCATAATCATCACCACCAATTTTTTGATTCCTGTTGCAAAAAACAAAACAAACGAAAAAAAATCAACATTAGAATTTTTTTCTTCAAATTCTAAATATCAATCAAATCCATTCTCACCTTTCAATGGATCACCAAGTTTCCTTTTTTTTTGATGTCACATCCTCACTAATTAATTGTATACATTGTTGTTATAAAAGAGTTTTCATTAATTAAATACAATTTGATTAATTGCGAAGATGAAAAGAAAACAATTAAAAATTTTCTCTTTTCTTTCAGCTGATTGCATAACCGTAACGCCCTCTTAGAACGTATCAAGTTACTAAAATCATTTTCTATTCCATGACAAGTGAGTCAACAACCTACGAATCTAATTGTGATTTAATTTAACTTTCCTACGATTAATCAACCTTATTAAATAATAATTTTTAACAATTCACTTGTACCGTAAACATATCAATTAATTAAATATCGTGTTTTCGATTAATCCGTGGATCAAATTGTAATCCAATTAATTATCATTTTCTCTCTGTGGTATATGACAGGTAAGTTTTACTTCATTTTGGTAATTTCCTTTTCATTTTCTCTTCTCTTTCTTCCCTTTTTTTATATTCTCTTTCTTTTTCGCTCCTTCTCCCTAATCTGTTTTATTAATGATATTATAGCCAATATGATGAGAAGAGAAAAAAAAATTCTAATAGCCATGCATAAAATTCAAAGATATTTTCCATGATAATGTAAAGGTACATTTTCTATGTTCTCTTCATGTCTCTTTCTTTTTCTCTTTCTTTATTTTTCCCTCTCTTTAAATTCTATTATCAATAGAGATTCTCTTTCTCACTAAATTCTTTTTTTTTCTCTAATGTGTTAGCCATGTTTTTATTGATCGAATGAAGCCAAACAAAAATCATTTACTTCATATGACATTTCCTCTCTCTCTCTCTCTCTCTCTCTCTCTCTCTCTCTCTCTCTCTCTGCATTTATCCCTCTTTTCCGTCTTCATTTAGCAGATAATCTCATTCACCTTTCACTCTAAATACCTTAGGACTTGTTTTTATTTCATTCTATTCTATTTATTCTCTATTCTTGTTTTATTTTTATATATTATTACTTATTTATTCCAACTAAATATATTTCATATGGATAAATTGAGAAATAGCATTTTTATCAATTTCTCTTTTCCTTTTGGTTCCTGTGGCTTCTAAAACATTTCTTTGCGTGTTGAAAGAGATAGCAAACCTTTTACTTCACTGATTGTGCCTTAGTTACTTCCTCTTTTTACCTTCCCATTAGAACAATGGAATATAATAATTGACATAATAGATCATAATCGTTTAGCCTATTTAGATCATGCGAAGAAAAGTCTTCAGGACAAAACCAGAAGAGAGAGAGAAAGAGAGGAAAAATTAGGTTCGTTTAATTTTGGTGAAAAAAAAATTTGTTCCATTAATTTACTAACATTATGTAACTATAGATGGAGCTTTTATTTCTCTGTTTGGACTCCTTTTCTCTCTGTGTTGTGTGTTGCCTTTTTCAGCATTTAAAAAAAATTCATTTTAAGGTGATTAAAAATTATTATTAAAATACAATTTATACATCAAACTGTTCATTAAGACCAGGGGTATCTTTCAATATAAAGTAAGTAATCAAACTATCTTTATTTAATTGAATATATTAACAGAAAGACTTAACCCTTTGGGTGCGGTCCAAACAACAAGAGCCTATAAGCTGAATATAGAACAAAGAAACTCAAGTTTCACTGATGATTAAAGAAATTTATTTTTCACTGTGGATAAAAGAAACGTTTATGTTTCATTAACAAAGAAAATTTAATTAATTTTTTTTTTCTATCAACATTTCCAGTTCTCAAAGATGTCGGATATTGAGATAGACAAGTTTATTCGTAAAATAAACCAAAGAGTACCAACTCGTAAAGATTGGAACTCGGAAATCGCCAAAATACCAACAAAAGAACTCATCACCATCGTTAAAAACATCGTGTTGATTATGTCGGAAATGGAAAAAGGCTTGATTACAGTCAAAGCTACAGTACTTGACAAAATGAAACACATCATAACCTTTGCTAAAGATCAACGTGAGCAGCTGAATCTAAATGATGAAGAGAAAGACTGATTGACCAGATTTCTGCTGATAAAATTATTCCTCCAATTTCAATAAGCGAAGGTCGCTCAATCAAATCATATACAAAAAATGCCCCCTCAACCTCTGGATCATCAGTAGCAGGCGAATCTGATATCATCTCATTAAAAGATAAACAAATTAAAGAAAAAGATGTAACCCGAGCTGAAGAACAGATAATATCATCAGCTCCAAAAGAAGATGAGGTAGCTCAAAAAGAACTAATTCCGACCTCCAACGAAAATTCAGCACTTGCGATAGAAATTCCATCGATCTCCGGCCTCAACCCGATTACGACCGTCATTGAAAAAACAAATGAAGAAGATGATAGTGAAATCGATGATTACCCGAACATAGAAGATGATCTAATGAATCTACCGATAAGGCATTTAAAAAGAAAAATTGGCTCGGTCGATTTACATCGTGAAAATGTGAAAGTAAAAATCGACAATATAAGAAAAGTTAAAAAGGTGTTCCACAGAGTCGAGGATAAACCAATTCCAGACACTTGGAAACCTTGGTCATCAGCTCTCATGGAGCCTCTTATTTTGGTTACACACCCGTCGATTCCTCCAGCTAAGCTACTAAGCGAAATGTCACAAGCTCTTCGCTCAAAAGCCTTGAAGCCTTCCGGCCAGGATAATTAAAGGAAAGGAAGCGATCAGAATCATTTGTTCTGACATTCAAGATATTCAACTGGCCAGAAATTCCCTCAAGGCTTGGAACTCGAATTTGGAAATAAAAAAACCAAATACCTTCGATCCAAAAATTAAGTTAACAAAGATTCCAAAGATAATCGATTCAGATGAAGAAGCCATTACAACGGTCGACGAAATTATGATCCAAAATGGTGCTGGTGGTAAAGGAAATTGGTCCTTTGTGCATAGAATGGTAAATAATACGACAAAGAAAACAGATATAATCGTTAACGTAACACCGAGAATCAGAGACTTTATTCAAGAGCGGAGAGGAAAATTCTTTTACAATTTTAAAGAGATAATCATAACCGACTCTTTTCATGTCAGAATGTGCTTCCGTTGCTTCTCATATGAACACTCAGCTAAAGTGTGTAAGAGTCAATTGAGATGCAAATACTGTGCGGGATCGCATGATGGCAGAACCTGCGGCAGTAGGCTCAACCCGAGCGCATACAGATGCGACAATTGTCTCAAGAAAAGCTCTGACATCAATCACACTCCATTCGACTGGGAATGTCCTGAATACCAGCGTCGACTTCGAAATGCAATTCAGCTCGTTAACTATGAATATCAATGGATAATGAGAGAATAGAAACTTAACCTTTGAATTTTTTAATACAATAATTTCTTTCTTTTTAACCTTTTTCTTTTTATCGAATGAATATTCCCTTAAATTTTTTCTTTCCACTAAAAATGAAACCATTTATAAAAAAAAAAAAAAAACAATAGATAAACTTTTATTACCTGTAACGAAAATTCGAATAAAATAAATTTTGAATCTCCCACAAAAAAAAAAAATCAAATAGAAGAAGAAAGAAAGAGAAAAGAACATCTCAAAAAAGAAAATAAGAAAACAAAAAGATCACTTTCAAATCTTTTCAAACATGTTAAAAGTAGCTCATTGGAACACATGTAAAAGTTATCAAAAAATCGACAATATTCTTAATGACAGTGATTATAGTGATTATGTATTATCGATAAATGAAACATCACCAACTTGGTTAGCAGAGCAAATCGCGATAGTCACAGATAATCTTGAGCGAAATGATCATGTGAGAAATAAATTTCTACAAGTGAAAGAAAGAAAAATCATCATCAACGGACAAACTTGTCTGATGATTCCAGATAAATACTTCTTCTCAAATATGAATATAAGAATGAAAAATGTTACAGGCATCAAGGTGATCATGAACCATCGTCACTACTACATTATATCAGCGTATAGACATTCCAGTGTTAACATAAGCTTCTTCGAAGAAATTCAAGAGATTATTTCCTCCATTCGTGGCCCATAATAATAAATGGCGATTTAAATGCTGAATGCTCTTTATGGTCACCGAGAATCGACAAATTAAACAATCATTGTGAGAAAGTATTTAAAACAAATTCAAATCAGCCCACTCAACTCGAGACAATTTCACTTTCAATCAACGGAGTACAAACATATATCGATTGTCAACTGGTAACACGAGAGATAACAATCATCACATCGAATATGGTAAATACGGGAAGTGACCATAAAATACTGAAGTCGACGTTTCTGCTCATGCATGGAGAAGTTCCAAGAAGCTTCTGGTATCTTCAGATAAATAAAAGGGCTAATCTCGACATAAAAATACCGATAAAAATAGACAGCGAGATCAACAAATCATCTCCATTGGTTAAAGCAATAGAAGCAGTTATTCATTTTCCAGTGAGAAATGGTAAATGGATCAATAAAACCGAGAAATTCACATCGAAAAGTTATCGGAGAAAAATCAGTAAAAAGCATGATAAGGAAGAAAGAAAAGAAATCAGATCAAAATTTGATAAAGTGGGTATCGAAGGACTTAAACAGAAAAGCTTTTGGAACTTGATTGGTACCATCAGAGTTGACGAAACACCATATATACTAAATGAACCAGAGTATAAAGGGAATTACGAGCAATCAATCATAAATTTTATCCAACAATTTTCAACCAGGAAGCCGATTTTCAATGACGAACAAGCTCAATTAAGGCTTTATGACGGAAAACGAATGGATGAGAATCATGAAAAGAAATGAGCAAATTAAAATCCTCATTGAACTCAGATGGTTTCAGAAAGAAAAATTGGCTCAAATTCGTTAACAAATACGAAACAATCTTAAGAAACATAGTCGAATCGATATTTAAAATATCATACCTACCTGAGTGTATGAGAATACTTGGAGGTGGTTTCGTGCCAAAGAAAGATTCCAATAAAGTGAGAATGGTAAAATCTCCAAATTATCTCTTTAAAGTAGTAGATAAAATCATCAGTTACAGACTAATGGATCTATGCGACGATTTTATTCTGGAAGATTCACAATTTGCCTTCATTAAAAGCGGTAACAGAGAAGACCTGGTGATGAAAATGACTTTCTCGATCGATTGGAATACGACACAATTACTACTCCTTGATGTATCCTCAGCTTTTGACAAAATTTCTCTCGAAAATCTGCTAGAGAAAATATCTCAAAAAGACTTACCTCTGGGCAGGTTACTATCATCGTTCTGTGGAAACCGTTGGATAAAAACGTACTTCGAGAAAAGTAACCACTACTTTAAAGAAAATTCTGGTACACCTCAAGGCTCATCATCGGGTCCACTATTATACATCTTGGCGATGGACGAACAAATTAGAAAACTGAGAAAAAGAGGTATTCAAATATCAGCTTATGCAGATGATCTGGTGGTCATAACAGAGTTAAAAGATGACGCTGAAGCGATCATCCAGGACATCAACCAACATCTAACCTCAGTTTCTCTTGAACTAAATCGTGAAAAATCCGAAATCTACAAGGGAAAGTTTAACAAGTTACATTTCATTGGATACCATTTTTTCATACCCTTCAGAAAAACTCACATACAAAATGTAACAAGAGAGATCAAATCTAAATTATCTTCATCTTTCAGGTGCCCTCAACTTACATTAGCGCTTCTTCCAGTCAAGATAAAGAAACTCATCTTGAGCAATATTATATACCCTAAACTGAGGTCGATTGGATACACGGTTTTCCTGAATGAGAAAAAACATTTCATGGATACTTTTAGGATTTTAAATTCAACAATTTCTTTAAATGAACTACAACCATCAGCAGGCTCAATATCCTGGTGCTGGTATGGAATCAGCCACATCCTAGAAATACTTTGGATGGAATCATGGATGTATTGGAACGACTTCGGTGGTAATATCAACCCAATTTACATTCTTAATCAGACGAGAAAACTTAAAACAGTTACCAGAAAAGAAAAAAAGAAATTGTTGGCAAGATTCGTAGAAGTTACTACCCCGATGTCGCTGGAATATTTTTACAAGGAAGAAGATATTTACATAGGTGTCGGACCTTTCAACGTTAACGCTTACAAATCACAGAGAATGGGAAAATGGGATAACTACATCACAATGATATACTCTCAACTGAAATTCGTGCAACAGGAAAATATTGAAATGGTGGTTATCGTACCTCGATCCATGGAATTAACCATAGACAGCAAATCGGACTATAAAAAAGACGCTTTCTCGATTATGCATCAATTCAAGGATATTAAATGGACTTGGACCTATGGTGACTACATCAAATACACATTTACACCAATAAGGATTACCCAAATTGAGAAGGATTGGACTACGACAAAAAACTGGATAACTGAAAATAAGATCAATATTAGAAACACATTAGTGAAATGGTTGGCGGAAGAAAATGATGTCATATCAAAAATATTTCCAAATCATGAATGTATAATAGATTCGTTTGGATTTATTGGCAACTTTTCATACAGAAAAATTACCAAATTTTTATCGGAAGTTAATCTAAGGATGAATAAATTCAAATGCTGTGAGGACAAGGATCACCATCCCTTCACCTGCCGAGAAGTTCTGGAAGCAGCAGCAAGAGATCTTGATATAACGGAATCATTTCCTCAAAATTTTAAACTGAATAACAACAACATCAAAGCCTACCAGAAAATCTTAGAATACATCTCAGCAACCTCGGAGGAGCTAAGAAACTCATGTTTACTTTTCATTTAATTTACCCACATCACCCAAAACCATCCCCCTCCCCTCAAAAACCACCCATCACTGTTATCACCTTCCCCTTGTACGGTTGTAATGCCGGAAACGATGAATACAAATTCATCGAGCCTCCTCGAGGCGGCTGTCAAAGCTATAATAATAAACTCTCCTCGAATAATGTCAATAATGTGATGCGCGTTATACATTAAAATCCAATAGAAACGATTTCAACCTTCCATTTGACCTTAACTATTACAACACCAACACCAGGCTAAGTCATCGAACCAACTGTAGTTGCATCAATTTCATTTCTCTCCCTCATCTCTTCCTTTCTCTCTCCTTTCTACCTCTCTCTCTCCCTTTTCTCTCTCTCTCTCTTTCTCTCTCTCTCTGTTATTTATCAACAACTTTTAACATCTCCATCATCTTCTATCAACTCATCACTTTTTCTTTCCTCTTTTCTTCGATCACATCTTATAAACAAAGTTTCTTTTCTCTTATTCTTGCCTAGTAATATTATCCTCTTTTTTTGATCAATCTCTCTGTCTCTTTCTTTCTTTGATTATCTTTTTTTCTTCTGGTGCTTGTGAAAAAATTGTCGCAACTTCATTTCATAACCTGCATCCTCCATACACCGATTTATATACTCACCCACTTCTAAAGTTCCATTCTCACTCTTCACTTTCTCTATCTTCCTCGTATTCTCTCCATCGTTCTCTTTCTCCTTCTCTCCTTCTCTCCTTCTCATCTTGTTATACTATTGAGAAGTGATTTAATTAACGTTCAGTTAACTGTTCTATGTTATTGTTAAACAAAACACTTTAACATCCGAACGCTCTTATAAAACTCCTCTAATTGTTTCCATAAATTATTATTGAAATACTGTTAAAAATTTCATTCATTGTTGCCTGATTTATGTGTCTCTCTTGATAGATTTGTTTCTTGTTTATATTATACTAATAACTGTAAACAAACTGTCAATTTTTACCAATTCTCGTTTTCAATCAATTGACAATTGATTGTTTTCACCTTTTTCACTATTTACAATTTGTGATTTGTTTCCGATAATTTCTTGATTTGTTTACTATCCGTGTACCTTGTTGTCTCTCTTTCTTCTTCTTCTTTCCATCTTCAACTTAGTATTATTTTCATCTTTGTTCTTCTTTTTCTCTCTCTCTTCTCTTTATATTCGTTATGCTTCCATTATCCTCTCCTAGAAAACCTAAAATGTTGAATAATATCTGTGGAAATTCAAGACGAAACAATAATCGTGGTCGCTTAGGCTGTTTCACAAGCCTAAAAGCCGCTTGGACTTTGGCTAAGCTGCTACATTGATGATGATCAATAATGGATGAGATAGAGAGGGTGTTTTGAGATTCGAGGTGAGTGATAAAGCTCAATAAAATGAGAAAAAAGAGAAAATCGAAAATTTCTTCATTTTAATTATCTCTTTAATCAAATTCGATAATCATATAACCCATACAACACCACCAACAATATATATCCGGTATTACTGCAATATCCCATTAGTCCAGTGAAAGTCCATCCGTGATTATGAGAAACTATTAAGGCTGAAGAAGGATAAGAACAAAAAGAAAGCTCACTTTTAAAGAAATTAAAAATATTCCAGTTAAATGAATTAGTTCGTTCTGGCTTACATCCATCTTCGAGTCAATTAACTGATTGTCATCTCTCTTTTACTGCCTCTTCTTACTATTTTTCATCGTCTTTTTTTCTGCCCTTTTAACAGCCTTTTAACTTTTCCATCATCATCTTCAACACCAACTCTCTCTCTCTCTCTTGTCTCATCTCGCCACCTTCTCCATCTTCGTTTCCGTCTTTTGTCATCATTATCATCATCATCTACCACCCTCCTAACTCACTCACCGAACCCGTAACAATCAAAACAAACAAGTCAAAAAAAGCAACACACAAAACTTATACATCTTCAATATATATCGCTGTTCAACATCCGTCTCCTACTTTTATCTTTTTGGTTCTTTATCATTCCTGTTTCCGTTGAAATTTGAAAAAAAAGTTATATGAAATATAATATATTATATTACAACAACAACAATAATAACAACAATAATTGAAACATATCCCCGGTTCTGTTGATTATCATCATTACACCACTTCCATCGTCACCATGAGCACCTCATCATCTTCATCAACTACAATCACAAACACCGCTAATTCATCTCAATATATAATTTAATTATTATGTAAACTGTGCAATCAACAACAAAACCACAAAACTTTCACATGGATTTTAAAACCCTAAAGAAGTAAACAAAATGAAACCTGCTAATCAAACAATCAACCAACATAGTTCAACGAAATAACAAATAACCGTTATCGTTAATTAAAACAATAAACAAAACAAAAATTTGTAAAAGATGTCGATAAAACAATCACAATGAAACTAATGGAAATGGATCAACAATTAAAGCCTATCACAATCACACCACTCTAAATGATTGGAAAAAAAACAATGAGATGGATCCACCAAGGATTAGAATCACTTACCACCATCACCACCGGAATATCAACTTTAAAAATCACTCTCACCAATTAATCTCAATCAATCAATTATAAATATTATATTAGTTAATGTTTTCTTTTTGTAGGCTTTCATCCAAACCTTTACTATTAATTATTATTACTATTATATATTACTATTATAATCATAGTATTATAATTTATCAATTCTACACTCTTATTGTTAACCAATATTACCATTAATTACTATTAGTAATTATTATTATTGTTATGATTTTCCATTTAATTTTAAATATCATTGTAACACTTTCCATCCCCATTGTTTTACAGTGTTAATCATGATCAACTTTTCCATACCCTTGAATTAACACCCATCCCAACCTAATACAATCTCTAAACCCCTTAACTATCACAATCATCAATTTAACTTGATTTTGTTTTTCTCAAACAATTTAAATCATTTCTCTCTCTCTCTCTCTCTCCATTGTCTTTACCTCAATTCCTGTCATAACAATAATAGCAACTAATAATGATAATAATGCTAATAATAACATAACATTAACCGTAAATTGTTTCCACCGATAAATTGTTATTTATCATCATTTCTCAGGTATATTCATCATTTCGTGATCTAGATTAATAACAATTTACTCTCTCCTTCCCTCCCACACCTGAAACAATCACAATTATCAAGTTAATTATAATTGAGCGAAACAATTAGAATCAAATATTAATCATCCTTGACTTAATTTCGTTGTCTTTTGTTTCAATTATCAGTGTTTATAACCAATCATTATGATGCATTGTCATTGACAACATTTTAATAGTTTAGTTTAGCAAAATGATCATCAAATTAATAATCTTCAAATCAGCATAATCAAATTAAATTGTTTTGATGATTGAATTTTTTTTTCTCCTCTCGGTTAATCAAGTTTCATTTTCTTCCCTCTTTCCAATCAAAGGCAAACCGTTTAAATTTGTTTACTATTAAACAATTTTATCTCTTCCGATTGTTCGTTAATGATTAATGATTAACCAGATGATTAGTTAATTGACTTAAATCCATCGTTATATTAACTTTAATTGTCAACATTTATCTCAATTATGGTTTCGCTATCAGAATATCAATGAAATCATATTTTCTCCTGTTATTAGAACCCTAAGTAGGTTATTCGTTTATTTAATTATTAGATAGTTAATCTTTTGATAGAAAGCCAGATTCTAAATTGTAACAATCGAAAAGGGAAATTAATAAATTGCGATTGATTGAAAATCTTTTTCAATTTCACATTTGGCGCTTTTTTCAATCTCTTTAATAATATCAACACATGTGAGAAAATGTTGCTTTTATTTTGGTCTCTTGATTAACTTAATTGTTGTTTTTTCGTTTAATTGTTATTAATTTTTCGTTTAATTTCTATTCATTTTTGTTTATTCTTTTTTAATTACTCTGTCTCTACATCGAGTGTTGCATTTCTCTACATTTGGAACTGTGTTGTCTATTCAGATAAAGACTTTGGTTTTTTTGTTTCTTCCTCAAGGTAAGAAAATTTACTTTTTGTAATTTACTCTTAATTGTTTCTAACATTTAACTTTGAATAATTTAGACTTGACTTTTGATTTAATGTATGTGTAAAGGATTAGGATCGAAGGTTTTTTTTAATGAATGTCTAGTTCTGGTTAAGTTGATTTAATCTGTTTGCTGATTTGTTTTTGTTTTCTTTTTTCTTTCTTTCTCCAGATTAAGATAGCAAATGGATTTTGATAAATCAGCATACGTTTTGTACCATAGCGCTCAAACTGGATTTCCTTGCTTAAGTTTTGATATAATTCCTGATGGTGATGGTTCGGGTGATGAAAGATTATCACAGAATAATGTGTCCACCTTCTTGGTAACTGGAACTCAAGCACCAAGTGCTCATCTTAATACGATTCATGTTATTCATTTGAGTCGAATGACAAAATTTAAGCATAAGAAAGACGAAGAAGAGGAAAGTGATGAAGATTCTGAAAGTAGCAGTGATGAAGATGAAGAAGGTGGTGGTGGTAGTGGTTCCTCAGATTCACCATTACTTCAATCAGCTGAAATTCCCACCCGTGGGGAGGAATTAATCGTATTAGACATTGTCAGGTTGCCTCGAATATATTAGCTGCATCTTGGTGTGATTCAGGTGAGACAATCAGTTAACCGAACGATAAAAAAAGTAAATAACCTAATTGAAATGATTTATTTTTTTAATTTTCAGGTCGTGTTAGAATATGGAATCTAAATAAACAAATTCAAGAGCTTAAGAACTCATTTTTTAACAAAAGTGAAGCTGCACCTCCTCTTTATACGTTTAGTGGTCATCAAGTTGAAGGTTTTGCAATCGACTGGTCAAATGTATCTAAAGGTTTTCTGGCCACTGGCGATTGTGCCAAAAATATTCACCTATGGACTCCCAATGATGAAGGTAGTTGGCATGTTGACCAAACCCCTTTAATTGGACACACTAAATCCGTTGAAGATATCCAATGGTCACCAACGGAGCCCAATGTACTTGCTTCGTGTTCCGTTGATAAATCAATCCGTATTTGGGACACTCGAGTGAGAAACCTTTCTTCCTGTATGATCGCAATTGAAGACGCTCACGAATCAGATGTAAACGTTATATCCTGGAACAAGTTAGATACTTTCTTCCTACTCTCCGGAGGCGATGATGGAGCCATCAAAGTTTGGGATTTCCGGAAATTTGCTAATTCGTCCAAGGTTAACAAACCAGTCGCCATGTTTAAGTATCATCTTGAGCCGATCACTTCCGTTGAATGGCATCCATCAGATAATACAGTTTTCGCTGCCTCCGGGGAAGATCATCAGATCACTTTATGGGATCTTGCAGTTGAAAAGGATGACGATGAACAAATGGAAGGTGAAGAAAGTGAAAAGAAAGAAGAAGAAGATGAAGAAGAAGATAATGATGAACAGGAGGAAGATGAGGAAGATAATGATGATTTAAAGGCCGAGAAAAATGCTCCACCGCAATTGTTATTCGTTCACCGAGGTCAGCGAGATATTAAAGAATTACATTTTCATCCTCAAATTCCTGGTCTAGTGATTAGTACAGCAGCAAATTCATTTGATATTTTTAAAACAATATCAGTTTAAAGTCTAATTGTTGTTCATCAAGAACAATTAGATTTAATTCAATTTCATCGGTTAAACTTGGACTCAAGAAAAGTTAACCCAACTTGATCAACACTGATTTGCCTTTTGCCCCTGAGATTAACTTTGATTGGCAATTTATTTTCTCACTCGCTCTCTGTACAAATTAAATGACAAACCCTAAGTAAATGGTTATTACAACCACAATTAAACACACAAAGTTTGGGAGACAAAACAAAAACAAAACAAACAATTAACAAATTAATTTAACAAAAAAAAACAAAAAAAAAACAAAATCCACGCTCAATGATTAACAGCTCAAAGAGAAGCAAAAAAAAATTCAAAATAACAAAGTTAATTATCTAATTGATTAGCGAACGAAAAAAAAAACCTAATGGATTATCAAATTACACTTTAATTGTTTGTTGACCAAAATTTTCAATCAATCGATCAGTTGATTTGTTGAGATGAAGAAAAAGTTTTCACTTGAAATTTTCTTCCCTAACATCCTACCAATCAAAAAGAAAATTTCAATATTGTCCATCATCGAATCATCTAAATTAAGCCAATCAACTACTAATTGAGAAGAGAAAAAAAACAATAATTAGTTAATTGTGATTCTAATTAAGAGGGAAAAGTATTCAAATGTAAGCGCCACCAATGGAGAGACAAGTAAATGTTTCCAAGGAGGAAACCAAAGCTTAAGTGACCTAAGTTGTTATTAATAATGTTCGTTAATTAACTGATTAATTACTTGTGTTTAAATCAATTTATTATTTATATTCTTTGATAAAATTAACTATTAACCTTTAAGGTATCGATCGATAGTTTGATCAAGTGCTAATTGAAAGAAATAGTAAAGTTATGAGTGATAACATAATGAGCTCACCCACAACTGGGTCTACAGATGAACTATTGTCACATGGTATATGCATGGCGGCGGAGATTTTCACCAATAAGAATAATAATAACAATTGTAACAATAATAATAGTAATTGTAAATTAATCCATGTTAACAGAAGTGCCTTAAATGGTGAGGATGGTGAAGTTGATTTAGTTGATGGTAAATTGGTGAATAATAACCAGCAGACTGAAAGATGTGTTGAATTGGGATCATCATCTTCATCTTCATCAAATTCTTCCTCTTCTACATCTTCAGGTTCATCATCATCGGCTTCATCTTCATCTTCATCCACAACATCATCCACTTCTCATAAATCATTACCTGTGGTAATCAAAGCTAATAATGTTAATCCCAATCACGAAGCTGCTTGGGCCTGTAAAATATGTAACTTTTCCCACAAATGGCCTCTCATTATGATAAATCATTTACGAATTTTCCACAAATTGCAATCTCCCTTTGATCAATATATTTTTAAAATGGATAATGGATTAACAGAATCCTCATCGACATCAACCGCCAAATCAATTGAATTAGTGACTTATCAACCTACTTCAACAAATATTAAATGCAAATTATGTGATACAGCATTTGAAACGGTCCAAGATTTGGAGGAACACAATGAACATTTACACTCCGATTTAGTTTGGGCCTGTAGAAGTTGCTCCTTTTCCAATAAATGGCAACAATTGGCAATATCTCACCTTCGAAGTGCCCACAATTGTCACCCACCCTACACCGACCATTTGTACCGAAAAAATTCTGATAAAACATCCAACCTACTTCAACGTATTCAATCAGCCTCCATTGACTTTAGATCTCACCTTCACTCTTCACCGTCAAAACCACCGCAACAACAACAACAATCAACAGCAAATTCACTGTCAGAAACAGTAGCACAAACAACAACAACAACAACAACATCAACAATATCAACAGCAACAGCAACATCATCATCAGCTCAAGAAAATACCGACAGTGTAAAAGAGGAGCAATCAATTGACAATGATGTAACCATTTCAAACAATAATGACAACAACGGAGACTTGGTTAATAATAATGGTAACATGATCGCTGATGGAGCTATCGAGTCACCTCCTTCCCCCGGCATTCAGAGTGGACTTAAAATGGCCACTAAAGACTGTTACCGACGATTAGATAATGATAGATTTCAATGTACGAACTGTGGTAAAACCTGTGGAAGTGCTCAAGGTATAACTGAACATTATGAAGCTTATCACTTAGGACTTAATTATCAATGTAAATTGTGTGGCTTTACTGATCTATGGAGATCAATGTTGACCAAACATTTAAAAGTAAATCATTTAATGGGTAAACCTTATGAAAAATTTTTACGACGAGTTAAAGTTGAGACAAATTTAACCAATTCTAATGATAATCAAATGATCTCAAATTATCGGCGACGTCGATCACGTATTTTTAAAGAACCCGAATCACCTGAATCAATTTCATCGCCTGAAAAAGTTAGACGACAATCATCAACTTCGTCTACCTCAACATTAGCACCAACCTCATCATCGATAACAAAGCGAAGTTCAAATGTCCAACAACAACAACAACAACCACAAGTCAAAACAACGAAACGAGGCCGAAAACCGAAGGATAAATTGGCGATTAAAGCCAAAACAGCCAAATCAAAACGGCGAAGGTCATAAAAGACGCTTTCGATGAGCAAAATCGCCCGACTAATATTATTTAAAAAGCTTCGCTACACAATTTCAAATGTGATAAAAAAGAAAACAAAATCGAGGCGAAGAAAAAAAAAGAAAGAAGCAAAAATCTATTCTAAAGCGAAATTGTTGAAGAATTGAGAACCCGAAAAAGAAAATAACAAATTTTAATAATAATCAAATTCTTCACTTGCAACAATTAACAAATTTCATTTTCTTTTTTTCCGAATCTTGGTAAATCATCCCTGAGATTTTGTAAGAGAGATTAAGAAGAGTAATGATCAGATTCTAAGATTAATTTATTCGTTTTTGTTTTCTTTGTTCTTTTTTTCTTGTCATCATTAAGAAAGTGATAATTATCGTTCCATATATTTACAGACTTCGAATCCAATATTTACTGATCCTTATCCAAGAAGAAAAAACAACAAAATGATTTAAAAGATAAGAAGAAAAAAGAAACAAATTATCAAGCAAATTAAATGATTGACCATAGGATTGGAATGGACAATCACGGAAGATGAGAATTAATCTTATCTCTTTTAATAAGCTTTTCAAAGCTTCAGAATTCATGATAATTTTAAACAACAATGAGAAAAGAAAACAAATCAAATCAATAGCTTTTCTTTTTCTTCCCCAAAAATTGATGCTGATGTTTTTCTCTGACAAATAATCTTAAATGTTTATCTCTCTCTCTGAGATGAACACACAACTGAATTAAAGATAAACAACAAATATAAAACAAGAAGGAACAAAATATCCCATGGATAAGATTTTAATCTCTAATTGAGATTAAGAGAGAGAGAGAGAGAGAGAAAGAGAATTTTAAGTTTTTACTCTTTTGGTGTCGATTAAAATTGGTGGCGATTCATTTTTCTTCTGTTATCCCTCTAAAAGATGGATGAACAGACCGAGAGACCGAGAGAGAAAGAGAAAGGCCTAAAAAAGAAAGAGAAGAAGTGAAAAGTTAGAAGGAAGAAAAAAAAGAAAACAGGATAAGAAGAGACAGATAAGAACATAAGAGAAGAGAGAGAGAGAGAGAGAAAGAGAAAGAGCGAAAGAGCGAAGAAGCCAAAAAGACCAAAGGAGAAAAAGGACTCAAGATGATAAAGGAATGAAATGTTCGTCCTGGGCCCGTCCCTTTTCCGGTCTCAACATTGAGCGAGAAAAACTCAAGAAAAACATGTTGCTCTTGGAAGAGAACAGCCGAATACAGGAAAAAGAGAGAAACGAAAGAAAGAGAATGATGATGAGAATGAGCCTGCGAGAGGCAAAGGTGAACAAAGAAAGGAAGAAAGGGGAGCGATTCAGAGAAAGAGAGAGAGAGCACACACAAGGAAAAGATGGTGATGAAGAAGATGAAATGGAAGAGAAAATGAAAGAAGAGAAGGCAAAGGAACAGCAGACAGAAAGCGATGCGAATATTCATCTTTCTTTCTTTTCTCTCTTCGCTCTCTCTCACCACCGAGCAGATGGACTGAAGAGCAAGAGAGAGAGAGAGAGAAAACGTAAGAAAGAAAAAAAAATAAGAGAGAGAGAGAAAGAGAAATGAAAGAAAGAGAGGGAGGGAGGGAAAGAGAGATAAACAGATAGAGAGAGAGAATGAGAGACAAAGAGAGGGAGAGAGAAAGAGGGAATAAGAGAGGTAGAGGGAGAGAGAGAGAGAGAGATTGAGAGACTTGATTGATTCTTACTTGACTTATTGTTCATCTAGTTTCAACTTGAACTTTGTTCACTGTGTTTTTAATAGCCAATATTTTGTTCCCATCTAAGATGGTCAACTATCAATGTCCTAGGTAACTAATTAGTGTCTCTCTCACTCACTCAGTTTATCTCTCACTTGCAGTCTGATGATGATGATCATGTTAATATCCTTAAACACTATCCTATGTTAATCATAAATTGCGGTGTATCTCTCCCCTCTCTTTCTTTTTTCCACTTTTCCTTTTTGTTTCTCCTCTACATTCACACAACAACAACCATCATCATCTCTACCATCACCACCACCACCACCAGAAACCACCAACAACCACCAACATAATTTCAATACACTCAATACATTCAACATTTTTCTCTCTCTCTCTTTTCCATTGTGGTCATCAACCTCTTTTTTTTTCTTCTCTTTTTTTCTATTCTCCCTTTTCTTTCTTTCTTCTCTCTAACTTCTTTTCTTCTTCTTCTTCTTGTTCATCATCCTGAGCTGAGAAGTTGATCACTAGGTTAATGTAACTCCTCAGTCAAAACTTGTTAGTTTTGAGCTGTTACATGCTTCCGCCAATCTTTTCCTTCTTTTATTCTATTCTCTTATAATATAAATATTTTTTTCCTAAGTTCCTTTATTTTTCTCTTTTTTTGTTTTTTTGTGTGTCTTCTCCCTCTTTATTATTTACCTTGTTTTCTCTTTCTCTCTCTCTCTTCTGTTGTTACTCCTCTCCTCTCTTTTTCTTTCTTTCTATTGCCACCCACCCACCCCATTCCGCTCTCTCTCTCTTTCTCCTTTTTCTCTCTTTTTCTCTTCTCCATATTTCTGTCTTTTTCCCCTCTTTCGCGTCATTCATCCCAAACATTACATCTTCACAATAAACAACAACAACAACAACATCATCATCATCATCAACAACAACAACTAATTACTACATAACTATTACAACCATTTGTTTCTTTCTCTTTGTGCCACTTTCCATTGGGAATGTATTTTTCTTCTGCCTATCCTGCCGATCAAAGTAACGATAACATTGGTTCTTGTTCAACTTCAAATTCAAATAAAATTTCTAATCAACAGCGCTCCCCAACTACTATTGCTACTATACCAATGCCTGAACCAGAAAGTAACGGATCAAAAAATCACCCCAATGATACTACAACCCTTGCGTCCGATGATGGCCTTTACACCATTCAATATACCGAAAGTGATAATGCCGATGATTTAACTGAAGGGCACATGAATGATAGTAAAATGATTGTCATGGAGCATCTTTATGTACAAGTTTCCCTTCGTTTAGATGTTTTCTGTAAAGTTAGTGAAGGTGGCCTGTATGAGTGTCTTCATTGTCCCGATGTGTGCCCATCCATTGAGGAATTTAAAAAACATTATAAAGACAAACATTTAGAAACTTTTTACGATTGTACCAAATGTGGCTTTTCTACTTTATGCCAAGGAACTATGTCCGATCATGTGTCACGTTACCATGATAATGATGCCTCTCTAGTTAAAAGGAAACTTATCCGTAAAGTATCCGCTGGATCTGATGAATATCAAACCTCAGTTCATGGATCATTTGTGTGTCAAACTTCAAACAATAAATCAAAGCCTCCTACAAGTAATTCCTCCCAAATGGTTGATAAAACCGATTCCCATAATAATTCACCTAAACCTGAAATAATAGGTCGCCTTCCTCATCTTGAGAGAACAAAGGAAAATGAATTGGACAGTGATATTGATAAAATGGATCACGATGAAAGTGATGGTTCAGATTCTGAAGGTCGTAATAATGATTCACGCCATGAATGTAAAGTGTGCCTACAAAAGTTTACCCGTTCAGAGAGAGTCCGTGAACATTACGATCCCAAACATTACATCTTCACAATAAACAACAACAACAACATCATCATCATCATCATCATCATCATCATCATCATCATCATCATCAACAACAACAACAACATCATCATCATCATCATCATCATCATCATCATCATCAACAACAACAACAACATCATCATCATCATCATCATCATCATCATCATCAACAACAACAACAACAACATCATCATCATCAACAACAACAACAACATCATCATCATCATCATCATCATCAACAACAACAACAACATCATCATCATCATCATCATCATCAACAACAACAACAACATCATCATCATCATCATCATCATCAACAACAACAACAACATCATCATCATCATCATCATCATCATCATCATCATCATCATCATCATCATCATCATCATCATCATCATCATCATCATCATCATCATCATCATCATCATCATCATCATCAACAACAACAACAACAACAACATCATCATCATCATCATCATCATCATCATCATCATCATCATCATCATCATCATCATCATCATCATCATCATCATCATCATCATCATCATCATCATCATCATCAACAACAACAACAACATCATCATCATCATCATCATCAACAACAACAACAACAACAACAACAACAACAACAACAACAACAACAACAACAACAACAACAACAACAACAATAACAACAACAACAACCACAACAACAACTAATTACTACATAACTATTACAACCATTTGTTTCTTTCTCTTTGTGCCACTTTCCATTGGGAATGTATTTTTCTTCTGCCTATCCTGCCGATCAAAGTAACGATAACATTGGTTCTTGTTCAACTTCAAATTCAAATAAAATTTCTAATCAACAGCGCTCCCCAACTACTATTGCTACTATACCAATGCCTGAACCAGAAAGTAACGGATCAAAAAATCACCCCAATGATACTACAACCCTTGCGTCCGATGATGGCCTTTACACCATTCAATATACCGAAAGTGATAATGCCGATGATTTAACTGAAGGGCACATGAATGATAGTAAAATGATTGTCATGGAGCATCTTTATGTACAAGTTTCCCTTCGTTTAGATGTTTTCTGTAAAGTTAGTGAAGGTGGCCTGTATGAGTGTCTTCATTGTCCCGATGTGTGCCCATCCATTGAGGAATTTAAAAAACATTATAAAGACAAACATTTAGAAACTTTTTACGATTGTACCAAATGTGGCTTTTCTACTTTATGCCAAGGAACTATGTCCGATCATGTGTCACGTTACCATGATAATGATGCCTCTCTAGTTAAAAGGAAACTTATCCGTAAAGTATCCGCTGGATCTGATGAATATCAAACCTCAGTTCATGGATCATTTGTGTGTCAAACTTCAAACAATAAATCAAAGCCTCCTACAAGTAATTCCTCCCAAATGGTTGATAAAACCGATTCCCATAATAATTCACCTAAACCTGAAATAATAGGTCGCCTTCCTCATCTTGAGAGAACAAAGGAAAATGAATTGGACAGTGATATTGATAAAATGGATCACGATGAAAGTGATGGTTCAGATTCTGAAGGTCGTAATAATGATTCACGCCATGAATGTAAAGTGTGCCTACAAAAGTTTACCCGTTCAGAGAGAGTCCGTGAACATTACGATGCCATACATTTGAACATGGTTTACATTTGTTGTATCTGTGGTTATACCAATCGATGGAAAAGATCTGTCATTCAGCATTTAAGATCAAAACACGAGAAAAGTCCACCCTACAAACACTTAATGATCAAAAAACGGGTCGACAATAATGACAATAATAAACAACCAAATTTTGCGTAAGTTAGCTCATCTCTCATTGAGTTTGTTTCTTTTTCTTTTCATTTTCAAACTCTTTTTTTTTGTTTTGAGCTTTTATCCTCTCATCATGATTTTCTTTTTCTCTCTCTTTTTTTGTTGTTGTTCCTTTCAATCACTTCCCATAGGAATCTACAATCTCAAGCTCAAAGCCGTATTGACGATACTACTCCAAATTTATCACCTTTCCATGATGATGATGAGGAAGAAGATGAATTACAAGAAAGGAAAATGATCCAAATGGAGGAACAATTTCATTCGGATCTAAATGATGAAATTGAAGACTTGGAAGACTTGGAAGCTGATGATTATGATGAAGGTCTTGATGCTGGCAGTGAACATGAACTTGATCTCTCGAGAAACTCTATGTCTCATCAAAGTGCGAACCATTACAAATCAAAACAAGGACCAACTGATTTTGTTCTTAACAATCAGGGTCAATCGCCATATGAAACCCTTTGGACCTGTCGAATTTGTGGTTTCTCTCATAAATTTCCTCTTATCATGGTTAACCACCTTATGCTTTTCCATAAACTTTCCCCACCGTATGACCAATATATTAAGGAAACGAAAGCTCCAAACAATGTTAGCCGTCAATTGTTGGACAACTTTTTTCCAAAACCCTTAATGCCTTCCAATAACCAGAAAGGTGGTTACCTTAAAGAAATTCTTGATCTATCAACATCACAGTACAATAGTAACAACAATTCACGTTCCAATGATGATTCTACCAGCTCACCTTTTGGTTTCTCTTTAAACTCTTTTGCCAAGTCTTCTCAAATATCATCTTCAGCTCCAGTTGTACAAAACTTTATCTGTAAACTGTGTGATAAATCATTTGATACCCTTCGAGGTCTCAAAGAACACACTGAAGGTATGCACACTGATCTTGTTTGGGCGTGTAAATTGTGCCCTTTTACCGATAAATGGCGTCCCCAAGCAATTTCCCACTTACGAAATACACATAACTGCCAACCGCCTTATAATGCTCATTTATCTCGACGAAGTGCCAACAATTCAATGGCTTTAGTCGCACCACCGTCCTCTGATCTATTAGACCAAATATCTCGTCCACAATCCTCTAGGGATTCTGAATCTCACCTTGATCTCCCATCTACCAGTAACGGTTCCATTCATAAACAACAACTACAACTACAACAACAACCACACCACCATCTTAATCAACAATCATTATCAGCCCTTTCACTTCAACCAAACAACAACAGCTTTGATCATCTACCCCCTGGCCTGCGTCATTGTAAGGAGCCCAAGATGAGCTCGAAAGAGTGTTACACAAAATTAGCCAATGACCAATATCAATGTACAAAGTGTAACAAAACCTGCGGTTCAGCTCAAGGAATTACTGAACATTATGAAGCCTTTCACCTGGGTATGCTTTATTATTGCCAATTATGTGACTTTACTGATGTTTGGCGATCCATGATGACCAAACATTTAAGACAAAAGCATCAGCTTGGTAAACCTTATGATGAATACTTAAAACGAGCCAAAATGGATTCAACAACCAAACAATTAATTGACAGTTCAATGATGGACAGTTTTCGACGTCGATCAAATCCAATGAAAAATTCTCAACTCTCACCTGAGGGAACATCGTCTTCCCACCTTCCTCATCTCATTGTACCTCAATTAAAGTCACTTATGCCTCAAGCCTCAGCCAGTAGTAACGGCGGAAGTAGTCAACTTAAAACTCCAAAAACTCCTCTTTCTAACGGCAGATCCTTGATTGCAACCCCTTCAAATGGTTCAGTGCCTATGGCCATAGGAGAACCGTTAAGTATTGAGTCAAAAAGTGGTTTGCCTAAATTACAATCTAGCCATAAACAAGGTAAATTAACTTTAACTAATTATTATTACAAAGTTTTTCTTTCCAAAAGAAAAAAATCTCAAAGAAAAGTTTCTTATTCATTTCATTGAATCACAATTCACAATTCATTTTGATTCTTTTTATTTTATTTTATTGATCCTTTAATATCTTTTCCTCTCTTTTTACCCTGATTCATCATTTTTCAGATTCTTCCATGGGTAAACAATATATTCATCTTGAGAATCAGTTGAAATGTAAACTATGCGGATCAGTATTTACATCCTTACAAGGTTTCCAAGAGCATTATGAAGCCATACACTTGGATGTTATTTGGACTTGTCGTAAATGTCCAACCTCGTTCAGATGGAGACAACAGTTGACTAAGCATTTGAAATTAATCCATGAATGTGAACCACCCTTCAATGAATACATGTTAAAAGAGGCTGGTAGCCATAAATTGAAGAAACCCATTCCTGAGAAATCACCTCATGGTGCTTATGCTCGACGTGCCATTTTACCAAAGGAAGAGGGTGACTCGAATGATTATAAATCCTCTTCCATGACCGATGATCAGGAATCGTCTTCCCAACAGCCTGTAATGAAAGACACCGATGAACAACAACTCTCAATGATGGACAGTATCAACAATGAATCAAATGATGATGATGAAGATCTTGCTATTGCTGAAGATTTAAGCATGAGTGACAACGCATGATGATTTATTATATATATTTATTATATTATGATGATGAGAGCAACAAATGTCCAAACAAAACCAACAAACCAACAAAAAACAGTAATGGTGACGATGAAGATGGAAGACAAATCCAACTTATATATCTAATATTATTATTATTTATCATCATCATCATGGTGATGATTATATATATAGTGTGTTAACGACACTGATGATTTTAAAAAAAAAATACTTTCGAGGTTTCGAACTCAACAAATTTTTTTTAGATAATCGCCTTCCGTTCATCGTGCCAATTGATGATCTCTATTTTTCCCTCCACAATTAAGCTTATGATTTTTGAACCTTTATCCTAAACACAAACACAAACTTATTATGTCACAAATACAAAAAGGTAATCAACAGATTAATCACACAAATTAAGGTAAATTTAATCACAGTCCAAACATTTAACTTCCAAAACAAAAAATTATATATATTAATTAAAGGTTCAAAATCAAAGCGACAATCATAGTTAATAACAATTTGTAAATCGTTGATCAATCAACAGTATTTTTTTTTCCTTCTCCTGTTTGATTGAAATTTTTTGATCATTTGAAAAGTTCGAGAAACAATTAACAAAATGATCAAACGAAAAGTTTTCTCTTTGTTCAACAATTTAAACTAAATTAGTGAAATTTACACACACACAACAATTTAAAAACCTCTTCCAACTTCATCCATCATCATCGTTGATCCAAACTGATTGCATTAATATAATAACAACAATTTAAATTGACCTAATACATGATATATATTATATTATATTGGATATGTTGTCAACAATCAATTCTGATTATTGATAACTATTTAAATGCTAATAACAATCAAATTTTATTTTTGTACCTTGATCAAGTAGGAACTTATTATATTTGAAAAGAGAATGAGTTTTTTTTTCTTACCTTAAACATCCCAATTAATATTTTTGCTTAAATTGTCAACAATCAACCTTAAAACTACAACAACCAGCTCACCTGTAATTAAATCATTAATTGTTGTATTGGTGTATTTATGATATAACAATTAAATATCGTAATTAAATTGTTAACAAACAAAAACGTTTTTCTTCATTGCTAAGGATTTGAAAACATTTTCTCATTTTCAAATTGATTTTTTTTTCTCGTTTCTTATTATAAGAAATTCAAGTTTAAAGCCAATTGATTAGTTAATTGTTTGTAATACAATATAATCGTATATGTATTGTCCACTCATCAAATTGGTTAAAAAAGAGAGTTAATTGTTACAACAATTAGTTGGAAATTCGGATAACTTTTTTTTTGATCATTTTCTCTCTCCTTGTACAATTGGATTTACTTGATTTCCATTGATTTGATTGTTACAATTTTCTAGTTTAGTTTAAATTGTTCAAATGTTAGATGATCATTAATGAGAAATTCACAATCAAACCAAGTTAATTCTCTTAAATTGTTAAAAGAATCGCAACTCTTATACAATCCAATGGAATGAAGAAAATTAAATTAAATCTCTCGTATCTATTGAAGAAAATGATTGTAATTATATTCATGACAATTAACGACGATTATAAAAGTATAAATATACAGTAATTTTCTATTAAGATTTTAGAAGCCTTAATTGTCTCTCTTTTTGTTTCTCTTTAAAATCATCAAAACTAAATTAAGAATATGATGAAGATGATGATGATAATTAAGCTAATTAGAACAAATTTTGTTTTCTTCAAATGATTTAAAAAGAAGAGGAAAGAAAAAAAAATAAATTGTTGTTTATATTAAGAAGATGAATACGAAATGGGAAAGAGATGGAAAATTAAATTGTTAAGATTAATTGTGATTCTCTATAAATCAATGATCTTAGTGAAAACTATGTACTTGACTCTTGAATTTGTTAAGTTTTTCTGTTGATCATCTTGATTGTTGTTGTCTTTTTGTCCTTCACCGAGCACGTTGATTGAACCATTAACAGCATTGTTATCATGTTTAAGTCCATTCTCAAGAGATTTATTCAATTGTTTCAAGTGACCATTGGTCGGGGTTCCGTTTTCATCATTATAATGATGATAATTAACTTGGTTCTCGTGTTGATTTGATTTTTCTGATTTCTTTTTATGGAATTGTTGGTCTTCTGATTGTTTAAGATTATCATAATCACCATTAATCATTTCGAGGCTTGGATGATCTTCCTGTTCTTCAGGGATAGTTGGGAAAGTTAAGATTTTTGAATTGTTTGAGAAATTTGATTCCAATGATTTGTCCAACAATAAGTCAATCTCATGGTTGGAATTATGATGATGATAATCATTATTATCAAGACTATCATGGGTGGTGGAAGTTGATGTTGTGGTGTTACAATTAACTAATGAATCAGTGAACAATTCATCAGTCAAGAAATCATCTGATTCGGATTTACATTTCATCTCCCGAGCGATAAACTCTTCCAATTCTTCCAGCTCTTTAATATCATCTTTCTCATCATCACTTATATCTAATTTTAAATCAATCATTCGTTCATGTGTTGAGTTAATTTGATGATGATTATTATTATTATTCTGTTGAGAGCCATGATGATGATTGTATTGGTTACCATTTGATAATAATGACGATGACAAAGAGGGAGATGTTGATGAGGGAGGAGGGGATGTGGATGATGCTGTAGATGAGGCTGGAGATGATGACGACGATGATAACGAAGCTGATACAGATGATGAGGATGAGGATGAGGATGAAGAGGATGAAGTTGACATTGTGTTAATACCAGATGATGATGATGATGAGGTTAGAGATGATTTACTTCGGGTAAATTCAACATTAAACTGATTCCTTTCTGTACATCGTGCCAATGATGATTTTCGTGGGACATTATTATTGCACCTTTAATATTGGGAAACAATAAAAAGTAATAAAACAAAAATATCCAACAATTAGTTCAAATGGTTCAACAATTAATCAAAAGATTATGAAGAAAGTTATTAGATTAATCATCAAGGTGGTAATCAAATCAAATCAAATATCAACTCATATTGATACATGAATATTTATTAATCACCAAACTCAAAGGTGTCCACAAACCAACAAAAAAACTTCCAATCCAATCAGAGTACAAATTGTCAACAACAACAACAATTAACAGGGTGACAATTAGTTGTCACAAAACAAAGGTGCAATTAAAAGCTTACACTCATTATATTAATATGATAGGTTTAATAATGAGCAAGTCAATTGATATAAATTGTCAGGTTTGTTCATTCAACTCTGATATTACAAATTACTGAGCATAATCGTAATCACTTTGACTGAATTAAAATTGATTCAGTTTGATCATTTGAAGTGAACATTTGATTAACCCTAATTTTAACTCCAATTTCTTATCTAAGCAGAGTGGCGCAGCGGAAGCGTGCTGGGCCCATAACCCAGAGGTCCGTGGATCGAAACCACGCTCTGCTAAGAAAATTTTTTCCTCTAATTGTAATTAACGATTAATTGTTAATTCATTTTGCTTTTTCCATTTTCCAATTGATTGAATATTAATCTTATTAATTGTTTACTGTTGATTTTTTTTCTTCTACTTTTGATAAATGCTTGGATCAGTTTTCTAATTCCAAGTGGTAACAGTTAATTCCAGGATTAATTGTTGATAATTGTTTTTTTTTCGGCGAAAACAATTAAAGGATTTTTTTTCTGCCTCTTCTTTGTTGTTTACAGTTAATTGTTGTTCTTGTTGCTGATTGTAAATTGTTGTTCAAATAACAACAATTTAACACCAATGAGAGGAAGATGAAGATTAGGTTTATGAAAATGAATGAATTTACAATCGTTTACAATTAACTCTCTCAACAATTTAGGTCAATTTAGTTAAATATTATCATCATTCTCATAATTAACATTATGATTATGTTGATAATCTGGTAATGTTAATCATGTTCAACAATATATTTATTAAGATTCCCAAGAGTTTAATTAATATAACATTTAAATTGGTAACAATTAGAATCATTTTGAAATAATTATTTTCATTAAATTAATTGTTTCTAAATCATGATGATTTAATTCATTGGAACCAGAATAACCGGTAAAGAAACAAATTATAAAAGGTTAATTGTAATCAAATATACATCGTATTAATTTAAATCACTATTAAAACAATTAACCCAACCCTTAATGAACAATTTATGATTAAAACAAGATGACAGAAAAAAATTAAATTAAATTGTTGAGCTTAATTGTCATGATTATCAAATTATCGTTCAGAATAAATTGTTTATTGTTTAAATTGATTCAATTTTCACAGTTAATTTAGATTGTGATTTGTATGATTGAAACTGATTTATAATTTGACAATTGAACATTCAAATTAATTGAGACCTTAAAATGAAAGCTTATTAATTTCAATAGTATTTCATTTAGTTAATTGTTACAACAATTAACTCATGATTCTCACGAATCATCTTCATGCTGATCAACAATTGAATTAAAAAAAATTTAATAACAACAATTTAAATTGACCTAATATATGATATTGGTTATGTTGTCAACAATCAATTCTGATTTTTGTTGTTGTTGTATCTTGATAACAATTTAAATGTTAATAACAATCAAATTTAATTCAGTATATTGATCATTATTATCAATTTGATTTATATTTATGAAAGATATTGAGAAAAAGGTATTTGATATTTTTTCTTAATTTAATTGTAACATAACTTGAACAATCAATATTTCAGTTAAGATTAATTGTTGATAATTGGTCACTCATAATGATAACAATTAAATTAAATTGTTATGATTGTTGGTTGAAAGATTGAGACGTGATCAGAATTGATTATTATTATTATTGATTTTGAGATTTAAATTTGAAACCTTTGAAAGTTAATTGGTTAACCAGTGGTCATCTTAATCATTTCAACACTTAATAATTATTAACAACAATTAAGTGTAAAGTAGTTAATCAAGTAACAAATAATAAGTAAATTGCCAACAACTAAATCAATTTAATTACTTTTTGTTGTTCAAATAAAGTTTTAAGTTTCAAGTGAAATATTTTCCCATACTTTAGTGTGGTTCATTTTAATTATTTAAATTACTAGATTAAAATATGACAATTAAGTTAAACTGATTAACGGAACTATCAATCAATAGTATTATCTTTTGATTATTTTGTTAATTGTGATCAGTGAATAGCCTCAGGCAAAGGATTTACTAACTTTATCTGACATTTAGGAATTAGTTTTTCCATCTCCTCTTGGTAATCAACTTGATTATTTACAATTAAACTTAATCCAAATTAATTCATAAATACATATGCATGATTATCATGAATGATTCATGAAAAATGAATCACTGAATTGACAATGATTAACTTGATTAACTTGATTAATGAAGGATTGTAAGTAATCAAATTAAGATTCTAAGGTCAAAAAACTAACAGTTTATGTTGAAAATATAATTTGAGTTAATCAAAAATTGCAAATTGTATTCACTTTGTCAGAAATTAGTTGATTGTTCAAACATAATTAGTTACTGAATAATTATCCAATCAATAGTAATGATAAACAATCAACTAATTATCAATCACAACAACAATTAGCAATCACACCAAGAAAAACAAAGTAACTTAAAAATCAATGAACTTTTTTTTTCACGATCAAACAATTAATCAACCAAACAAACTAATTGTCAACACACTGAACACATAATTACAGGCAAACAAAAATCAAAAACTAATCTAATTAGTCTGTAAATTATAAATTCCCTGAAGATAATTAGTTAATCAACAATCAAGAGGTAACAAAACAACAACAACAACAAAAACTCAACAAACAATTGTCAATATTTTACCAAATCATCAGAGTGAAAAGCAACCAATTTAATTTGATTATGTATCTGGTAACAATCAATGTAATATTCATGTATTACAATTAAACTAATTCATGAGAGAGGTAGAGATAATGACGATGATTAACAATCAGCATTTTCTTAATCATGTTTAGTTAATCAAGGTGAGATTTTTTTTTCTCACATTGAAAATCAACAACAACAAGAACAGAAACTGAACCAAGAAATTGGAAGAAAAATTTGAAAAGAAGAAGAAAAAAAAACCAGGAACTAAATTAAGTTGATTGCTGGCAAAACATTGATATTATCCTTGAATATCAAGGAAGAGAGTCCATCCTCATCCCTCATCCCTCCCTCCTCCCACCTCCATCATCATCATCATCATCATCATGAAAATCCTGGTCAAACCAGAAATCAGTTGATTCCTGTTACCTGAAAATTGAATCAATGACCAGAAAAAAATAACAGTTTTTATTAATGAAAAAAATAAGGTTTCCATTTAAACCCTGTACCAAATGGATACCCTGTATATAGTAAGACAGGGTTACTATGATGAGAGCTTCCGTGATGATCAACACCATGATTTCAATCAAAACCGGAACCAATTCAGTGATGATGATGATGATTAACCCCTAAGCCCCTCTAGCATTGGTAAACTAGTAACGATTTCATGTTGAACATCAATTCAATTGACCAACAGGTTTTCATTTGCTTTCTGATTGTGTTCAGATAAATGATTAACTAAATTGCTTTCAGGGAGATTTTCATGATTATCTAACTAATCACATATCATCAAGATACATCCTCCATTATCATTATCATGTTGATTATCATCAACTGTCAACTTAATCATGATCATGGTTCATGTTTGTTTCTTTCACCATTTAGATTGATTTAAGTTTATAATCAATGAATTGAAACTTGATTAAGCACAAATTTAATTTAATTTAAATTGTCTCTCTCTCTGAATAGTTTTCACCTTATGTAATTTATAAATATAACGGTGATTAGTTAATCAATCAAGGAGACACAAACTTCACCTTAATCACAATTTAATTAACATTATCTTAACTCATCTGCTCTAATAATCATTGGGTGATGATTTATGTTTAATTGTTGATTTCAGTTTGATTTTGAGAGTTGATTAATTTGAATAGTAACAATTAACATTCAGTGTTATTGATTTCTATTCAAATTATCATCACGATATCAATAAATTGCTCATTGATTGTGATCACAAATAAATTGTGAAAGTTTTTTTCATCTAAATTGTTAACCATTAAATTGTTAACAATAAATGATCAGCCCGTTGATTGTTATTATTGTTATGGTTTAACGCTTTTCCATTGACAAGAAAACATTTGTTAAATTATCATCGTTGATTGTTTAACTTAATCATCATTTATCATTCCAAGCATTTCAAGATGATTAAGATGAGAGCGACAATTAGACAAATCAAAATTAGTTTTTGCTTGGTTAATGATGATTAACAATCAACGGTAAGTCCAGAATCGCAATTGAAAATGTAATTAAATTAAATTGCAACGATTTAACATACGATCAACATAATTGTCTTCCAGGTGAATTTAATTTTCACAATTAACTAATCATTAGCAAGTAATAGTAACCTGATCAACTATTAACCTAAATTTAATTGTCTTCGTGTTAGAGGATCACAATTAAGTGTCTCAGTAATTTAAATCGATGATCAAATATTGTTATTGATTAGAATTAACTTTTTTCTTTCCAATCGTTTTCGTGTCAACAATTAGTTAATCATATCGATTAATTAACAGTTATTGGTTACAATTGTTGATCAAGAGAGGAAAATAAATCGTACAATTTAATCACAATTAAACTAAATTGCTGATATTGTTCATTAGATTTGGTTACCGTGAGAGAGTTAATTCTTGAGACTTTTTTTCACATTAAATTAAATCATCTTCATCTTAATCACAATTAAGTTGATTATGTTTCAACAACGAAACAAATTAAACTTTTTTCCCTAATGATTGTTAAGCTTAGTGAGATTAAATTAAAGTAGCTTTTTGTAGTTAAGTTGATGATTATGATTAACAAGAAAACCAGAACAACAATTAACATCAATTGTAATTATCATTTATGGATGAATATTAATTTGATTAGTAATATGATTAAGATAATTATTTAAATTGTCTTGACTACGGTAACAATTTAGTTCTGATTAAGGTGATTCCAAGTTAATCATAATTTCTGATTATGGTTAATTGTTATCAATATGGTTATGGTTTTAATCAATTTGTTTGGTTGAAACTTGAAAATTATGATAAAATTAATTATCTTGTGTCAACATCACCATCAAAACAATCAACCTAATTGTGATTAAGATGATGACGATTATAATATTAATTTGATGACAGAATATTTTTTTAAAGTTAAATCAGTTGATTGCTCGTCAGTGTTTCATTGTCAAGTGATTGGGCGTAAATTGAGGTTAATTAAAAGGTTAATTGTGTTGATTAAGTTCAAAGGTTGGTTAATTGAGTTTTCCTTTTCTATTGATAAATTTGATTAAAATGATTAGTTTAATTATTTTGGCTTCTTTGGTTTTCTTCTGTGGGTTTAAATGTAACATAACCTTAATATTTACGATTAACTGATTGTTATTAACATTTGAATTTTTAAATTCGGCGAGTAATTGATTGATTTTCATCTGATTAAATGTATAATCAGATGACAGGTAGAAGATTAAAAATACACACTGATTAGTATCTAAAATTGTTACTAATCAATATCATTAATCAGTCAGCAAGTCAATCAGTCAATTGACCTTACGAATGAAAAGTTTAAATTGTTTCAGGTGAAGAAAATTAAATAATTAGTTGATTAGTAATTTTAACAGTTTCAAACTGGATTAAAAAAAATGGCAGTAGTAGTAGTGAGTTAATATCAATCAACATAAAAAAAAGGAAGGAGACAATTGAATGACGAGACTGATTTAATCATGATCACTCATGATTATGAATGGAAAAGGTTATGATCAAAATAAACAACTCGTTTTCAAGTAACTGGATTGAGATGATTAGAGTTGATTATCAACATCTAAATTTTAGATTTGTAACAAGTTTGACCAACAATCAAAGTGAACACACAAACGTGACATTTAAATAGACACACATAAGAGTGTCTACCTGTCAAGGTAAATATCATACTAGAAGATAATGGATGATAATAATCACCATCTCTTCATAATACAATAAGAGAGAGAGAGAGAGACGAAGAATTAATTGGATTAAGATAACGATGATGGTGAAAGAAGCCATGTTGTAATAGAATTGGAATAGTTAACTCAGAAGGAGGAGAAACCTTTTCTCTCTCTTTATCTCCGTTTCATGTAATCCGAATGAATCGAAAATATAATAATTAGAGTAACACCTTTAGAGGAGAAAAAAAAGAGAAAATGAAAAATTAGATGAGTTGGGAAGAGAAGGAAAAAAAACACAAGACACAACTAATCAGACCAACGCCATCATCATCAGAATCATCATCAGGTAAATGAAGATGAAGATAAGCAAACGTAAATTCGTTAAAGATAAAAATTGGAATAATAATGATGGAGTAAAAAAGATGTAACAGAAATAAAAGAGAAGAGAAAAGAGAGACTCCATCTTCTCATCTTCTCATCTTCATCTTCTTCTTCACCATTATCATTATCAGGGGTAGAGAAGCAGCTTTGTTATCCACCAACATCTTCAACATGTTGGAACCATCGCCATCTTTATCCATCATCAGCTTCTTCCTTCTTCTTCATCTTGGTTAATCTTATTCAACCATCACACGGAATAGCAAAAAAGAGAATAGAAAAAAAATTAAAAAGAACATTTGCTCTTCCATCTTCTGTTCTTCTCTCTCTTCAATCAAAGATTAAAAAGAAAGGGTAACAAGAGAAGAGTAATTAAGAACAATTGGAATACAAGATTAACAGATACACTGATTAGAAATTACGTTAATTGTAAATAACGAGAGAGAGAGAGAGAAAATTAACTTGATTGGTGAGAGTTGTTGTCAAGAGGAAACAAAGAAACTGAATAGAAAATAAGTAAACAGTTTCTTTGTCTTTTTCTTGGCGGGAGAAAAAAAGAGAAGAGGGAAAATTAAAGTTTAATCTTGATTAAGGTGGAAAATTAATCGTAATAAAAGTTGATTAATCCAACAGCTTAATTAAGATTCTTCAATTGTAACTATGTTAATTATTATTCTAGTGATTAAGAAAAATAAAGGGCAACAGTTAATCAAGTGAAATCAATGAGAGAAAACAAAAAGTTACCATAACAATTAAGACAATAAAAAATTCTGATTAACTGAATAGAAGATTAAAATTGTAGATTAGTAAAGTTGATTAAAGAGGAAAATATTAAACAAGAGGTCAGAGAGATAATATAATTAATTTGCTTTGAAAAGGTGAATTAAAATCAACCAGGCACAGGGTTGACCAATACGATTAATGGTTAATTGTTGATTGTTGATTTGTAGTTGTTGTTGTTGTTGTTGCCTTGAGGTGAGGGGTTGGCCAATGTACAATTAGGTTAATTCATAAATGATGATGATGATGATAGTGATTCCAATTAGATTTATATACTGAATGGATAAATTAAAGTATAAGATTAACCAAAGGATATAATTTATATAAGGAAAGGAGATTTACAAAAACAACAATTAGCTTCATGTTTTTGTTTACAAGAATTTGAAATCATCATGATTGTGATAAACAACAACAAAACCATGATGATATTTGGCAGAAATAAATTGATTATTTAAGCCTTAAGGGTGAATAGAGTTAACAACAGAATAATAATGACAAATAAACAATGTAGTTAATCAAAAACTAATGGACATGAGATAATCATGATTAAAGGGGAAAAAATCAAAGTTACTCTCATCTCTTAATTGTTGATACATTGTTTGAATATCATTTCATGTTTAACTTTGTTTGTTTTTGAGTAGACAAAATTGAATGAACCTCTAATTGTTGTTGCAACAGTTTTGGGACTGTAATTGTGTCGATAATGATAAAGATGATGTTAATTGTTGGTGTTGGTGAAACAAAAAGTAACAATATTTAGAAAGTGTTACTAAAAACAGGATAATTGTAATAAATGGTTTGGTTTTGTGATTTGTCAGTATGAAAAAGTGGTCAGTTAAATACTTCCTAAACCACTTATCACTTTTAAACACAATCACAAATTGGCTTAAGGCTGTTTAGATGTTGCAATTGAATAATAGATAAGCATAACTGTAAATCATTTGAATAATTGTTGCAATTTCAAGATAATCAGCTGAATTTTGGGCGAGAAAACAAAAGTGTTTACTCTAATTTTTTTCTCCTTTTGTTTTTTTTCATTTCGTTTCACCCAGTAAACTTAATCCATTCCGTTATTTGATTATTTAGGTGACATAATATACAAATGTTGAGATGATGATGATGATGATGATGATATAATAAATGATAAATGAAAGCTACTTGGTTCAGGCATGTTGATTTTCCTTGGTGATGGTGGTTGATTATGTTTCTCACCATCACTGACAGACCGAAGTTGATTAGAGTGGAAATGGTAAATGTATGAGATTAAGAGAGAAAGACCAATGATTCGGATGTTTGAATATCATACACGTTGAGTAAAAGAAAATCTCATCATGGAAATGAAAATAATAACAGTTACATGAAACAATCAACAGAAATGATAATAAAAACAGAAGAAACAAAAAAAAACTGGTTAACAAAATTTTGCATAAAACAAACAACAGAATCAACCAACTAAAAACAATAACAATTGAAGCGAAGTGAATAAATTAACCCAAAGAAGAAACAACAATTAATCCTTGACCATCTCTCAGGGTGTTAATTGTAATTGTTGAGAAATTAATTGAACGAAGAAATTAATTAATTAGATTGGAAAAAATTTCGTAAACAGTTAAATTGTTGAGAGAAAATGTAAACACACTTTTGATTGGATAATTTTTTGTTCTTTTCTTTTTGATTAATCGATTATCGATTTTGATTTAGAAAAGAAAATGGAAAATGAAAAATGTTAAATTAAAGAGAAGAAAATTTCTCTTCGCAATTAATTTACTTACGAGTAAGATGAGATTTTTGATTGTCCATTTGTTGGATGATTATTGTTATAATGATAATTGTGACTTCGGGTTCCGTTGGAATGGTAAAGGTGATTAGCTGATTGTGGGTCAATTGTTTTGGCAGAATCGTTTTTACTGTTGACTGTTGTTACTTGATGATTATTATGGTTAATTATTGGTGGATAATCTTTTGGTTTAAATTGTGATCTTCCAAATGATTCAACATCTCCACCTCCTGTTCCTGTCGTTGTTGTTGTTACTCGACGATTAGATTGATTGTGGTGACCATTTGATGATAATGAAGAGACGCTGTTAACGTTATAAGCTAATGATCTCATATTTTCAATGGATTTTGATCTCCGGATGATGGAACCATTTTTTCTTGACCCATTGATTGACTGTTGCTGATGGTGATTCTGCTGTTGATTGTTATTTACTTGCTGAAGATTATGGTGATGATTAAGATAACCATTAACATTGTTATTACCATTATAGTAGCCATTATTATTATTATTACCAATGACCCCTGTACCATTGTTACTGTGATTTCCGGTGTAACCATTACTATTACTATGGTTATGGAAACGTGATATTGTATGGAAGCCATTAATTGCTGTTAGGTTTGTTGTTGATTTGGCATTTGATATAATTGGTCGAGGTATTAGACTTGGTTTACTGTCAAAGTCAGTGAAAGACGATAAATTTAATGTTGATTTACATTTACGTGACAATAGGCCTGAAGATGATTGGGAACGAGATGTGCGACTTGGTAATTCAACCATTTTGGGAATTGATGATCGATTGTTATTCAATTTGTTACACCTTTGGGTTAATCGAGCTGGTGATAGCCTGGGGTCACTAGTTGAAGAAGATGATGATGAAGAAACTGATCCTGTTGGTGTGTATGGTGAAATAAGTGAAGATGATGAATCGCTACTTGAATTGCTACAAATGCTTGAATTACGACTACCAGAAACATTGCGAATACCATTTCCATTGATAATTCTTGAATCTTCTTCATTATAATCAACCTCTGATTGTGATTCTTTATTACCGTTGTTCATAAGCTCGTAAGACTGAGTAATGGTTTTCCTTTCATAGGGAGAAGTGATTACTGAGGATAAAGAGGTTGAATTTGATGAAATTCTTAGTTCCTGTTGTAACTGAACTGGTTTATCTTCATCACAATCATCTCTAATTGTTGATAATACCTCTGAGGCAATCGGAAGAGTTGATGAAGAGGTTGACGAAGAAGATGAAGAAGATGCTGATAGGGGAGAATGTCCATTCACTGAAGAAGAAGATGAAGATGAAGATGATAAGTTGGCTGAAACATTTCCTGAAATAGTTTCTTCATTAGCGAAACAACTACTTCGGATTTTGGGTGTCATCGATTTATCCCCAATTATTGGCAACGTATCACTAATTGATGGAATTAAACTTAAATCATCATCAAGTTTCATACTCTCAACAATAGACAGGATTTCTTGAGCATCCAATGTAACCGAATCAGCGGCCGCTATTGCAGCATCAGGATTTGACGTAATAATACAACTATTCTCATCAAGTGTACTCTTAATCATCTTCTTATCGTTAGTCTGATTAAGATTAACATGCTGATACTCAAGGCTACTATTATTACTACTACTTTCACCTTCCTCTTCCCTGATACTTGGGAAATTATTGCTAAAACTTTTAGGTGGCTCAACGATGGGTTCACAAAAGGTTGATGTTGTAATATTTGAAGAGTTGGTTATATTATTTGAATCATATGATAATGAAATACTTTGAATGTCATCATAATCATCCAAGTTAACCTCATACCGAGAAGGTGAAAGGGAGGGAATTGAAGTTATTGGTGGTGATGGTGCCTGGTGAGTTGGTGGACCAAGAATTGAACATAGAGATGAAGATGGATTTGTTGACAATGAATTACCATTATTATTATTATTATTATTGTTTTTGATGAAGTTGATGATAAACCTGATGATTGGTTTAAACGTGGTTCATTCTTATCATTCATCAGATTATCCAATGAAAAACCGGATTTAGCTTCAGCAATAAGCTCTTCTAAGGAACCTTTTTCATCAAATTCACGACGAAGTTTTTCAAAAGGATCAAGAACTTTACCAATATCAATAAAATTGGAAGAAGATGATGATGGGGGATTTATTGATGGAGTTGTGTTGATGGTGGCAGTGGATGATTGCGATGGAGATATGGATATAACATTGGATCCGGTTACAGGTAATCTTAAACTGTTGCTGTTATTTGATGAACTCTCACCATTGGAAGACGAGAAATCACTTGGGGAACATGAATAACCAGTAAAGGAAAATCTTTCAACAACAGTGGAAACTGAGCTTCCAGTATCATCAGAATCTGATTCAATACCCTTTTTCATTTTTGAAAAGAAAAAAAAAGAAAAAAAGTTCCAAAATTAGACAGATAATATGAGAAAGAATATGATAAACAAGTAATAATATCTCATGTCTATTGATTGAAGGACGATTTTCGGTCAAAACATATTATTGGCAAAGAACATTGAAAGATAATTGAAAAAAAATCTTACACTGGAAGGATAATCGTTAAAGCTTTAATTATAATTGATATTTTGATTGATAGCTGTGTAAAAATGGATTTAAATTGATTGGAAAAAACTTTGAAACTTACCAGATTAGTTTTGGGTGATATCGTATCCATGTAAAGCTCTGGTGGTGCTGGTAACGATTGGTCGATATGATGATTATATTGGTGGTTATCATAAGATGATTTAATTTTATTGAAAGGATTGGATGGATGATGATCTTTAATCAATAATTTATCATCAACGTTTTTAATTCCTTGGATAATCATTTCACTAGTCCCATTCAAATATGGTGTACCCATCATGGTTGAGGTGAATGATGAAGATGATGATGATGATGATAAACCATTGGAATCACAATTATTGTCTATTGCAAGATTAGTAATTGAAATTTTTGAAGATGACACATTATCCACAATTGGTGTTGATGGTTTAGCGTTTTCTTTGCCTTGTTGACCAGGTTTTTGATTACAATCAACAATTATAGAGGAAGAGCATGTAACCATTTGATTAGAATGGGTAATTACTGATGTATCGATGGTTCCTGATGAAGTTGTGTTTTCATCATTAGGATTAACTGGAAGTGGACAAAGTTGAGCCTCCGGTGGACGAGCAGTTGAAACTAATTTACCTGTTGTATCCTTTGATCGTCTTGGAGGCAGTGGTGGGGGTTGAGAGGGTCTCTTACGAGCTGGAGGTTTTATTGGTGATCGAAAACTGTTTCCACTGGTCAATGAGGTTGTTGAATTTCTCGGTGGTACTGGGGGAGGTTGTCGTCTAGTTCGTAATGGTGGAGTTAACACATTCTCGGAATCAACTCGGCGTAAAGTTGCCTTGTGATAATCAACTTCACCTGTTGTTGTGGAGGAGGATGATGAAGATGATTGTTGTTCAACGGGGCTTGATAAAGTGGCAGCAATCGGTGTATGAGTCGGTTGTATTGCAAGTGTGGGCTGGTTGGCTGGTTTTGTTGTTGTCTCTGTAATGGAAATGGTTTCTTGACGTTTAATCAGCATCTTAAAACAAATGGGAGCATCTCCAAGAGCGGCTACACACTCTTTCCTGGTCATCGTGTTGACCGGATCACCAGAAATCTCCAGAATCTCATCACCTTCACAAAGTCTACCCAAAGTTGAGCCTGAAATCCGAGAAGCCGGTGAATCGGGATTAATATTTTGAATATAAAGATTCTCAATAGTCTCATCTAGATTAGCACCGCCATCAAATTTTAATGTCATTCCCAATCGTTCACCTGGAAGCCGATAAACGGTTACCTGTTCCAATAGTGTTTTCGTCTTGGTGATTAATCGAGGTTCATTGTTGGCCTTATCAATATTAACTAGTTGATGTCGATTGACACTTTCACCAGGATGATGATTAGTCATGACAACATTATTAGCACCAATTTCACGAGATTGACCATTTTGTATGGGAGGATTTCCCACCTCAAGAACTGTAACAAAAGACTCTATTGTTGATCCATTAACACTGTTCACCGAGGCTGCCGGTTGCTGTTTAATTGTTGCTGGTGACATGATCATTGGCGATGAATGATTTAATTGTTGATGAGAGTGATTAATATCACTGTCATTAATTAAATTAGATGGAACCTGTTGTCGATTCTTTCTCAAATTTTCATCAACTTCAACCACAGTAACAAAATCGTTTGATTCTGGGTTAATTGTATTATTGTTGCTGTTGTAAGATGAAGATGATGAGGAGGAAGAAGATGAGGATGAGGATGATGATGACGAACAGGATGATAATTGAGGGGATAATCCGTTGGATTTGGATAAACTACAATTTCGATGTAATGTTGATTGTGATGCTATTGTAGGAGGATGAGAACCATAATGTTCACCATAAACAAGTGAATCCATACTGGATTAAAACAAAGTGTAAGAGGATGGATGATGCTACTTGGTTGATGATGATGATGATGATGATCAAGTCTCAGGATGATGATAAGCAATAAGAGGAAAGATCAATGTTACTCAAGCGTTAATCTAAAATTCACTTGTACACGTTTGTTTTTGTTCACCTTTTTTTCTCAACAAAAATAGGAGATGAAGATGAAGATGATGACGATGATTTAATCATTTGAATCCAACCAAGACAATCGGTAATTTGTTGATTGTTGTCTCAGTTGTCAATTGAGCTCTGTTTTCACCTTACCAATCATCTTAATTATTCAATTTTCTGTCTCCTGTTGAAACTTTCGCTACACTAATCACGTCGTGTGTTTGGTAAAATATTTATTTCTGTCCAATTCTGCGAAACGTGAACACGCAAACAAAATCACTAATCAACAATCAGCTGAAAAAAAAGTAACTTTGATCTCGAAAACTTGTAAAACTCACGATTACCAATCAATTGATGTCTTCAAGTTCTGAATTCTGCCTGATGATTAACTGATTTGATGAGGAAGAAAAAAAGTAAACAAACGATTGACTAAATTTTGTCTTCAATCTCTTGTAACTATTAACTTAATCAAATGAGAAACGAAACTTGAACGTGATCAAGATGACACATTGATTGTTGGTTACAAGAGATTTTGAGGTGTTGAGAGGGTTAAATCAGTTGGTTGGTCGGTTGATTGGTTTAAACATTAAATGAGACAATTAGTGTGAGATTAGTATAATAACTATTTTATACTAATTGTTGCTAATAGAAATGAGTTATCAAAAACCAAGATGGTGTAACAATTAACGAAAATAACCAAACAATGGGAGAGAGAGAGAGAGGAACAGCTAAGACAATCAGATGAATTTTTTAATCATCCAGATAATGATTAAAATATCAATGAAGATTTAACCATAATATTGGTTGACACAATCACTTGTTAATCCATTTAGTTGATTATATTAAATGAAAATCAGTTAATCCATAAAATTTTTGAACAATAACAATAATCGCAATGTTATTGTTTCAATGTTTTAACTTTAACTAATGATAATCAATTTGAAAGTATAAAAGTTGATATAATGATGATGATGATGATAAACCACAATTAACTAATTGTGAACACAACGATTAACAATATTAACAGAAAAAAAAGTTAACTAATAAAATAATATTTTCTTTAATAACAATAATAGTAAGTGTGTGTTGGAATCATGTCTGAGTTGAATGGTTGTAGGAATGCAACTAACCTGTAGAGTGTAAACTTTAATGTCCGCCGGAGAGTTGAAGTGAGTGGGGAGAGAAAGAAAGAAAGAAAGAAAGAAAGAGAGAGAGAGAGAGAGAGAGAGAGAGAGAGAGAGAGGCCGAGGGAGGGTCATGAAAGGTAAGAAAGAGATGAAAACAGGTAGAAAGAGATGAAGATGAAGGATGAGGATGGAGATGAAAAAGTAAGTGGTTTTCGGGTTGATTAGTTAATATCGGAGAATCAATTCTTCCGCTGTCGTAGACCTTAGTGTTATTTTGGAGGTCACTGGTAGACTGGTCCTTTTATCATCATCTCCAATACCTACCAGTCTTCATCATCTTCATCATCATCATCATCCAACAGGTATTTTGGGTTATAGTAAAAAGGGAAACCTCGTAACAAGAAAAGTTGACTTGCCATTGAGAGCAACTTTTTACCTATTAACTCCTCCTCACGATATTTTCCTCTCATCATCATCTCTCTTTTTTTTCTTTCTCTAATTTTCAATCGCCTTTGCCCTTATCTTCATCTTCATCTTCATCATCATCATTTTCTTCATAAGTTTTTCTGCTCTTTTTTATTCTTTCTGATCTTCCATCTTCAACAGAGCAACAAAAACAACAACAAATCCCGAGACTAAGGCAACAGGTAAACTGGTGGCCTAGAGAAACAAAGAAAAAAGTAAAGAAAGAAAAAAAGAAAGACTTTATCATCTTCTCAACTATTACATACTTACCTTTTCTCATCATCATCATCATCATTATCATCATCTTGAAGTTTTCTTATTAGTTTTTACCTTTTCATCTTCATCTTTAGACTTACTATTTAACACGCACGATTATCTTTCTTTTAGTATAACTTTTTGATGATTATGACGATGATGATGATGAAGATTAGGATCATCATCATCATCCTGATCAATGTTATTGTCAATCAATTAATTATTGTTATTAGTATTTCAACAATTGGCTAAATTGTTGTTAATCACACTTACTTGATATCATTACAATCATTCATCAAAAGTTGGGCTCATCTTCAATATAAAAACTAATTTCCCATTATGATTAACTGTTAATCTGTTTTCTTAATCCATCCAGGCAAATCAAATCAATTTAACTTCTTTCGTTGATTAACAATTTATTTATCTTATTATTTAGGTTTAACAACAATCAATCTGGTTGAACATTTGTTGTTGATGATTATTATGATTCATGTTGATGAATGTTGTTAATTCAATGTTAACAGTTAATCATCCAACTTAATTGTCTAAATTGTTTAGAGTTTAATGAAGGTGAAAAACTAAATCAACAATCAATAAATTGAGAATTGAACACTTTTTAAAAGTTACTAAATAACGATAACAATTAAAAACAGATTATCACAATTTATTGATTCGCAATGATAATCATCAATTGTGATCAAATCAATAGCTATTAATACATGTATATACATTTCCCTTTGATTGTTAACAATTAGTTAATCAATCAACTAATCAACGGGAAAGTTAAATTCTTAGTTTACTTTTCAATATTGAAACATGTTAATTACTTTTAATTTTATCACTACAATTAACTGATTTTTTAAAGTAAACTTTTTTCCCTTCATCTTTCATACCCTTAATTTTTTAAATCATAACAATTAACGGTTTCTAATCAACTGTACATCTTTGATTAGTGTTGAGTGTTAATTGTTACCTTCATTTAATATATACAATATAAACCATTGATTTCTTAAACCTTGCTAACTAAAAGTTGTCTTAATTATTGAGTTAATCATAAATCACCAATGAAACAGTTTGTTTACAATTGCTGATTGTTGGATGTTAATTAAATATTATCAGATTCAAATTGTTTTGATTGCTATTAAATCATTTCTCATGTTTGGCCTAAATTTAATTCAATTGTTACCTTATTTAAACATGTTATTTTCAAATGATTATATTTTTAAATATCATTTTGTAAATATCAATAATCAACTAATAACAATCACGATATATATCTCATAACAATCAATTGATTGTTGATTAAATTTGCTAAATTTTGTTGATATTAAAAACGATCAAGAGAAAAAAACTTTTCCATCTCTTTAATTGTTTGTTATCCCGAAACCAATGTTTATCAATTAACTGTGATTGATTGAATTGATTTCGAAAATTTTTCATGATATATTCATGGAAAATTAATTTTATATAATCGATGATTAATCATAAGTGTCGCTAATCCGAATGGTACAAATTTCCAGCTCGAATATGTTGTAAGCTATTAATATCGATTGAGCGATTGACTTTCCACTGAAAGATAGATGAACAATTAAATTAGACTCTAATCGTGTATTTGAAAACTTTCACCAAGAAATTCAGGAAAATGAGCCGATTATATGAACTTTTCATGGTTCCGATGATATTTTCCTGAGTAATAACATTGGAATACCTGATGAGCCTCATGTGAACATGATGTCAGTATGATCATCAGCTTTTCTTGGCTCAAATTGAATGTCTTTTTGTTGGATATCCATTAAATAAAAGGTAAATTGACATGAAACTAATTAACGGTTGTGATTTAACTAATTATGGTTTAGTTATTATTACAGTTAATTGTTCAGAGATGGTAAACAAAAAGTTATAAAACTTTTGTCTCAGTTTGTTTTGTTTTTCCCTCTCTTCATATAAGTATTAATATCATCTTATTATTGCTTAATTGTTATGATTAAACATCCTATTTGAGTTGATTGTTATCATTTAATCCTAAAAATAAAGTTGATTTTTGATTTGAATGAGATAACAATCAGAATCACAATTAGCAATCAAATTACATGATAAATGTTTCAATTAGAGAGCAACATAGTTTATCCCTCGAGATTAAAATCTTAACAAAACAATCAAATATCAAAACAATTAATTAATTCAGTTAATATTTCTTGTATTATAATGATAATCATCAATGATAAAAAAACTATTCAAACTAATCACTTAATTTAGCTTTAATTATCGTTAGTTAATCGTAATCACACAATTATACTTCATGTACGAAACTAACAATATTGTATATCATGTTGATCGCTTGCCCACTTGTTGATGTTAATTGTTATTCGTATTTGGACGGATTGATTGTTTTTCTGTGATTAATTAATTTTCTCCATAATTAGACTGTTTTTAATTTCTTCAATTGGTTTTTGGTTACGTCAATTTGTTTCATTCAATTCTGATCAATGTTTGGTTTTTTAATCGATTGTGATTAATCTGATTTGATTGTTTATCTGCTGTTAATTTGGTTTGTATTTTGATCTTCTAATCAATTGTTGATATTGTTTTTTGATTTAATTGTTGTCTTTTAGGTTTAAAATGTAAAGCTAATTCTTTAATGATATCTTTAAAATTCATTGAATCAACATTGGTGGCAATCAAATCAAGGACAAACCAATCAGCAAAACTAATTGATCTTAAAACGATTTTCAAATCATCGTCATTTTTAATCATCTTTGACCGTCCACGAATAACAAGGGAACGCACTTGAGGCCAGGAAACGATGATCAAGCGATAGGCCAACCAGATACCAGTTATGATCGAAAGGAACCAAAACCAATTCCATAGGAAAAAATATAATTTTTGATTGAGTATGTTGACAATTAGAATACAAATTGTGTCAAACTTTTCTATGTCACCAGAGTGACCATATTTGTAGAAGGTGCATTTCGTCATAGTGGGAAACACTTTGACCATAGGGTCGAACCTTAATCCTGGATCAGTTTGGTCGGTGAAAAACCAAACCCTCCAACCATAGGTACTGAATTCCCCATTGAGAAAC